ACAAGGTGAAATGAAGGTAAATGCTGCAAATTCTCCTTCAAAACAAGTGAAGGAACAACAGGAACCGCCATTGCAGCTAATTATCAAGCTAAACACAAAGAAGATAGTACTAACCGAAAAAAGTTGCGGTGGAGGAGGTAGGTCAGCGGTCTTCGTTTGCTATCGATGGGAAGAGGGCTGTGCAGGGTCTTCGTTTGCTATCGATGGGAAGAGGGGGTTCTGTGCAGAGTCGTCGTTTGCTATCGATGGGAAGAGGGTCTTCGTTTGCAATCGACGAAGAGATGCTCGCTCTCGTCGTCCCTTGCTCGCCGCCTTCACTGTGGTCGTCGGAATCCGGCTCGCCGCCTTCACTATCGTCGTCGGAATCCGGAATCCGAATCGCTGCAATCGACAAGCTTCTTCTACTCGTCGTCACCCACTGCTCGCCGTCTTCACTCGTCGTCACCCACTGCTCGCCGTCTTCACTGTCGCCGTCTTCACTGCTCGCTAGCTGCGTGGAGAGGATCGAAGGAAGGAAGGGTTTCGGCGGTGAGAAAGAGGTGAGAAAGAGGATCGAAGGAAGAAGGATTGTAATTGGTTTCAGACAACCGGTTGTACCGGTTACAATCCACAAATAAAATAATAAAATAATAATTTAAATGAAATCTAATGGTTGATATAGTTTGGACATGATCTAATGGCTGTAAATGTTTTATAGTACCAATACTGTAAAGCACACTAAAATGCCTCTTCCTTCCACATGCTCTCATGTGATCTTTAGCTCCGATCCCAAAGATGCCTTTGCATTGCATGCAATCCAAGTAAACTTCCCGTCGCCTAGGGCTTTCTTTTCCCATGCTACTGGCCCCCCCCCCTTTTTTTAATCACCATATGGGTTCAACCGTACTTAGTAAAATATGGTAAGGAAAGTTACGTATAAAATACGTACGGGTATTATACTTCATATCTTAGCTAATATTATGTTTAATAGTACATTAGTAGTCATAAATATATAAAATTAATTATTTTTATAAATAAATAAATATGTAAAAAATCGTAAGGTTATTAATTTATTTCATTAAATACGGATATTAAACGTGTTATACGGATTTTATACATGTTTAGTACGGGAGCCGTCAAATGAACGGAAACTAATGAAACGGCTTGACAATAATACGGATACGGAAGTTTTAAACGGATAAAGTACGTACGGGCAAGGGCGGACCTAGGGGTTTTAGGGGTGTCCCCGGACACCCCCTAAATTTCGGGAAAATGATTATCCAACTCCCGGTGGTAATTTACGTATAGACAAAAAAAATTGATAGTGAGGGACACCCTGAAATTTGAAAAAATGATTATCCTACTGTCATTTGTGTATAAAAATATAAATGGTAGGTTGGGTAATTCAAATATAGAACACTATTATTATTAATAAACTTAATTTCCGTTGAGCTACAACTCATTTGGTGTTCGATTTTGAACAATGTGTAATAGTAAAAAGTCATTCCATATCTCTAATTATTTCAATCTAAACTAATTTCAATCTACCCTTAATTTGTATTGATTTTATGATTGTACGGCAAGTGTTGAAGAGTCTTTCAGCTTTGGGTTACATCAAGAACAAGTTTACAAATCGAATATGCGATAAGTTCCTGAATGATTGTCTACTAGGGTACATAGAGATTTTTTTTAACACTATAAACACCAAGTGTATTCTACAATTATTTTCGAATATGAAAACACATCATGGACTTTTTTAACATGTACGAGTAAGATATTTTCATATTTATGATTTTATTTTTATTAATTATTTTTATTTAATTTATTTTTTAAAAGAGGACACCCCTATGGAAAATTTCTGGGTCCGCCACTGCGTACGGGTACATATACGTGTATTAAACGGAGTATTTACTAACTATGTGTTCAACCATATCATGATTCCGATCACGTTCTAGTTTTACATTTTGTAGCCAATTTTGAATGCCTTACCAAGATATATACCTACTTGCACAACACCATTTGTGGAGAGCCAACAATGAATTGGAATCCATGTTGTCACCCAGAATTCGGTCGTTAGTTCGGTCGGTCTAGCAAGTAAATTAAAGGTACATGGTCATATTATTTTAATCCGCTTTACCTTGCGTGTGAAAAAATCATAGTTAAGAATTAAGATCAAGATTCAAGTCATTTTAGATTAGGATTTGCTTGATCATCCATGAATAACAAATTATTTGACAAATGATCAGCTTCGGGAGGCCTTCTTACTGGCCCGATAAAGACACCAGGTCCGGGTCCAACCAGTTCGCCCACGGGTTAACAAATCTGACTGGAATAATCACATATTGAGAAAAGGATAATACTATAATGTAGTAACTGAAACTTGGAGCCACTCCATGTACCTAGGGATGTTAATCGGTTAACCTAAAAACGATCAGGCAAAGTCAGAGTTAATCGGCTACTGCAAACCTATAATAACTCTGTTGCTCGCGGTTTTGGTTGGGTTTCTGGCTATATCGGTTAACCTACTGGTTATCGGTGCACTAATTACTAATCGAGAGTAGTCACCACTCACTAATCCTCCACCAAACAAGTTGTCTCCTTCCTTCCCAATCGTGAGATTCTGTCTATGCCTCTGACATCTCTCTCAACTCTCAATTTCCCCTCCCTTATTCTCAATTCTCAAATTTGTCCCTAAAATTGAGTAATCAACATACCTAGTCCAACCACCCATTCTTACTCTCAAGTCATCTCTCTCTCTCTCTCTCTCTCTCTCTCTCTCTCTCTCTCTCTCTCTCTCTCTCTCTCTCTCTCTCTCTCAAGTAATCAACGCAGAAGGAAACTACTTTCTTCAAATTTTCCTCGTCGGTCGCCACCTCCACCTTGCACAGGTAGTCACTCTCCTCAACTCCATGTTCTTTATGGTGCAAAAATCAGAAGAGAATGTTAAGTACAAGGGTCTGTTTATTGTCAGTTTACTTACTAAGATGAGGTTGAAAGTAAACTGACAAACAAACAAAGCATCCTCAAGTATCAGACAATCAAGGAAGTTAACATTGCCTATATGTGTTGCTTTAACTCTATCATATCACTTGTAGGCAAGTTGATGAATATTTGGTCCAGTCTTTTATAATCACTTTGGTATGCTAAAGAGCTGACAATGTAGTCTGTAGCCTCGATGTCCAAAATCCAAGTAATGTCATTTGAACCTTGCTTAGTGAAGTTGCAATTGTCGTTACCTGATGGGCCAGGATCATAGAGGGTGGTGAGACTTGCAGAGTGTGAGTGGAATGACTATTTGCTCCTGGCTTTGTCATTCATGAGTGTCATTCGTTTGTCATAGTCTGATTTGGTGAGTTTGACCTATTGGTGGTCATTAGTCAATGAACCACTGTCAGTTGCATTGATGGAAGGTCTGGACCGGAAGGAGCTGTAGGTCTTTGCTGCATTTTTGGAGGGTAGCCCTTCTTTTTGAAGCATTAATCTTCGGTATGGCCTATCCTAATGCTATAGGTGCACTCTGGTGGCTTAGAAGACGAATTGGGGTTCAGAGTGGAACCTCTTAGAGTCAATCCTGGAGGCCATCCATGTTTATGATAGCAGGTCTCCTTTGTATGGCCAGGAGCATTGCAAAAGGTATAGTGTGGTCGTTTTCAAGGAATGTATGGTTGTTTGGAACCTTGAGCTACCAGAGCTATGGTTTCAACTTCCAGAATTTTGTCATGTTGAGTGCCATAGAGTTGCCTTTTGTGTTGCAACATCCTTTGGCAAACCCTGTCTATGGGTGGCAATGTGTCTCCAAAAAGGACTTGAGATCTCACAGATGCATAGTTATCACTCAGGTCGCGAAGGAATTGAATGACATAGTTATTATTCTATATCCTATCACAACATTCATGGCGGGATAGTCTGTGTGGCTAGTGGCTGTGCAGCGACAAGGTTCTATAGGATGGTAGTTGTTTAACTCATTTTGAATAGCAATTAAGTTGCCATAGTACTTAGTTACAGTTTGATTACCTTGCTTAAGAGTGCCAAAAGATTCAATCAACTCAACAACACAAACCATGTCGCCTTGACTATAACGTGCTTTGAGACTTGTCTAAACTTCTAAGGCTAATTTGTAAGACATTATTGTCTTCTTAATGCTAGGTTCAACACTTGTTGAATCCAGTTGAGAACCATGATATAGTTTCTGTTCCAAGACCATAACTGAGCATTATAAGTGGCATGAGGCAGTTGATGGTACCATTGATGAAACCAAATTTGTTCTTGGTTCCCAAAGTATTGAGCTAGTATGGTCTTGTTCCAGTCATTGTAGTTAGTGATGGTCAGCTTCTCACCTACCAACATCAACCATGGCTGCTTAGAGTCATGGAGATAAAAGGGATCCATCATGGGATCCTGCTATTGTCGTGCCATATTTTGAGAGGCGGCTAAGGTTCCTCTGGTACCATAACACCAAATGTGACCTTTAAAACCCTAACTTACTTTTCATTGATCAACATTGTGGTTTATATATACAAGGTCGAGCAGAAGAAGACAAAATCTGAATTAGTGAAAGAAGTGAAAGAGACGTTGGAGTCTCTTGTGGCACAACGACGACGTATCAGCAATTCCTACCTCCATTGCCCGAGACGATGCTGCTCCACTTAATCTGCTTACTACCCGTTGTTACTTTGTGTTCGAGTACTGTAGATGGCGAAAAATTAACATTTTTCTCGTTGATTCACTCAAGTCATTGTTCTTTTTCTAATAGAAAGCAATCGAATTCGAATCTTATCTACGTGATTAAGAGACGTAGCGAATTGCCATTGTGGGCTGGAATCAACACTCGTGGTTAAACAAGACTATCGCTCACCACTCACTCACTCAGTCAGCCCTCAACCCCAAGCTTTTCATTGTGGGCTGGATTTCAAGCCGTCTGCTGCTAAATTGGGTCGACTTATCTACTGGGCCTGAGAGTCCCAAATGATTCCCATATAATCAATACAAATAGAGGCTGAGTTACAGCCCGCAATAGCGCCCTTAAACTCCGCCCGATATGGGCTGAAAATGCTTTTTAAGCATGTGAATGGGCTTGTCACAAAGCCTGAACATGTATGCGAATAACGACGACGATCGCAGAAGCCGGGGGGTGGCGAAGTGCAACAATCGGAAGGAAGGTGTGGCGTGCAAAGAACAGCCAAAGTGCATGCGGCAACGACACGTCAAACCCCCCATTAAATGGGTCCCACTTTTTCTCTTTCTCTTTCTCTTTCTCGTCCTTTCCCTCTCTTCGTTTCGTCAGTTGCAACCGCCACAGCACGAATCCCATGCGGCCGGTTACACGTAGACCACATTTGGATTGGAATTCCTCCGCCAAAACGAACTCGATAGTCCCGTGATCGGATCCTCGATCAACGGCCACGACACGTCGAGCGGGAATGAGGGTGTAAAGCTTTAGCCGAAAACAAGAAAAAGTTGACGGGCAGTTTTCCTTTGCTTTCTCTCTGCCTCTCTCTCTCTCTCTGCTATATATGCTCTCCGAGTCCGAATTGTTAGTCATTTACTTCACCTTTTTCTTTCCGCCATTAGAGGTTGCTTCGTAGTCCAGGAAACTTCCCGCATTGCTGTTCATCGTCTTCTTCCTCAATCGGTGAGTGAGCTCCTCCTCTGCATGCGTTTCTAATTATGTAATCGATGATTGCTTGCTTGCTTAAGATTGTTCCATTGATTCATCTCAATATTTAGGTCGCCCTTGACCTTGAGGATCATTTTAGTCTTTGTTGTACTGTTTTCTTTTGGCATTATAGCTGTTTTGATCTCGCAGCAGTCACATATACCTAGTAGTTCATTACTGTGAGTGATTTTCCTTTCTATTCCGGCGAACTTTTCGCCGGTTCCTGGTCGAGAAGGACAATGGTGGAAACAAGTTGAACAGTAAGAAAGAATTGAAAGTGGCAAAAAAAAAAAAAAAAAGAGAATGAACGAATTAACCACTGCGGAACCAATTAATTAAAGTGCAGCTTTCCACATCCATTTGATGCGATGGGGCTAAAGCTTACTCTGGTGGTGGTGCTTTTCAATTCGACGACAAAAATCCGATTCGGATAGGTTTCTGGGTGTTACTTTTGTTTACTGGCCTACTGAGCTTCCACCAGCTCTGCTGTTTTGAGTGGAAACAACACTGGTTACTGATTAGGAATTCATTCACAAAGTAAAGTAATTCCACCAGCTTTGGCTTTTTGATGCTTTTTTACGTTATGTAGAAAAGTTATGGAGGTTTACGGCTTTTGCTGAATCAGTTCCTTTTATCTTGTTATCTAAGGATGTAGTCGTCACTCGTAAACCCACCCTGCATAATATTCTACTTCCGGGGGAGGGGGGAAAATGTTATATAGGGGTGTTAGTAATTAGTTGACCTTCCTATTACCATTGCTGACCATTGATCCTCTCTCCCTAATACTCATCAACAGGTTGTTTCGATCTTTGGGTAGTGATGGGAACGAGCGGTTGTAAAGCGATGGAGTTATTGCCTCTGCTGCTCTGCTCCGTCGTCCTGTTTTCTTCGGTGGTGTCATGCGAGGAAAAGCTGGTCAGAATTGGGCTGAAGAAGCTCAAATTTGACCAGAACAACCGGGTAGCTGCTAGGATGGAGTCCGGTCATGTTCGTGAGGGGATGCGAGCTGCGCTCAATAGGAAGTATGGCGGCCTACTGGGTGATTCACGAGACACCGACATTGTGGCGCTGAAGAACTACTTGGATGCTCAGTATTATGGTGAGATTGGTGTAGGCACTCCTCCCCAGAAGTTCACTGTTATATTTGATACTGGTAGCTCAAACTTGTGGGTGCCTTCGGCTAAATGCTATTTCTCTGTGAGTTCCCTTTATCTCAGTTTTGGGTTCTGCTAAAGCTGTGTTTAGTCTTTTCTTCGGTGTTGTTGCCTGTTGGTTTAACATAGGGTGTTGTTTGATTCTGCCATAAGGTCTCGTGTTTTCTCCATGCCAAGTACAAGTCTAGCCAGTCTAGTACCTACCAGAAAAATGGTTCGTGTTCATCTAAATTAGCATCCTTGTGCAAATTCATTTATTTGCGGACTTGCTTGAATCTGTGTTGTCTAAATGACTTGAATATTTCTCAGGCAAGAGTGCTGAGATTCAGTATGGTACTGGTGCTATTGCCGGGTTTTTTAGTGTTGACCACGTCAAAGTTGGTAAACTGGTAGTCAAAGATCAGGTAACTAACACCATCCATTCTCTTTCATCAATTACTCAATCCAGATTCTGGTTTCGGGCAATTGAATATCGTTCTTGTAAAATTCCTGTAAACTTGACAGGACTTCATTGAGGCAACGAGGGAGCCTGGTGTTACCTTCTTGATGGCGAAGTTTGATGGTATCTTGGGGCTTGGATTTCGTGAGATCTCAGTGGGAGATGCTGTTCCCGTCTGGTAAATGCTCCTGTGTTTCTGTTACCAAAGGTTGTCGGATTATTTCTAAAGTATTTTTCATTGAAGTACTTGATTGATTATCTTGCAGGGACAACATGATGAAACAAGGCCTTATCAAGGAGCCTGTATTTTCATTCTGGCTAAACCGCCATGCGGACGAAGAGGAAGGTGGTGAGATTGTGTTTGGCGGTGTTGATCCAAATCATTTCAGAGGAAAGCACACTTATGTTCCCGTGACCCAGAAAGGTTATTGGCAGGTAAATTGGTCACAATAACCATAGCGTCTATCTATTTGATCATTCCCCCCATAAATTTTGGTAGTAGCTCTATATCACTAATAGTCAGCCCTTACTGTCTGTCATTTTCTGGGCTAGTTTGACATGGGAGATGTTATCATTGGCGGCAAATCAACTGGTACTTGTCGTTTGATGTTAACAGTAATTTGCAATCATGAACTAGTTTTATGTGGGAGTATCCTGGTTTTGAGGAGTTTATGTATATCTTGGAACGTTTTCAGGTTATTGCGGACGTGGCTGTTCAGCAATAGCAGATTCAGGAACTTCCCTGCTGGCTGGTCCAACGGTATGGCATATCTGTAGCTACATACCTATAAAAATCGCGTGCAAAGGATACTGAACTTTTGCTGACTCTCCACTACCCTTTCAGACTGTGGTTGCCATGATAAACAAAGCAATTGGAGCTTCTGGAGTTGTTAGCCAGCAATGCAAGACTGTCGTTTCACAATATGGACAAACCATCCTTGATTTGCTAATGGCTGAGGTGAATAATAGATCTTATGTTCTTTGGAACCCCATTTCTAACACTACTGCTCTATGCGCCTTCTGCTTTAACTTCAATATTTGTTGATTGTTCTTTAACAATATTTACAGGCTGGACCAAAGAAGATCTGCTCTCAAATTGGGCTCTGCACATTCGATGGAATCAAAAGTGTTAGGTAAGACTATAACAGTTTAAATCAGATGCCATAGTTCCTGAACTGGATTCTGTCTGATGCTTGTTCTCCGTGTTGTATTCAACAGCATGGGCATCGAGAGTGTTGTGAATGAAGGCGATGAGAGGTCATCTGGAGCTGTCAATGATGCCATGTGCTCCGCATGTGAAATGGCAGTTGTTTGGATGCAGAACCAGGTGATGCAGAATCAGACACAAGAACGCATTCTGCAATACGTTGATGAGGTTAGTTACCAGATAGACTCCCCTTCACAGTAGTTTCCTCCTGCTTTTTTACAATCTGATACATTTGGCATTGTGTTCAGCTCTGTGATCGAATGCCGAATCCTATGGGAGAATCTGCCGTCGAATGTGGAAGCGTTTCTTCCATGCCAACTGTTTCCTTCACCATCGGAGGCAAAGTTTTCGACCTCCGACCAGAAGAGGTATATCGTCATCCCTTTGCTTGATTTCTTATTGGGCCATGGATAGAGAATGTATGATGATGCGCATGCATGAATTCGTTGGCTTTGGTTGTTCTTGTTGTATCAGTACATTCTGAAGGTGGGCGAGGGCACAGCTGCTCAGTGCATCAGTGGGTTTACTGCGTTGGACATTCCTCCTCCGAGAGGCCCTCTCTGGTAACGAATCCTTACTTCCATCACTACATGCTGAATAGTAATTTGGGATGCACATTGTTTACAATTCCACACTGATTGATTCCTTCTTCTGAATTCAGGATACTGGGAGATGTTTTCATGGGACGCTACCACACGGTGTTTGACTACGGGAACATGCAAGTCGGATTTGCGGAAGCGGCTTAGCAGCATAACTGCTAGTCCGCGCTTATGTAGTAGTATTGAAAGTTGGTGTTGGCTTGTTGGACTGTGTAATAAAGTTGAAGGGTTTCAATCCACCCGTGTAAAGAAACCACTTAATCAGCTGAGAGTTTGAGTATGTGCAATGTAAATAGTGTCATAAGTAAGCGTGTGTATAGTTGGAGAGACAGAGAGTGCTTGGTCCCCCCTTCTCGTTTCTCTTTCGGCTTTCACTTTAATTTTCGGTCACTTATCATGTTCAAAGATGTCTGTTGCTTCTTACTTCTGAGGGTGCAAACTGCAAACTAATCAGTCAGCTTGAGGCCCTCTTTTCGTACTTCATCATATGTTTGTTCAATGCACCTGTTACGGGACAATCGAAGTACTACATCGGAAATACAAGGGAAGGAATTCTTGTATATTAGTGTCCACCAAGCTCATTAGTAAGAGACATTTTGGGGAGGACGCTCAAGAGTAAAATCGTGCGAGTTTGGCCCAAAGCGGACAATATCATACTAATTGAGCGGTCCGATTTGTGACAAGTGGTATCAGACAGCGGCGGATCCAGAACACAGAAGAGCACTGGGCCGAGTTTCATTAGAAAATTGAATAGTAAAAAAACATAATGATTATAGTTTTTTTCCAATGTAAATTGTACACGACGGTATTTTAATTTAGTGATGCATCAATAATTGAGCCTACATCAATACCAATAGTATACACTGTTACAAATAAATTACTTGAGCAATCGGCAAGAAATTCATCGCTCATTTTGTTTTGCAAATCAGTTCTCACATATTTCATTGTTGAAAAGGTTCTCTTCGTAGTAGCTGTTGAAACGAGCCGCATTAACACTAGACAAATCAATCGGCATTTTGTGTCAATCCCTGCATCCACCAACTGCTCTAGTAAGTTTTCAAGGGAACAAACCTCATATTTCTTTTAGTCTTTTACGTTTTAAACTTTTAGAATTTTAGGTTTCATTGTTTTTGTTATATGCATAATCTTTGGGGCTAAAATTTAAAGGCTAAATTTAGAGTACTGATTTGAATATGGTCATCTGAATCATTTTTCTAGTTATACCCAATTTTATTATAAAATCACACTAAGCCGAATGCCTAAAATCGAAAAATTCATAAGGACTATACTAACTACGGATCCAGAGGAGGGCTGGGCCGGGGCCCGGGGTGGCCACCCCCTGCATCCGCCACTGGTATCAGAGTCTGGTTCAGTCTAGGTTGGTGGACGTAAGTTTGGTGGGACCCTCATTCGGTGACCTCGAGATTTGAGATCTACATTTGTGTGGCGGATCAAAGGTGACTCGCGTCCGCGTCTGTTTTGTGGATTCAGGAGAGATCCGCGTTTGGGCTTGGCTGATCAAAGAGAGTTCCGCATTTGGGAAGTAGATCAAAGTGAGTTCCGCGTCTGGTAAAGTCCTTGTACAGAGAAGCCCATCGATTTGGTGGATTCAGGAGAGATCCACGTTTGGGCTTGGCTGATCAAATAGAGTTCCGCATTTGGGAAGTAGATCAAAGTGAGTTCTGCGTCTGGTAAAGTCCTTGTACCGAGAAGCCCATCGATACAAGGCGCCTGGCGGATCAAGATAATCGTTGAGGTGAGGATATTTATTAATATAATCCTAACCCATCAAAGGAAAAAACCCAATGAGCAAAATCAGCGTGTGAAGTGTTAAATTTGAAGGAAATCAAGCTTCTTTAAGCAAACAAACGATCAAGAACCCTTCTTCAAAGCTATTACTGACTATAAGTAACTAAATCTCCACCTTTAGATCTAAGTGGACCCATAAAATTCAGATTTAGAGGTTGTGAATTAAATACATTTTATTTTCCTAAGTTTTCTTAATCGACTCTTATTTCTAAGTCATATTTCAATTTTTTTTCACAGATGGAACGAGTTCGTTGTGCTCTACAAAATTAGATCAATTTTAAATTTATTTTGAGAAATTTTTTTCATACCTCCCGTTACCAACTACATACCATATGGTAACTTCTTCGATTTGAAGTCATTTTTTAAAATATTTGCTCAGAAGGAACGAGTTCATCAAGATCAATTGGATCTACAAATTTCTTGGTGAAAAAAATACAGGATAAAAATTACCATAATTTACCACTATGGTATGGGGGTGGTAACTTGTAGTAAACAATGATGAAAGTCGTAAATGATAGTTAGTATACTCATACTATCATGTATTCAACCTTCCTACAGAGAGGTTATCGTGTTTATGATTTGGTGAGCAAGAAAATTATCACCAGTCGTGATGTGATATTTCATGAATCGATTTCTCCTTTTCACTCCTACACCTCACAGCAACTCTATTGGGTTCCCCACAATGAATTTTCTCGACCAGCTACTGATTTAGAGGATGAATTTGTTCTGGCTGACCCAGCTCCTGAACTGCCTTTGCAGATGAGTGGTGTTGTCGTGCTGCTGAGCCCACTCCTGGGTCCCCTTCTCCTGGGCCCGTTCGGCCTTCCTCCCTGCCTTACATATCAGGTGGTTCTGTTACACCAGTCGGCCCATCCTCACCTCTCCACTCGAGCGGACCTTTAGAAGAAACGGAGTCTCCCGCCACTAATTCTCCTACTGATACCACCGCCTCTCCAAATGAAGTCAGCCCAAGTCCCCCTTCTCCTCCTCCGCAGCTGCGTCCGGGTGATAGGACTCGTGTTCCCCCCAAGCGACTTGATGATTATTATACAGGTCATGAAGCTCATTCAGTTCGTTATCCTATTTCTAACCATCTCTCTTATGACAAGTTTTCTGCATCTTATTGTGCCTTCCTTGCAGCAGTAGTGCAAAACCCAGAACTTCGCACATTTCGTGAGGCCTTCTTGCATGAGTGTTGGCGACGTCCCATGGTAGTCGAGGTGTTGGCTCTCAAAGAAAATGGCACGTGGAGTCTTGTGGTATAACCACCCAACAAACGTGTTATTGGCTCGAAGTGGGTTTACAAAATTAAGTTTAATCCTGATGGTACTGTAGAGCGATACAAGGCAAGGTTGGTGGCCAAGGGTTACACGCACATAGAAGGGGTGGATTTTCACGATATTTTTGCGCCAGTTGCTAAGCTGGTTACTCTTCGGCGCCTTCTCGCTGTTGCCGTTAGCAAGGGTGGTACATTCATCAACTGGATGTAAATAACACATTTCTCCATGGTGATTTAGATGAAGAAGTTTTTATGCGGATCCCCGAAGGCTTCGCTGCACCTAGAGATACTTGTGTTTGTCGTTTTAATAAATCTATTTATGGGCTTAAGCAGGCTTCGAGGAACTGGTATCACAAATTCACTAATGCTATTTGTGAATTGTAGTTTCGTCCATCACCTGTCGATGACTCTATGTTTGTTATTCACCGGGGGAGTACTCATCAGGTTGCTCTCATTTACGTCGATGATGTTGTGCTGGCCGGGAATGATCTCGCTTTCATCACTCGTGTCAAGAAATTCCTTCATTCTCGCATCACTATCAAGTATTTGGGAGATTTGAGATATTCCTTGGGCATCGAGGTGGCCCAGTCACCGGAAGGCATGGTTCTCAGTCAGAGAAAGTACACTCTTGATATTCTCCACGATTCTGCATCATGGCTAGTCGCCCCAGTGCCTTTCCGGTTGAGCAAAATCACTAGCTTACCCAGCCTACACCTACCGATCATGTCGATCCTGCAGTGTATCACTGGTCGGTTGGTCGTTTACTTTATCTGACTATGACTCGCCCTAACATCACGTATGCGGTTAATATTCTTAGCCAGTTTATGCATGCTCCCACTTAGGCTCACATGGATGCCGGTAATAGGATTCTTCGTTATTTAAAGGTTGCTCCCGGACAAGGATTGTTTTTCCCTGCGACTAGCACACTTGATCTTGTCGCCTATTGTGATACTGATTGGGGAGGTTGTCAGTATACTCGCGGTCTTACTACAGACTTTGTCATTACTCTGGTGGTGTGCCTATTTCTTGGCGAACCAAGAAACAGTAGGTGGTAGCTCGATCCTCTATCGAAACTGAGTATCATGTCATGGCGAGCACGGTTAGTGAAGTGCTTTGGTTGTGGTGGCTTCTGCAGGAGCTCGGTGTGTCTTTACACGGCCCCACTCCTCTTCATTGTTATAATCAAGCAACCCTCCACATTGCTGCTAATCCGGTGTTTCAGAGCGCACCAAACACGTCGAGAAGTACTGCTACTTTGTCCATGAACACGTTCAGCCTGGTGATATTTAGCCCATCAAGATCAGTTCCCATCTGCAGGTTGCTGACATGTTTACTAAAGGTTTGGGTGTCGAGCGTTTTCACTTCCTTTTGCCCAAGCTGCAGGTTCGCAATCTTCGCACTCCAGCTTGCGGAGGAGTATTGGCGTACATAGGCCAGCATCCCATCTCCACTAAGCCCATCATGGGCTCGTCCGACATAGGCTAGCATTCCTTACTTGTTTTATCCTAGATTATAGATGTAAGGATATAAAAGGTGTTGTAAGGTCGAGAGCCTAAATCAAGAATTGATCAATAAGAATTCAGCCTGAGAGTTGAGCTCTCCCGTGGGCTAGTCCCGATATCGGGAAAATCACGTAAATCTTGTCTTGTCTTCTTCTTTAGCTTCCGCAAATTTTACACCCAAGAATAACAGTCCTCCTGCCAAATCCAATTTACCCATTTACACCCCAATTAGGTTTCTGTTTATACCTGGATCGTACCAGGCGATTGAGTGAGACTCTACGACCCCTGGCGGCTTCGATAGATGAGAGGCGACCTCCGAGATCCTACAAGAAAGGTCCTCAGGGGTAACCTGGGACCTCCTCCGATGCTAAAGTTAGAGAGAGATGTGGGAAAGTGTAAATAAGAGAGAGAATTCGGTTGATCGGAGTTACCATAAATACTGCCCCTTTAGGGCTATTTATACTAGGATGTCCACGTACTAAGACATTTAATGCGGTGTCGGGCGGTCTGGGACGCCTCCGAGGACATTAAATGGTGTGTCAGTACGAATGTCTGGTCCTCTCTGTCTGGCAGAGACTCAGTCTTTTTGTCGGGCGGTCCACTGACGTCAGACGTGCGTCAGTGTCGGGCGGTTACCACGATTAGCCAGGGCAGAAACCGCCTTAGATTGAACTAGCCTTTGTGGGCTTTTGTAACCATGGGCCTTAGGTCCACGTATGTCAATACTAGACCCAACATTTGCCCCTTAGTCGTGAGAAGCGTTGGGTTGTCGCGGCTATTCCTTTGCAATCTATGATGCGGTCAATACTCATGCGGTCCATGGTTACTTACTTGCCCCTTGTCGCGATGAGCTTTCGCTAGAAACGGCTATGGGGCGGTCATGGCGCGAGTCACCTTGCCCCTTGTTATTGTGCTGCCACGTGGCCTGCCTCGGGCATGGTGCGTTGTGGGGGAGCTGTGCCCCCATCGGGAACTGTGCCCCCATCGTCGATTACTCCTGTAGAGGAGCCTGTGCGGCCCGCGGCGCCGCTCTCGGGAAGAAAGTGGTCGCGTCTACTGGTGGTGCGACTTCCATCGCGCAAGGTACGATTCATTCTCCTTCCGCTCGAAGCGTTCCCGAATGCGTGTTTGACCTATCTGGTTTGGACTTGTACTTCGGGAGCGGTTCCGAATTAGACGATTGTGTTTTTGGGGGCTCCTTGGGTTTAGAAAACTTTTTTGCTAACACGCGCCCTGTACCAGTTGGGGTTGTGGCAACTTCGTCTGCGGTTGGGGATAATTTAGGAGAGTTTGGGGCGATAGATTTAGGTAGCGGTTCCTCGGGTGAAGAGGAGACAGTTAGTAGTGATGGAGAGAGGTCTGAGGCGGTTCCTAGTACGTCTTCGTCGTTGGAGGTAGTTGACTCAGAAGGGGAGGAGTTGTCGCGGTTAGCGATTGAGGATGCCACCTACACAATCTACCGTCATGAAGGTATGTGGGGCGGTCAACCAGTGCCTCAGGAGGTTTTGGAATACGGTCCCAAGTATGTGGCGGCTTTGAGACCCGCACAGGTCCTCCATCGACTGAATGCTTTGAATCTTCCCCCTGAGTGGGATTATGCGGCCCCCTCCAAGGAATGCCGATCTGGGTCGTGCCCGGAGGGTTGGATCCCTATCTTTGTGGAGCACGTGAAGTTAGGTCTGCGGTTTCCTTTGGATCCCATCCTGACACAGACACTGACCTGGTTAGGCTGTACGCTTGGACGTCTCTCGCCCTCCATCATTTTCCATTCCATTATGTATCGATATGCATATAGCCGCCTGAATGAGACACCCTCTTTTGATGCGTTTCGGCTACTGTATAAGATCCGGTATTCGACTAACTGTTGGTCCATCGGAAGGCGGGACAGCACCCTCGGTCTGGTATCGGGATCGCCCAAGCTTGACTCGCCTTGGTACAGGGAGTATCTGTTTGCTCGTCCCACGGGGCAATGGTACTCTGGAGGAACCGCCCCTCCCATCGTGTATGCGGTTGGATCCAAGGAGTCTTGGTGTTCCTCGACTCAGTACTCTTTGGCGGTTAGGGATCATGTGGACCGCCTCATTGAAGGATTTCACCTGCGTGTGTTTCCCAGCGGTTCAGGGAGTGCGTACGAGCATGTTCGCGATTTTTATGGTCAGTACATGTGTCCTTTGCTTGTGTTGTTCCCATTTTCTCATATGAGTTTACTTATTCTTTTTTCTTCCACGTCTGAGAGCATTGGCCGATGCGGTTCGTCCCAAGAAGAAGAAAGTTGATGTGAAGGTGAGCGACCCTCGGGGAGCGGGTCCCTTGACGACCGCTGCTGGGGCGGCAAAGGCTGTCATTCCACCTCGACGCCAGGGAACGCCCTCGTCACCTGGTGCGGTCATCCGTGGTGCTGGTAAGAGGCCGATGGAACCTAGTGTTCCTGTCAATTTGGCCAAGCGGTCGAGGACCAATTCGCCGCGTTCGAAGGTTGGGGAAAACCGCGGTAAGGGTGTGTCCCCTTCGGTGAAGGTGACTCAAGTTGATCTTCCTCCTCAGGCGGCCACTGATGGTGAGGCTGCTGAACTCGCTTTTCACACGATCTGCGATCAGCTTGTTATGCCACCCGAGTATACAGCTTCTTCCAGTGGTAACAGCAAGCGCCTTGCCAGAACCGCCACTCAGTTCTTCTTTGCGGTACGTCTATAGTTATGCATGTTAATGATTTGCTGAGAATTGCTTGTTCATTTCTCCGTTTCCCGCGTTTCAGGCCCAGATTGGATTCTCTCAGATTCTGATGAACAACGACCGTCTATCAAAAACCATTGATGACCAGGCCGTAGAGATTGCCAAGCTGAAGAAGAGCTCGAGCGAGGGGAGAGAAGCGTTGCTGGGGGAGATTCGTCCACTGGTGGAGGGGGAATATGAGGAGTGGTTGGCCCGGAAAGACAAGGAACTCAGTTTAGGAAGGGAGGCGGTTCGGAAAGCTCAGGAAGAGAGGGATCAGCTGCAGGAGCGTGCAAAGAAGTCAAGTGAGATGGAGAAGTTGTTACTGGAAGAGCAGGAGTCACTTCGGAAAGAGGTAGAGGCTTTGAAGCTGGAGAAGGCGCCCTTGCAAGCGAACCGCCAGGCTGAGCTGGAGACCGTTCGCGCTGAAGCCGGTCCAGCATACTTAGAGTCTGCCGAGTTTCAAGCAATTGACAATGAAAAGTACAAGACCATCGTCGGCAACGCGGTTGCTGCTATCCGTCATTGGTTTCGTATGGACCAACCGGAGGCGGTTTGGAGTACCGACGAGATCTGGGATGCGGTTGGTGCGTGGACGGATGCGGACGTGAATTCTGAGAATGAGGAAGAAGGTTCTCCGGTCGCTGATGGTGGAGGTGATGATGGCCCCCGCGATTCTTGAGCGGTTTGGGTGTTTTGTTGTAATTTGCTATGTTAAGACAATGCATCTTTGTTGCTTTTTTGGCGTCCTATCCTTGCGGAAGGCGCCTTGTTGGATAATTATGTTATAATGTCAGGGCGGGTTCTGATGACCGCCGCCCTGCGTTGGTTATGTGTTTAGACTTGTGTCTCAATTTCTAAGTTGTGCGCTGTGTCTTGCTAACTTATGCGGTTAATATCAAGGTTAGCTTGTCATGCGACTCTGGGATCGTCGGCGTAAGTCGGATACGGGATATGCGACCGTGTTTGCAAAAGATGAAAAACTTAGCCGAAAATTCTTCAGTGTATTACATGAGCAAAAGGGGTTGATGTGCTAGCCAACAATACACTGTTACAAGGGCGGGTGTGTACCTAGGCCCATCAAAATAGCACTTGAGTTGCCGAATAGTCTCTCAGACCGCTTCCGAGTGATATCTCCTTAGATGCATGCCATTCCACGTTTTGGATATAGGATGGCCTTCCATGGTGGCGAGTCGAAAGGTGCTGGGACCTGTTTTTTCACCAATGAGGAATGGTCCTTCCCAAGCAGCTCCAAGTTTGCCATGCTCGTCCTTGCGTTGGAAGTCACGCTTGAGGACCATGTCTCCCTCTTCCAGGGGACGCGGTTTAACCTTCTTGTTGTAAGAGGCGGCCACCTTAATCTTCTCGCTGATGATGCGTTCCAAGGCCGTGTCTCGTCTTGACTCCACCATGTTCAGTTGATCCAGTAAACCCACGTGATTACTTTCTGGGTTGTATGCTTGAACCCGGAGGGAGGGTAAGTTTAGTTCTTCTGGAGCGACCGCTTCGGAACCATAAGTGAGAGAGAAGGGAGTTTCGCCAGTGGCCGCCTTGTAGGTGGTGCGGTGCGCCCAGAGGACGTGAGGAAGCTCAGTCGTCCATGCCCCTTTAGCGTCTCCGAGACGTTTCTTTAGTCCTTGTAAAATGAGCTTGTTGGACGCCTCAGCTTGGCCGTTTGTCTGCGGGTATGCCACAGATGCCATAGTGAGCACAATGCGGTTTCTTGCGCAGAAGTTTTCGAATGGTCGACAGTCAAATTGCGTGCCGTGATCGGTGACAATTGACTGTGGGATGCCGAAGCGAATCATGATGTTGTTGAACACAAACTTCTGTATCCTGGTGCTAGTGATGGTCTCCAGCGGTTCTGCCTCGATCCACTTAGTGAAGTAATCTACTGCCACTATCAGATACTTCTTACCTAGAGGGGCCGTGGGAAAGGGACCAAGGAGATCAATGCCCCATTTGGCGAATGGCCACGGTCCGACCACGCTTTGCAGCTCTGAACTGGGAAGATGATGCTTGGAAGCATGCACTTGGCACCGGTGGCAGTTGAGGACAACCTCTGAGGCGTCTTTCTTGATTGTCGGCCAATAGTAGCCTTGTAGGAGGATCGTTCTTTCGAGCGACCTAGGACCCGCGTGGGTGGCGCAAGTACCTTGGTGAATCGCCTTTAGTGTCCATCGTGCCTCCTCTTTGTTTAGGCATTTCAAGTAGGCTCCGGAGAATGACCTTTTGCACAACTGGCCATTCACGAGCGAATACCGAGCCGCCCTTCGTTTGAGTGCCTTCCTTTCCACGGGGTGCTGAGGGGCGATGTCATGTTCAAGGTATTGGATCAGAGGGGCTCTCCAGTCGGCGGTTTCGTCGATGCTCATGACTTCCTCAAGCAGGTCGCTCTCCTTTGAGACAGTGATATGTCAGTCCCCTTAGAAGTCCATGGCGGTTGCGAGCTTGGAGAGGGCATCGGCATGTTGATTGATATTCGGCTTTAATATATCGGATTCTTGGACTTTATGTGATTATCCGTGGTATGTTTTAGCCAATTGGTGCTATTTTAGGGCTCGCTAACCCGGAAATGGTTGAAAAACCATTACTGTCTAGTGCCATGAGTTTGATATATTACAGGTGGAGAAAGCACGAAAAAGAAGCGAGTGCACAACAAGTGATTGGGCCAAAGCCCAAATGGATGGGACTTTGAATTAATGCTGGCGGAATTGGACTTGCTGGGCGATCAACTGACATCATGAATGGGCCAAGGTGATGTGGCGGCCATTTTTGGCCCAAGGAGGAGGAAAGGAACGGAAATCTCTTTGAGGGGGGAATTATAATTTTGGACGGAAAAGGGTTTTTGGGAGGACGTTTTTTGTTTGGTTTGGGGACGGATTCCTGGGGGAGAAAAAAAAAAGCAGAAGCGGACGGATTCTCGGGGGGAATTATTTGGAGACGAGTCGCGCGGAGGAAGGCAGCGGGGGCGATTGTTCGAGCAGCGATCAATTTTTCAGGCGGCTTGAGCCGAATTCAACGAGAGCGATTAGTTGGTTGGATTTTCTAAACCTGATTAGTTGTTTCTTGTTGATTTAGAACATGATGAACAAAACCCTATCGTTTTATCTTAATTTCGTCATGAAATAAACCCCAATTTCTGGGGGAAACACCATAGGATGTAGCTATTTCTTGATTTGATGGATTGATTCATGATTCTTTTCTTCCAATCTCTATTGCATGAAACTACTTAATGCTTTGTGTTGACTGGCCACCAATACAACGATTCGTAGTTGATTAGGTTATTAGCGACAGTGAAACCCTATTAACTGAACCTATTTCATGTGACATAGTAACTTATCGAAGCGACAGTGGATTAAATAAGGTGCTATGCGGTCTTCAATAGGATATCGATCTTCAGGCTGAATAATTAGGTCATTGAGCTACGACAGTAGGATTTGATTTAATTGTTTAGTACGTAGTAATTCCCGACAGGGATAGCTAGCACATTCGTGATATCCTGGCTGTAGAGGTATGGATTAAATTGATTGGAATAGGTGAATTAATCTGGATAGGATAGGTAGTGAATCCCGGTGTTTCTCCCAGAGCTTCTCCCATTGAATTTCTCCCGACAAGTTTACTTTGCTTAATTAGTTTAATTATTTTGCTTTTAGAAATTAGTTTATATCTCAAACCATTTTCACTTATAGTTTGCTCATAAATTTGATAGAATATAAGGTTGTACCAGTCCCTGAGAGACGATACCCGGACTTTCCGGTTTACTACGAGATAGGAATTGAAGCTATACGCTTTTGCCCTATCAAGTTTTTGGCGCCGTTGCCGGGGACTGCCATACCTTATTTTTGTTGATTTTTGTGAGTGAACTGTTTTGATCTGGGTGTTAGTGTGCAGGTGAATTTTTCAGGTTAATCCTCCTCGTGCATGCCTAGGAGGACGACTGGCAATTTACTGCCACTAGATCCCGAGATCGAGAGGACCTGCCGACAGAATAGGAAGCAGGCCAAGTTAGGGAAGCAGCCTACCACATCCACAACTCCTAGGCCTTCCCTAACTCAGAATCGTCAACCGAGAAGGCAGGTGACACCACCTGTCATCCCTACACCACCTACACCACCGCCGCGCATCATCGAACCAGTCATCATGGCTGAACAGGATCGTTCGATCAGGGCTCGTCTGAATCGGAGGACTGGAGCCCGAGCTTCATGTGTTGTCATTCCGGCTGGGGATGCAAACATGGAGATAGCCCCAGCCTTCATCAATATGATCACGAATGGGTACACCTTCTCTGGGGCCAGCACTGAGGATCCTCATGAACATCTCCGCCGGTTTGCAAACATTTGTGACACTATGAAGAGCCCGGCTGTGTCTGATGATGCCATCCGTCTTCGGATGTTCTCGTTTTCTCTGCTAGGGAATGCATCCCACTGGTTCCAGAACTTGACACCCCGTTCCATCACAACATGGGGTCAGCTTGAGAAGACCTTTTTGGATAAGTACTTTCCTCCTGCCAAGGCAATGAAGAGGCAAGAGGAAATAGTCACTTTTAAACAAGCTGAAGATGAAAGTCGGACCGAGGCATGGGAGCGCTATAAGGAGCTTCTAATGAGATGCCCGAGCCACGGTCTCGAAGATTGGAATGTGATCTCCATCTTCTTCAACTGGATCAGAAGACAGTACCGAGATGCTCTGAATAATGCTTCCCGGAATGGTTTCACAAGAATGGAAGCACCAGAAGCATATGAACTAGTGGAGAAGATATGCTCTGAAGATACTGAATGGGGTAGTGAGACCGGCATTTGAAGGAGAGGAGGCTTGCATGAGATAGACAGAGTTGCAAGCTTAGAAGCAAAGATTGATGCTAAGCTGGATTCCAAGTTCGATGCACTCGAACGAAGGCTGGCTAAGTTGGCTCTTGGTAGACAGGAGGAGGTTGCTTATTGCGAATTATGTGAAGGTGCTCATCATATGGATCTATGTCCACTGGTGGCTGATCAGGTGGAAGATGTGCATTATATCAACAATCAGAGAAATCAAGGCCAGGGTGGTATGTATTCGAATACCTACAACCCACAATGGAGGAAGCATCCCAACTTTTCCTGGGCGAACAACAACCCAAATGGTGCTCGCAACATTGCTCCTCCAGGCCTGCAGAAACAACAACCTCCACCTCAACCAGAGAAGAAACCACAACTTGAAGAATTGCTTCTGGCTCACATGCAGAAAACCGACAATAATCTGAAGGGCCTAGATCAGTTTGTCACTCAACAGCTAGCCATCAACAATAATTTACAATCTTCTATGCTAGCTATGGAGAGGCAGATGGGGCAGATGGCTCAAACTCTGGCGGATATGCAGGGCAGGATTCCTGGGACATTACCGGCTAATACCGAGAGGAATCCAAAAGATGCTAAAGTTGTGGCAGTGACATTGAGGAGTGTAAGGCCTTGGAAGACCCTAGCAGCTCGGAAAAGGCACCAGAGGCAGAAGAGGAAGCACAGGGAGAAAGATCTTGTGCAGAAGGTGAAGAATCAGCCTTGCACAGGCAAAGCAAAAGCATGCTGCCCGTGTACCTCAAAAAGAGGAAAAAGCGAAGAGCGAGGAGCTAAAACCTTATGATCCACCCGTACCATTCCCTCAAAGGTTGATGAAGCCCCTGGAGGACCCGAACTTCAAAAAATTTGTGAATCTCTTCAAGCAATTGCACATCAACATTCCGCTAGCTGAAGCTCTTGAGCAAATGCCCACATATGCCAAATTTCTTAAGGAATTGTTGACAAAGAAGAGAAAGTGGACTGATTTGGAGAAAGTAACACTCACACCAGAGTGTAGTGCTGTCATCCAAAATAAATTGCCAGAGAAGAGGGAGATCCAGGGAGCTTCACCATCCCATGTATTGTCGGTGAGACAGAGTTTACAAAGTCGCTTTGTGATCTTGGAGCCGGCATAAACCTCATGCCATATTCTGTTTATAAGAAGCTGGGACTCCAAGATGTGATCAAACCGACTCGAATTACTCTACAGCTGGCTGATCGATCAGTAAAGGTCCCCAAAGGCGTGGTGGAGAATGTGCTAGTGAAGGTGGGAAAATTCATCTTCCCCGCCGACTTCGTCATTCTGGAGATGGAGGAGGACAGGGAAGTACCTCTCATTCTTGGGAGACCCTTCCTAGCGACGGGGGGTGCTCTCATAGATGTCCAAAAGGGCGAGCTGACATTCAGAGTCTGTGGGGAAGAGGTAAAATTCAATGTATACCATGCAAGTAAGTACCCTAACGACTCTAGTGATGTGTTTGTTGTGGATGTCATAGAATCATGCACTGATGCTATTTTGAACAATGATTATGATGCTGATTCTGAGTTTGATGATTCTGATAATGAACTTGATGAGCTAACCGTGTCAAAGAGGGCACAAATGCTCGAGGCATTGCCTATGCAGGTGGAAGGTGATGAAAAGGCTAAGTTTCCAGAGAAAATGGTTCCATCTCGGATCCAGCCTCCGGAATTGGAACTAAAACCATTGCCTAGTCACCTTAAGTATGCATATGTAGGAGAAAACTCCACTTTACCTGTGATTGTTTCTGCTACACTGACTGATTCACAGGAACAGGAGCTCTTGAAGGTCTTACGCCAGCACATACAGGCTTTAGGTTGGACTATTGCCGACATCAAAGGCATTAGTCCAGCATTTTGTATGCATAAGATCCTTCTAGAGGAGGAGTCCAAGCCCTCCGTCCAGGCACAACGGAGACTAAACCCGCACATGAAAGAAGTGGTGCATAAGGAGGTAATGAAACTATTGGATGCAGGTATTATTTACCCTATCTCTGATAGTACTTGGGTTAGTCCCGTGCATGTTGTCCCTAAAAAGGGAGGAATGACAGTGGTGAGAAACGATAAGGATGAGATGATATCAACCCGAACTGTAACGGGCTGGAGAGTATGTATAGATTATAGGAAGTTGAATGAGGCGACCCGAAAGGATCACTTCCCTCTTCCTTTTATTGATCAAATGCTCGAACGGTTGGCGGGTCATTCTCACTACTGCTTCCTAGACGGTTACTCCGGTTATTTTCAGATCCCAGTAGCACCGGAGGATCAAGAGAAAACTGCTTTTACATGTCCTTTTGGTGTTTTTGCATATCGTAGAATGCCTTTTGGATTATGTAATGCACCAGCAACCTTTCAGCGGTGCATGACTGCCATATTCTCTGACATGTTAGAATCGAGTCTTGAAGTTTTCATGGATGACTTCTCGACTTTTGGTACTAGCTTTGAACATTGTTTGGCTAACCTGTCTAGAGTTTTGCAGAGATGTGAAGAGACTAATCTAGTCTTGAACTGGGAAAAATGTCACTTCATGGTGACAGAAGGTATAGTGCTTGGTCATCGGATTTCGGCGAGGGGGATAGAAGTTGATAAAGCTAAGATTGAAATCATTGAAAAACTTCCCCCTCCCAGCACAATAAAAGGAATTAGAAGTTTTCTAGGTCATGCCGGTTTTTACCGGAGATTTATTAAAGACTTCTCAAAGATCACCAAGCCTTTATGCGATTTGTTGGCCAAAGATACTGTGTTTAACTTCTCTGATGAGTGTTTGCAGGCCTTCAATCGACTTAAGAAGGAGTTAACCTCTGCCCCCATTATCACTGCACCAGACTAGACTTTGCCATTTGAAATTATGTGTGATGCTAGCGACTATGCAGTCGGGGCAGTTTTGGGGCAGAGGAAGGAAGGTAAGTTACATGCGGTGTACTATGCAAGTAAGCTTCTTAATGATGCACAATTGAACTATTCCACTACTGAGAAAGAACTACTTGCTATGGTGTTTTCTTTTGATAAATTTCGATCTTATTTGATGGGATCGAAAACAGTTGTGTACACTGACCATGCAGCTATAAGGCACCTTCTTTCAAAGAAGGAGGCCAAGCCGAGATTGCTTCGTTGTGTTCTTCTTTTGCAGGAATTCGACGTTGAAATTCGGGACAAGAAAGGTTCGGCTAATCTGGTCGCCGATCACCTTTCTAGACTTGAGCTTGAGGCCATTCCTAAGGACAAGGTTGAGATCAATGAGTCTTTTCCAGACGAGCAGCTTTACGCTCTCCTTGTCCAACAAGCTCCCTGGTATGCAGATCTTGCGAACTATCTCGCCACAGGTAAGCTCCCTGATTTGTCTTATCAACAGCGCAAGAAGTTAATTACTATTGCCAAGAATTATATATGGGAAGACCCCTTCCTGTATAAGCATTGTGCTGATACCATGGTAAGACGATGTGTTCCTGAATGTGAGGTAAAGTCAGTGCTAAATTTATGTCATAGTATGGCCGCAGGAGGCCACTTTGGACCTCATAGGACAGCAGCAAAGGTGTTACAATCTGGATTTTATTGGCCTTCTCTATTTCGAGATGCCCGTGATTTTGTTGCTCAATGTGATAGGTGCCAAAGAACAGGGAACATATCTGCAAGGATGGAGATGCCGCAGACCTCGATTTTGGAGGTAGAGATGTTTGATGTATGGGGAGTGGATTTCATGGGGCCATTCCCACCGTCTTTCAACAACAAATATATCTTAGTCGCAGTCGACTATGTATCCAAGTGGGTGGAGGCAGTGGCGTTGCCCACCAATGACTCAAAGACGGTGGTGAATTTCTTGAGGAAGAACGTGTTCACCAGATTCGGAGTCCCTCGAGTTCTCATCAGTGACGAGGGCACACACTTCATGGGAAAGGAGTTGAACACGTTGCTGGCCAGATATGGGGTTAAGCATCGAGTTGCTACACCCTATCATCCACAAACCAGTGGGCAAGTGGAGGTTTCCAACAGAGAACTGAAACACATTCTGGAGACGACAGTGAATTCAACAAGGAAAGATTGGGCAAGGAAGTTAGATGATGCACTCTGGGCATACCGGACTGCTTTCAAGACTCCTTTAGGCATGTCTCCATACAGATTGGTGTTTGGAAAAGCTTGCCACTTGCCCGTCGAGCTCGAGCATAAGGCGTACTGGGCTATCAAGAAGCTGAACTTTGATCTAAAAACTGCTGGAGAGAAGCGTCTGTTGCAACTGAATGAGCTCGATGAAATTAGGCTTAACGCCTATGAAAATGCCCGGATTTATAAGGAGAAAACCAAGAAGTGGCACGATCACCACATACTGAGAAGAGAGTTCAAGGTGGGAGAGAAGGTATTACTTTTCAATTCACGCCTTAAACTTTTCCCTGGAAAGTTGAAGTCAAGGTGGTCCGGACCATTCACGGTGACCAAAGTGTACCCACATGGTGCAATTGAGATTCTTGGTGATCAAGGGGCGTTTAAGGTGAATGGTCAGAGGCTCAAGCACTATATTGAAGGGGTTTCCGTCCTGGAAATCTCAACATATCATCTGGAATGAGCTATTTTACGTCAAGCTAGCGACGCAAAACAAGCGCTTCTTGGGAGGCAACCCAAGGTGAGTTTTTCTTTCAATTTTTTTTCATTTTTTAGTTTTAGGGTGTGTCTAGAGGCTCTCCGCCGAAATTCACCTCAAAAAAGCCTTGAGGAAGGTATTATTTTGTGTTTTGTAGGTACACGGGCAGGCTGTTTTTTGCACAGGGAGGCCGCAAAATGAGCACAGGCAAACCGCAAATGTAGGGGGAGGACTAATCTGAAAGTTTTGTGGGGGGAGGACTGATCTGACAATTTTGAGAAGGAAGGGGGGACTGAAAAGGAGAAATTCCGTGTCTCTTAAAAAAAAAAAATCCGACAGCAGCACAGCGTTTCGGATTCGGATTTAAAAAAAAAAAAAAAAAATTACAGCAGCAGCGCCGCGTATCAGTTTCGGAAAAAGAAAAAAAAACAGAAAAAAAAAGGTCGGGCTGCTGCCCTTCCCCTCTCCCTTCCTTCCCCGACGTTCCCTTCCTCCCTTCTTCTTCTTCGAACAAACACAGCAGCAGCGCCGGCGACCACTCCCCCCCACCGCCGACCTTCCGCCGCGCCGCGGAGCTCCCCCACCACAGGCTCCGCGTCGCCCGACAAGCAACAGCCACCGAGCTTCATCGCCATCCGCCCAGCAGCCGCCGACCCAGTCCGCCCAGCCCGTCCGCCGCCGCGCCAGTCGGCCCTCCGCCTCTGGTCGTCGGCTCGTCGCCGCCAAACCCAACCCGCTCCAATCACCCACCTCCCCCCAGGTCTGATTTGAACAACCTAGAGTTGAAGATTCAAGAACAAAAAAAAAATTAGGGTTCTTCAAATTGGGGGTTTTGCTCAATTTCGAATTTGAGGTGACATTGGAGTGTGATGATTGCTTGATTGGGCCAATTGAAGTGCAATTACTGTCTAGAAGAATATTTGCAGAAGATTTATGGGTGCATCTTGAGAATTGGTTGATTTGAGGGTTGTGGAATTTGGAGATTTTCTGATTGTGGTAGCAGTGAACTGGAATTTGGGAAGCAGAGCACAGATTTGTGCAAACTTGTTGATTCAAGAGCAGAGGGGAGGTTTAAGAAGTTTGTTTTCCAGTTTGCACTCTTGGTTGCAGATATGGTACGTCGAAGGTATATCCCTCCACCTCGGCAGTTCAAGGTAACAGATCAAAGTGAAGATGGGAAGACTGTTTACCGTTCGTGGATGATTGAAGACAGCCACAAGGTGACAGATAAAGACAGCCCAATTCCAGAAGTTCCTCCACAACTTCAAGCTGTCAACATGCCCGCTCGATTTCACAGGATGATCACCGGACAGGTTGGACCCACGATGCGGTCCCGGACTATTGAGAGGGTTCCCGGAGAACCCTACGGGTTTGGAGATCAGTGATGGCTCGACTCTACTTGGGGAAGCAACATTAGGCAAATTGGGGTTTCTGAGGAAAGTAGGATCTCGTGGAGAGTATCTATCTATCGCAAAATACAAGGAGTGGGAGACCAAGGTCAATCGGAAAAGGAAAGCAAGGGCTGCTAGAGCAACTTCTGCTTCGGCATCATCTGCCGCACCATCAGTAGCCACTCCGACCACAGCTCCAGCTCCTACACCGACAGCAGCGGGGCACTCGGACTCGAGTGTCAGTTAGGGCCAGCAGTCCCATCCTACTCCAGTTCCGCATCCAGAAGATACCCCACCAGTCATACCAGCTTCAGCATCATCTACAGACGAGCTCAGAGCCAGAATAACTCTCTTGGAAGCCAGAGACGCAGAGAAAGATAAGAAGATCCAGGAGCTAAACCGGCGTCTAGATGAGAAGCTCGGCACTTCTTCATCGACCCCTCCTTCATAGGAGCTTGTCCCGAGGTTCTTATTTCTTTTCTTTTCTTCTTTTCTTTGTGAATACTTCTGATGATGGTCTGTATAATGTTAGTTAGGTGAACCGATTGGTGTGTCGTGTGTAGTTGTAGACATTGTGGACAATGTCCATCCTGAGTGTGGGGTGGATGGTCTGTGTTCTTGTCGTGTTTTATGTAGAGTCGTAGTTGTCCACAGTGTCTCGTTTTGTGTTAAAAAAAACTGCCATTAGGTTGAGCACCGGCAAGCTGCATGCAGTTTGCCTGTGTAAAAAGCAGTCTGCCTGTGTAAAAAGCAGTCTGCCTGTGCAAAGCTAATGGCTAAAAAACACCTAAAAAAAAATTAAAAACAAAACCTTGTACTCTTGTGGTAACATGATGTAAATGACTGTGATGCCTTGAAAATGAGTTTGTGCTTGAATGAAATCATCAAAATCACCCCACTAGTGTTGAATTGCATAGTTCTTCACAATGAGCTTGAATGTTTTGACTGACTTGATATGCTTTGAATGAGAAACTCTTTTAGCAACATTCTCTTTTGTGAGGATAGTGTAATGACTTTTGGTGAAGTAGTTAGGTGGAGAACATTGACCATTCGACATGTTTGGATACCGTGCTTACTTGCATCAATTGTGAGCTTTTGATTTTGCAATGAGTCTCTCTGTTTTGAATGTTTTATGATGGGGTGATCTGTATCTTTATAAAAGAAAACACTACCTGACAAGTAAAATATAAGAAAGTTGCCATAACAATTAAAGTGTGGGTAAAAATGCCAAAATCGTGTGAGGCAATCACTCATTGCACATGGGGATGAGGAAAGATTCAATTGAGAATCGGTTCGCGACCGTACGATGTTGCTTATCAAGTACGATTCCCCAGTTGAGTGAAGTGCCATTTGAGGATGCAATGACCCTCCACACGGACCGAGGATAAGGAGTTAAAAGAAGCCCTTATGCGAGTGCTAAGAAGCAAAAATTGCTCTTGCTCGGTCACAAATAGTAAGAAACAAATCCCACTTGTACTAAATACGACTTCTCGGCAAGCAAAAGCAGAAAGAGAGAAAGCCTCTCCTTGTCATAAAAGGTAGTGATGTGCTTAAAGTTAAAATCATGTTTGCGAAAGGCTTCCCCCATTAGTTTTTGAGACTCATGCTTAATTAATTGCTTATGATTGGTGTGAGTAAGCCAGATTGTCCTCACGAGATGTGCACCTCACTGATGTGGTTAGATTCTCCTAATAATTGTTGCACCATAAGTTGTTAACCACCCACTACCGACGATCGAAAGTGAGTGTTGCTATTTGAGTTTTTGATGGATTTGAGTCAGTCAATGGTAGTGGTTGCAAAGAACTTGAGTGTGGGGTGAAAGGTATGATCATTAAAGCACAACTTATTCTTGAGAAAGAAACTACTGATTACAACAAGAGTACAAGGAAAAATTTGTTTTGTTTTGAGTGTTTGAGTGTTGAGTCTGTGGTGTATCATTGTTTTGGATGATTATGTGTTTGTGTTGTTTGAGTCGTTGCTTAGGGACAAGCAACAATTGAGTGTGGGGTTGTGATATTCGGCTTTAATATATCGGATTCTTGGACTTTATGTGATTATCCGTGGTATGTTTTAGCCAATTGGTGCTATTTTAGGGCTCGCTAACCCGGAAATGGTTGAAAAACCATTACTGTCTAGTGCCATGAGTTTGATATGTTACAGGTGGAGAAAGCACGAAAAAGAAGCGAGTGCACAACAAGTGATTGGGCCAAAGCCCAAATGGATGGGACTTTGAATTAATGCTGGCGGAATTGGACTTGCTGGGCGATCAACTGACATCATGAATGGGCCAAGGTGATGTGGCGGCCATTTTTGGCCCAAGGAGGAGGAAAGGAACGGAAATCTCTTTGAGGGGGGAATTATAATTTTGGACGGAAAAGGGTTTTTGGGAGGACGTTTTTTGTTTGGTTTGGGGACGGATTCCTGGGGGAGAAAAAAAAAAGCAGAAGCGGACGGATTCTCGGGGGGAATTATTTGGAGACGAGTCGCGCGGAGGAAGGCAGCGGGGGCGATTGTTCGAGCAGCGATCAATTTTTCAGGCGGCTTGAGCCGAATTCAACGAGAGCGATTAGTTGGTTGGATTTTCTAAACCTGATTAGTTGTTTCTTGTTGATTTAGAACATGATGAACAAAACCCTATCGTTTTATCTTAATTTCGTCATGAAATAAACCCCAATTTCTGGGGGAAACACCATAGGATGTAGCTATTTCTTGATTTGATGGATTGATTCATGATTCTTTTCTTCCAATCTCTATTGCATGAAACTACTTAATGCTTTGTGTTGACTGGCCACCAATACAACGATTCGTAGTTGATTAGGTTATTAGCGACAGTGAAACCCTATTAACTGAACCTATTTCATGTGACATAGTAACTTATCGAAGCGACAGTGGATTAAATAAGGTGCTATGCGGTCTTCAATAGGATATCGATCTTCAGGCTGAATAATTAGGTCATTGAGCTACGACAGTAGGATTTGATTTAATTGTTTAGTACGTAGTAATTCCCGACAGGGATAGCTAGCACATTCGTGATATCCTGGCTGTAGAGGTATGGATTAAATTGATTGGAATAGGTGAATTAATCTGGATAGGATAGGTAGTGAATCCCGGTGTTTCTCCCAGAGCTTCTCCCATTGAATTTCTCCCGACAAGTTTACTTTGCTTAATTAGTTTAATTATTTTGCTTTTAGAAATTAGTTTATATCTCAAACCATTTTCACTTATAGTTTGCTCATAAATTTGATAGAATATAAGGTTGTACCAGTCCCTGAGAGACGATACCCGGACTTTCCGGTTTACTACGAGATAGGAATTGAAGCTATACGCTTTTGCCCTATCATTGATTGTCATCCCGCCGGACATGATCAAGTTTCCATGTGTTCAGCTGTCCTAACGCACTTCGAACTCGATTGGCTAAGACCGCCAGCTTCTCATCCTTGATTTCGAAGGCTTTATGGACCTGTTTGACCACCAAGAGGGAATCGGAAAATATGTGGACATCTGACGCACCCATGTTGGAGAGTATCCTTAGACCGTTGATGAGTGCCTCATATTCGGCGGCATTGTTGGTCTTGATGTCCTTGAACCTTAGCGAAATTTCATGTACTACTCCTTCTGGAGACTCAATCACTATTCCTGCTCCTAAGGCGGTTTTTCCGGCTGCCCCATCAATGAATAGACGCCATACTTGCGGTCTATCTTCCGACGGAGAAGTATCCAGGGAAAATCTTTCTGCGATAAAGTCAGCGAGTACCTGGCCCTTGATGGCAGGTCGGGGGGCGTATTCAATGTCGTACTCACTAAGCTCTATGGCCCACTTGGTTAACCGCCCTGAGGCGTCCATGCCCCTCATGATACTCTTCAGTGGGAGGTGAGCTAGGACTGTGATAGGGTGTTCTTGGAAGTACGGCCTTAACTTCCTAGCTGCTGAGGTTACTGCTAGGACGGCTTTCTCCACTGGGAGGTAGCGGGTTTCGGCCGGAAGGAGCGCTTTGCTCACGTAGTAGACGGGTTGATCAGAGCCATCTTGTGCCCTTCTTACGAGTGCTGAGCTGACCGCCTGCTCGGAGACCGCTAAGTACAGATAGAGCCGTTCTCCTCTGATGGGGGCGCTCAAGACTGGCGGGGAGCTAAGTTGGTTTGTCAGCAAAGCGAAGGCTTTGTCACACTCTTCGTTCCATTGTAGCTTTGAGGCCGTCTTCTTTAGCATTTGGAAAAAAGGGGAGCACTTGTCGGCTGACCGTGGGATGAATTGCCCGAGTGCTGCCATTTTTCCGTTGAACGCTTGTATCTCCTTGATGGTCTTGGGCGGCTTCAGGCTGCGTATGGCTTCGATTTGCTTTGGGTTGGCCTCTATCCCCCTATTGGTGATCATAAACCCGAGGAACTTTCCCGCCTCCGCACCGAAGACGCATTTGAGGGGATTGAGCCTCAGGTTCCTTCGCCTTAGTGTCTCGAACGTTTCTCGCAAGTTGGTCAAGTGATCTCCTGCCTTCCTGCTCTTGACCAACACGTCGTCGACATATGCTTCAACGTTCCTCCCCATTTGGTTCGTGAAGACCGCATCCACCATGCGCTGATAGGTCGCACCAGCATTTTTCAACCCGAATGGCATGACCACGTAGCAGAAGTTGCCCATGGGTGTCATGAAGGCTGTGTACTCTTGGTCGCTTTCAGCCATTCGGATTTGATGATATCCTGAAAATATGTCTAAGAAACTGAGCGCCTCGTGATTTGTGGTTCCATCGATCAGTTGGTCGATGCGGGGCAAGGGGTACGAGTCTTTGGTACAGGCCGCGTTGAGGCTCGGGAAATCGATGCACATCCTCCAAGCACCCCCTGCCTTTCTCACGAAGACGGGATTTGAGAGCCACGTAGGGTACTTCACCTCTTTGATGAAGCCGGCCTTGAGCAGCCGTCGTATTTCCTCTTCGAGGGCCATTTGTTTTTCCACCGATAGATGCCTTCTCCTTTGTTGGATGGGTCGCATTTTCTGTTTGACTGATAGGTGATGCTCGGACACGTGTCTGGGCACGCCCGGCATATCCTCCGGCCCCCACGCAAAGAGGTCTTCAAACTCTCGGAGGAGTGTAAGTAGCTTATGCGCCTCTTCAACCGCCAGGTGAGACGAGATGCGGACCGTCCTCTCTGGGCGCCCCTCGTCTAGGGCGACTGCGATGTCCCCTTCGACGGCTTCAGGGTGCGGGACGTCGCCTCGTGAGTCTATGAGGTCAATCTCCAGGTGCTCGACTGTCGCCTGGTAGCATTCCTTGGCTTCTTTGGCGTTTCCTCGGACTCGTCCCATTTGTCCTCCACTGGGAAACTTCAGCATTTGATGGCAAGTCGAAGCGACCGCCTCGAATGAGGCTAAAAAACCGCGTCCTAGGATGGCATTGTACGCGGAGGGGCAGTCTGCTACATGGAATTCTATCGGCTTTGTCTTGGTGATTCCTTCTTCGCCGATGGTGACCTTAAGAATGATTGAGCCCAGAACACGGACCTTTGTCCCTGAGAATCCCACCAGGCTGGTGTTTGATGGACTTAGGTCTTGAACACTCTTCTTCATTCCTTTGAGTGCCGAATAGAAAAGGATGTCAGCGGAGCTTCTGTTGTCGACGAGGGCGCGAGTGACTTTGAACTTTGCGGTCCTGAAAGATATGACCAGCGGGTCTTCTGAGTTTTCCTCTTTAGCCAGCTCGGAGGGTAGGAATGTGACATCCGTGGTTGCCTTTGCCTGGACATTGAGGCATTGGGCTATGCGGTCTCCTTCCGTCCTGGGTCGTTTCCGTCCCCCAACGATGGTGATGACCTCCATTCCGTCGTCGTCGTTGCGTTGGGGCCGGTAGGTGGGAGATTGCCTCTGGGGCGACCCGATCTTGTTCCTGGCAGGCGACCTCGATCGTTCCTTTCTCGTCCTCCTTGCTTTTTCTAGGTCGGGGCTGTGAGAATCTTCCCGCGCCTCTTGCGAGTTCCCGCGATGAGAGCGTCTTGTCTCCAGACGGCTTCTCAAATCGCCTGGGGCTAGGTACCGGAGGCTAGCCTTGAACTCTCGACACTCTGTGGTGTCGTGAGTCATGATTTGGTGCCAGTCGCACCATTTCTTCCCCTCCTGGGGTTCTTGTCCCGAGGGAATCTCTTGCTTCCTTCCTCCTCGTCGCCTATCTCTTCCTCTCTCGCGGTCTGTAGAGAGTACTTCCTTCTTTCCTTCTCGGTCAGAGTACCGGTTGCGATATGGCCTTCGATCTGGGGAGCGTCTTCCCCGTCGCGTGTCTCCACGCTCTTGGTGATCTCCCTGCTGGCGGCCTGACTGGGAGCGGTCTTCTGTGGCTAGCGCCTCTTCGAGCAAGATTGCCCGTCTCGCCAGCTGGTCCAGTTCAGACCAAGAGGTCAGGGCCGCTTCTTTCTTTATCAAAGTTCTCTTGAGTTCGATGCTGGTCGTTGATATCCTGAGGTTGCCGGCGGCTACGACCGAGGAGATGCCATCTATTTCGCAAGTGATCGCGTTCCAGCGGTCGTAGAACTCGGCGAGGGATTCTTCCTTCTTCTGTCTGCAGTTAATGAGGGATGAGACAGTGAGCTTGCGGCGCCTTTGAGACGCAAACTTTGTCGAGAACAACATCGCGAATTGCTCAAAATTCTCGATGATGCCTTCCGGTAGTGAGGTATACCAGGTGCGGCATTGACCGCTGAAGGTTACCGGAAACGCCTTGCATAGGTCCGAGTCGGACGCATTGATGAGTTGCATCTTCAACATGAAAGCGCAAAGGTGGTCCGCGGGATCTGATGTCCCGCTGTAAGTCGGAAGTCCCATTGAGGAGAAATTGGGAGGAACCGGGGTCTTAAACAGTTCCCTTGACAGCGGGTTTTGGAGGACGTTGGGACTCTTGTGCTTCCCATAAGTTGATCGCAAGTGCTCTTCCAAGAATCCGAGGTCTGTTTCCTCCGCGTCCGGTCCTCCGCCTTCTGTCCGGGCAGGGCTGTCGAGGACCAGGACTGCCTTTTGCTTGTCCTCGCGCGTCTTTCCCTTAGACCCTTCTGCGGTCTCTTCTCGTGTCTTCAAGAGTTGAAGGATCTGGGAGAGACTGTCCTGCATGTTTGCTATTTGCATGCCCTGGCTCTTGACAACTTCTTCGAGCTCACTCTCGTCTTCCACTCTCGGCGATAAGCCCCGGAGAGTATTGTTTTCTGTCATCCCTTTGAGAGGGGTCTCGAAATCATCTCCCATCTTTCTTGGCAATGAAGTCGTGAGGCCCCAAGGTGGGCGCCAAAATGTTTATACCTGGATCGTACCAGGCGGTTGAGTGAGACTCCACGACCCCTGGCGGCTTCGATAGATGAGAGGCGACCTCCGAGATCCTACAAGAAAGGTCCTCAGGGGTAACCTGGGACCTCCTCCGATGCTAAAGTTAGAGAGAGAAGTGGGAAAGTGTAAATAAGAGAGAGAATTCGGTTGATCGGAGTTACCATAAATGCTGCCCCTTTAGGGCTATTTATACTAGGATGTCCACGTACTAAGACATTTAATGCGGTGTCGGGCGGTCTGGGACGCCTCCGAGGACATTAAATGGTGTGTCAGTACGAATGTCTGGTCCTCTCTGTCTGGCAGAGACTCAGTCTTTTTGTCGGGCGGTCCACTGACGTCAGACGTGCGTCAGTGTCGGGCGGTTACCACGATTAGCCAGGGCAGAAACCGCCTTAGTTTGAACTAGCCTTTGTGGGCTTTTGTAACCATGGGCCTTAGGCCCACGTATGTCAATACTAGGCCCAACAGTTTCACATTACAGTATGGAGAATTCGAGTTCAAAGAACTGTAATTGAACGAGGAGGTCAGTAAGGTAATTGTATGTTGTTACCCATAAGAGTGGCTTTGAGGATGTAATCAGCCAGGAGGACTTTATCGGTGGGGTTGATGACAACGCCTTCCCCGGTCCAGAGGTTCTGGATGCTGACCACACTGTAGGCGCTGGAGCTCAATACGAGAAGCAGGGTTTCGACAACGGTCTTGACGACGACGGGACCGTGGCCGCGCTTCAGCCGATCTAAGGCGATTATGACCAGTTTCCACAAATTGGTCTTGAAGACGAGGAGGAGTATGAATGCCATCTGCAAGAAGAGGACGGTAAAGAAGTTTATAGTTGTTATGGGTCGAAAGAATCAGAGATCTGGGAAAGTTGACTGGAATTAAGGGTGATGAAGACGACGGAGAAGGAAGTAGGAAGAAGTTTGTATTGATGGATGAAGGAAATTGAAGAGGGGAACCATTAGGAAAAAGAATTCATGGTTTTTATTGAAGAAGGGGGGGGGAATCGGCGGTATCCCAGTCCTCTTTCGTTTTTTTTATTCCTGTCGGAATCGTACTTCCCTCCGCCGCATTTCATCTAGAAAGAAAAGAAACGAAAAGCGTAGCTATTCCATCACCATTTTGTTTGATTCAAATTAATCGGGCAAATTGCATGGTTGGTCACTGTAGTGGTGGGCATACCGGGTTTCCAAGTTCCACCAAACTTCAAACCGAATTCGAACCGAATTATAATTCGGTTCGGTCGTTCAAACCGAATTATAATTCGGTTCGGTTTTGTATGAAAAACCGAAATTGTGAGGTTAGCTTGTATTTTTTCTCTTTCAACTTATTTTTCACCCCTAATGTAAACAATAAATATGCAATTAAATGCATCATCAATGATAAAATCAAACATTTCAACACATAACTCATAAAACACTAACATAATTCAAATATTTAAGTCTCATAATAAGTACAAACATAAAAATTCACCATTAGAAACTTGCAATTATAGTAATTCGGAAAATCGGTTCGGAATTCGGAAAATCGGTTCGGTCGAAAGAACCTTGGTTTCCGAAATATACCCTTTTCTCTTCCGAATCTGAACCGAAGTAATGTTATTCGGTTCGGTTCGGTTTGAATTCGGTTCGGTTAGGTTCGGTTTTACCGAACCGTATGTCCACCCCTAGGTCACTGAAACTACTAAAAACGTTTACGTTTGGTCACAAAATATTTAATTCCATTCATGGTCACTAAAATTAGTTAAATATTTCAAACTTGGTCACCCTCCGTCCATCTACATTAAATTTTGCTTATGTGGCAGTCAACTTTTATAATTGACCGTTAAATGTGTGACATGAAAATTAAAAATAATAAATTATCCTAGCATTTAGGTGTGCGCTTTAGAAAATAAGGACTTAGGATTCACTCATTAAGTATCATGTCTTCAAAATCAATATATTTAAAGTCTAGATAGCATTTCTTACAAATTGTATTCAGTAGCCTAGATTTACCCTAGATACGAATAGAAGTTGGCGTACATACACCCTTATTTATATGTCTTGGAACCTACCTATTAATAGTCTACTAGAGTATGAATATTACGAATATTATTAAAAATTATGTTGTACTACGAGTGTTATTATATAATTTGAAAGAATTGTATCTACATCTATCTATCTATTTATACAATAAATAAAAGCCAAATGAGAAAACTTGAAGCTCCGTTTAAAATTTCATGCATCCAGAGTGAAAGTAGGAAGGGTAGATTCGTCTTCACAGTCATTTATTATTTTATCATTTACAAAAAAAAAATTCAATAATGAGATTTGAACCGTGGTCTTTTCAAACAAAGTTAAGAAACATACCCAATTACAATAAACACATTTGTGTGATCTTCTTTAATTAAAAACATAAAAAAAAACTTAAATCTGCAAATATTATAGGACTTTTCCACCACGATTAGCAACCGAAATGTCATTGATTCAAATATTGCATATCGAATTGCACTCTTGAATGTGTAGAAGAGATGTAGAATTCTTAATATAGACTTAATTGTTATAACTACGATAAAATAACGATATTTTTAAACACATAACTTTTGAGTGAATATGAGGCACATGTGTCATTAAGAGTGTGGTAGATATGAAAAGGTGGAGTGATGTTGGTTTGCAGAACGCGGATAGAAAAAACACTACTAATGTAAGGCCCAAATAGTGCCTCAACCCACTAAACACTCTACCATCGCCGTCTCTCCAAACTTACCATCAGACTCAACAACTGGCTACCTCCTCTACCTCTATTGTTACACCAGAACAATTTTTGGAGGGGTAAATATGGAAAGATTGAGTATTGTTGGTTTGCCCAATGCGGATGGAAAAGGCGCTACTAATATAAACAAGCCCAAATAGTATACGCCCACTAAACGCTCAACCACCCAGGTTAACTGTCGCTACACCTAATATAGTAGTGAAAAGGGAAAGTTGTTTCCCCCATTACAAAATCCTTGCATCCATAGCAAAAGTAGGAATGGTAGATTCGTCTTCACAGTAATTTATTATTTTCTTATTTACAGGAAGGAGAAATACATAAGTGATGAGATTTGAATTGTGATCTCTTTGAGAAAAAGAAAGAAACAATATCAATTACACTAAACAAATTTGTTTAAACTTTTTAAATTAAAAACATACATGAAGTTTAAATGTGAAAAATCATAGTAATTTTCCTTCACAGTTAGCTAAGCAACTAACTCTCCCCTAAATATTTTTTTTGGTATTTGATACTTCTATTTTCATACTTTGTTTATTTTAATTCCTTTTTAATAATTATTTCTATTTCTATGTATCTTATAAAAGGAGAATAATTTTAAAATCGCAAGCCTAATGTCATTGGTGCAAATATTGCACATCGAATTGCAGTATTGAATGTGTAGAAGCGATGCAGAATTCTTGACATAGACTTAAATAATATAACTACCATAAAGCAACAATATTTTTGAATATAAAAGTTTATAGTGAATATGGGGCACATGTGTCTTTAAGAGAGGGGTAAATATGTAAAAGTTGAGTGATATTGGTTTGTCGAATGCGGATTAAAAAAGCGCAACAAATGTAAACGAGTCTAAATGGTGTCACGACCTACTACACTCTCAACCATCGTCGTCTCTCCAAACCTTCGCACCAGACTCGCCAACCGCCTAACCTCCTCCACCTTTATTGTTACGCAAAGCAATTTTCGGAGGGGTAAATATGGAAAGGTTGTTGCTTGGAGAGCTGAATGGTGGGTTATTTAGCTTCTTTGACAGTAATGTGTGATCTCTTAACATCAGTTCATTTGGTTGATCTGCTAGGTTGTCTTTTGAGTTGATTAAAGATAAACAGTGTCCTGGGCTCCCGGCCTACTAAACGCTCAACCATCATTGTCTCTCCAAACCTTCCCATCGGACTCGACAACCGCCTAACCTCTTCCACCTATATTGTTACGCAAAGCAATTTTCGGAGGGGTATATATGAAAAGTTTGAGTGGTCTTGCTTTGAGAGCTAACTGATGGGTTATTTAGTTTCTCTGACAGTAATGTGTGATCTCTTAACATTAGTTCATTTGGTTGATCTTCTAGGTTGACTTTTGAGTTGATTAAAGCTAAATAGCTATACTTTTTGTTGCTTCTATTATGATACTCCTTTTCAGTATCATCATTTTTCTGATTTGAAATATTTTTGTGGTTAGTTTCCCGTAAACAAAGACTATTCTGATTAGTGTTAACATAGGAAATATCTTCAATCATACCACTTTTACACAAAATTTATATGCAAGAGTTTCGATCATTGCCGAATTGAACTATTCAAGCTATAATGTTGATCTTCAACATATAAAACATGGTTTCTTTTGAGTGAAATAACCTCATTATTGCAGATAAGTTTTTACAAGATAATGTTTTGTGATAGTGGTCACTTACTTTCAGATATAAAAGTGGGGTTCTAATTAATACAATATAAAAAGTACGAGTGATAGTCATAATTGGAGCAGATAAAAGATGGTTTGATATACTTTTATCTCCAAGGAATAAATACGTGGTGAGCATATGTTGTAATGGGAAGGACAAACTGAATATTTTGTGTTTGTAGTATAGCATGTTGATATATACGCATGTCTAGACCCGATCGATTGGACATCTCCACCTGGAATTTATTGTCGAAATTTTTGCTCATCAAAACCGCGTGCCAAGTTAGCTCCCTCTTTTATCCTTATATCTTTCTTAATCTGAACATGCATACCCTCATAGGAAACATGTACAGAATTGTAATTTGGGTGCTTCATTAGTGTTGTTTCCATAAGATTGTATTATCTAAGGTGGTTGTTCTAGAATTGTGAATCGTGATTGTATATGCTTTAAGAAATTGTCAAGTTAAGCTTTAAAAGAAGCTAACTTGATCTTCCTCTTTCATTTAGATGGTAAGAGAAATGACCCAAATCAAATTGATTGGGGGTTGACTATGCCCGAGAAATGGTTTAACCTTCTTTGGAGCATCACAAGAGCCTGATAGTATCTCAATCAAAACAATTTTTGTTTTCATGCCTGATGTTGATACAAGTTGTTTACCTAGAGGAGAGCCCTAGCAAGTTAGCTCTTGGAGTTGCGATGCGAAAATAGGTAAGGTAGAAATGTTGTATACAAAATACATACTATGATCATATAGAATGCGTTGGTAGAGATAGTAATCAATCTCATTTAATTGACGAAGCCACTAAGGAGAAGAGAGGAATCACCATTGATACTCTAAATTTTACAAGGCTATTATAATGATTATTTCTTTCATTTCACATAAATTTGTATTATGACTGAAGTGATATTACCCCAAGTCATATATTGCAGCAAGGAATGGTCGTTTGAATTAATGTGCATTGATGCAAAATGTTTTGTAGCTGCCACGAAGGAGTAAGAGTGGACTAATCAGTGTGTTTGCTGCGGAGAAGGATAATAATAAATGGAGAGGGTTCATGACGATTGACTTATACACATTGAAGACATAGAAAGTACAGAGTTGTATGTCATTTGTGTGTTTAGCGTAGCAGAGTGGTTAGGAGTGATTTGGTAGGATTTCACAATGGTAGGGATATTGACAAAACTTATTATCTGTTGGTGCTTCCAGGCGTATATAGCTCGCCTGCTTCTTTTGTTTGTATATGAGATTTCTACGCATTCTATCGACTTGATTTGGACATTGCTGTTTTTTGTTTTTTCAGCCAGGGATTCATCGCCTTTGGCGTCACTGTTGTTTTTGGTCTAAGGGCAATCCAGATTGTGTTTTTCTTATGAAATCTCTTGGTGACTTCCATTTTTACCATCGATAGTCGGAGCCAAGTAAGTATTCCTTCGGTTTTTCCATGTTCATTCTAGGGGCATCATGGTGCATGGCAATAGTGGCTATATTTAAGGCTAATTGCTTGGTTTGGATTGTCCATTATAGTGTTTATGTTTTACTGTTTCTTTTGCATGCAATGGGATAATGACTTACCATCATATTATTATGGTGTTGTTGACCTACCTCCGGCCATCGTCGCATACATGTTAACGGGTAATATCAGTTAGAATCAAACAGTCGATTTCCGAGACTACGTCCGACCAAAGGACCGGGTAATAAGCTAGTTTATTATTAGAGTCTTAGAAGTTAGGTGTTTTTTATAATTTTTTCGGATTGTTGTAATCGATCCTTCCCAATTTTTTGGTGGACAGGGATACAATTACTCCTCTGGAGTGTGGCATTTCGAAGGGCAAGGGTTCGTCCCAGGCCGCACCTCTGGTGTCTGCATAATGCAAGTATTTTGGAGCAAGTGGGCACGCTACAACTCTAATGCTTCGAGTCTATGGTGATAATCTAGTCGTCTACAGATCCAAAATCCTTCCCAACATTCATAACAAATGGTTTAGGTTGAACGTCATTCACAATGTAGATGCTGGCAAAGTTATGTTCTACATTGAAAGATCTCTTGTGTAAAAAGGACCCGATCACGGCGGCAATTCTCACTACTTCAAGTTTGGAGTTTATGCTCAGGATGACGATTCTCATCTCATGGAGTCTCAGTTGGAAGGAGTCAAGATTTTCAAGAAGAAGTAACATGACAATATCCCCACTCAAGATTTTGTAATAACCAATATTTTAGAATCAATGTAGTACGTTTTATAACTTAAACTTGCCCTATGACCTATGGTTTGCTGTTTTGAGATTTGATGTATGGCTATGCCTTAGAGTTTAGACTTCGATTTTTCACCCAAAAAATCTAAGTTTATGGTCTCTTGAGTGGGCTAGTGGAATGTGGATGAATATGATTTCGAACTTTGAAGAATAATGTAGGTTGAGGGGGTTGAATTTAGGGAGAATTGAAATAGGATTTAGAGAAGATAGGGGGAAGGGTCCCTGATAGCCAAGAGGATATCGAAAAAGAGGTAGAGAGAGAAGAGATTTAGAGAAAGAGATTTGAGTCAGAAGATAAGAGATAAGTCATTCATATTATTGAAATTATGAGAATTTGTCTCAATTCCCATATTTTATAAAATCAAGAAATTGACTTGTGGTAATTGAGCGAGAATTCATGTATGAAAATGTTTAATTTTGAGAAAATTGTTAGGTAAATTATTGTCACGCATATGTGAAAATTTTGTGTTCTTTAAATATTTACGAAGAATGTTTTATACTGTTTCGGAGAACGCTCACAAATCAAAATGACCCGAAACCTGATTCAAAATCCGATGATGGATGGAATCAAGATATGACTCGAAATTAGCCAACCCAACTTGACTCAACCTGTGACTCCACCCTTCCCAACCTAAAATTACTTGACCCCGACCTAATTGTCAGGTCTAAGTTACTACTTTCTAATCGGAATGCCGAAAGAAAAATCTCTCCACCCTGATAAACACAAATTCAACAACGACCGTACAAATGTCCCTCATTCCGGATCAGCCATCCTTATTTTGAAGTCCGATTCCGCAAAAATGAGCATTATTAGCTCTGTTTGTTCCGACACCCGTAATCAGGCGCTTTAATTTTTTTTGTGGGAAAGGTAAGCAGTTGGCCGGTTTTGCTTCTCGTGATGAGCAGAAATGAAACTTTTTTTTTGGTAAAGTCGTCTCATCACGAGATCCCTCTACGTTTCGCAACTACATTGCCCGGCCGACCATATCAACGTAACCCCAAAAACCCAAACCCAACCCGCTCTCTTCACATAATTTTCCACAGAGACTCGGACGGGGCCCGTTGCTTCTTCTACATAATAATAATAATGGACGAACCAAACCAAGAGCCTCATCGCTACGAAGCCAGGAAGCTCGACTTCAATTTGCCGCTCTTGTCCACTAGGCGCCACGGCCGCCGCTGCGACGACGACGAAGTGGAGCAGCTCTCCTGTAGCACGGCCGCAAACTCCATCAATCTTCCCCACCGCGTTCCCTTCTGCTGGGAACGGGCTCCCGGCCGGCCGGTCAACGATGCGGGCGACGACCAAGACGACTGGACTCCCCGCCTCCGGCTGCCGCCCTGCAGATGGCATCCCACGCAAACAGACGACGTCGTTCAGGACGAAGGGTGTGATGCTGACGTGGACGAGGACGGGTACGAGGGAGATTATTATAATAATAATAATAATAGTAATAGCTACTCCAACGTGGACGCGCTGTCGCTGACGGAGGCCATCGACATCGCCCAGAGAGGCGACGGCGAATTCGGCCGCCGTGAGAGGTTTAGTGTCAGCAGCAGTAGAAACGGCAACGACGGTGCTGGCGGCGGCGGCGGCGGATCCCCTAATTTCATGATGGAGAGGTTCCTACCTGATGCGACGGCGCTCGCGGCCTCGTCGGTGCTCTACTCGACCAACAAGATGCTCCCGTTCTATGCGCCGGATTCGGACTCGCCGGCGTCGGTGGTTTCGGACAAAGGGTGTGGGCTGGATGCTCTGCTGCCGTGGCGGACCAAACACAAGCTGTGCAACGCCAAGAGCCCCGTGCGACAAGCGCCGCTTAGTGCGAAGCAAAAGAGAGATCATCGTTCGGCTGGTAAGTAAGGCGTGCGGTGCGGGGATGTAATTAATTAATTAAGTAGACATGTTAATTAATTGTTTTCACTTTTAAGGCTAAAGATGAAATGTTATTTGATGGTATGTTTGTATGGCTAGGAATCCATTCATTCTTTATCGTGAATATGTATGGTACGACTGAAAAATTATAGTTGCCTTGTAATTTTTCCCCTCCATGTTGTCCAATAAAAATACCACACTTGTTTTTTACTTTAGGAAAACAGTCCAATCTGGTTAATTAGATTATTTTGCCCGATCAATAGAAAAAAGCAGTCTTCAGTCAACTCATCGACAGAATCCGCAAGAAAATTAAAATGTGGAAGAGTAAACTACTGTCCACAGCTGGAAAAGAAGCCTTAATAAAGTCAGTGACCCAAACTCAACGAACTATGCGATGTCAGTTTTCTTAATACCTCAGGGAGTCATTCAAGAAATCCAAAGTCTAATATCAGGATTCTGGAGGGGAAGAAAGAACGAGGAAAGCAGAATTCATTGGATTAGCTGGGAGAAATTGTGCAGGCCGAAATCAGAAGGTGGAATGGGATTCAGGGATTTACACGGTTTTAACTGGAGCTATTGGGAAGACATGTATGGAATCTACACAAAAATCCTACCTCCCTAGTGGTTAAACTATTTAAAGCTAGGTACTTCCTCACTGTTCTATCCTGGAAGCATCAATTGGAAATGATCCCAGTTATATCTGGAGATTGTTAACGCCAGCACAAGGAATGATCAAAAGAGGTGCAAGATGGAGAATAGGTGATGGTAAACAGGCTAAAGAATGGTGGAATAAATGGATCCCTACAGCCCCAGATTATAAGGTGCAAACTCAAGTCAATGGATTGAATTGGAATGCTAAGGTTGAGTGTTTGATAGACTCTAACACGAGAGAATGGCGATCCAACTTACTAAAAAGTCATTTCCAGGCCGCTGATAGACAAAGAATATTGCAAATCCCTATACCAAAGCAACCTGTGGAAGATACATGGATATGGGGACCTGACAAACTAGGGAAGTATACTGTTAAGTCAGCATACAACCTATGGAAGCAAAGCCAAGAGGAACTTGAAGGGGAAAGATATGTCCCTGTACACTGGAAAAGGCTGTGGCAGCTGAAAATACCACCCAAACTACGCATGTTCATCTGGAGGTGTGGAAGCAACGTACTACCCTACAGGAGCCAACATTGCCAAAGAATTACAGAAGCATATGATGGTTGTCCTTTCTGTGGTTTAATAAAAACCCAAGAACACATCACTAGGGATTGTCACTGGGCGGGAAGAGTATGACGACCTAGTTTCTTGAAACTAATCTGCAAATCATGCGAAGAATGGTTGTGTAAGGTTCTAGAAAAGGCAACGGAAGAGGAGCTATGTGGATTCATTAAAGCCCCATGGTATCTATGGAAAGAAAGAAACAATCATCTTTTCAACAATCCGAAATTGGAAGAGTGGGAGATTATAGCTAGATCCGAAAACTATCTGGCAGAATACCAAATGGTGCAGAGAAGGGGGGAACTGAACCTGGAGATTAAGCCGGGCTATCGATGGGAGAAACCAACGACGAACTCGTTCAAAGGGAATGTCGATGCAGCAATTCTCAAGATGGTGGCACCGGCTTCGGACTGGTGATTCGAGATGAAATTGGTAACTGCCGTTTAGCAGCAGTTCATCGGACGCGCACAGAGTGGCCACCGAAGCTAGCTGAAGCAAAGGCGCTGCTTTGGGAATCCCGAATCTCCATAGCTCACCAATTTAGCCCGATCTTGATGGAATTAGATTGTAAACCTTTGATTGGCAAACTATACTGGGAAGAGCGATCAGAGACGGAAATTGAAACGATCTGCGGTGAAATCCGTGATCCGAGAAGGGACGAGGAGCATCTGAACTGGAGGTTCTGGGCGAGAAATGGAAATGGGGCTACCCACCTTATGGCCCGGATCGATTGTCGATGGTAAGAGTCTGAATTGTGGTTAGACCGACCTCCGATTTTTCTTTTGGACCAACTCAAAAGGGATTGTAACGACATTTTCCTCATTTAAATAAAGTTACAGGTCCTTTATAAAAGAAAATATTATTTTGCCCGATTAACTGGGTTCCATCTTTGCCACACCTCTATATGAAAATTTGATTGGATTGAATCCAATTTTAACATAAACCTAAGAAAAAAAATTTGGTTCTCGATTTTAACTCATAAATCAGAATCACTCAGTTCTACTCCAAATGCTACCCTTTCAATCAAATTAAAAATAAAAATCTAATTGTTCATCAGGGTTGGCTGGTCCTCCGGCACAGAGCCTGCAAATTATTGGAGAATCCGAATCTTCATCGTGTATATGACTAATTACTATTACGGATTATTGTGTTTCGATTATAAATTTAAAATGATAGAAAATTAGAAATTGGATTTTGATTATGGGTCAAAAACAATAATTTTAAATATTTTAAATCCGAAGGCTAAAGGAACTAGGGGTGGGCAACGGGAAACGGGTATTTGGATATACCCGTACCCGTCCCCTTTTTTGAGAGTTATGGGTACCCAAATACCCGTAATTTTTTTACGGGATGGGACTTGGGATGAAGATTCGCTACTTTGGATACCCGCGGGTTACCCGTTCATACTCGTTTGAGTATTTTGGGTACCCGTTATACCCATTAGTCTAAAAATTCAAAACCCATTTACTCTTATAGCTTGGAGTTTTTTACCGCCAAATTGATCCTGTCACAGCACACTCTAAGCACTATACCGAACTCCATCTCCAGATAATTAAGCTTCAGTGTGATAGTCTTGATGAATGTTTAGCTTGGTGGAATTCTTGATTTGAGGTTACTGGCCAAGCAGTTGTAAAACAGGAAGGTAGGAGTTTTTTCAATCTAATGAATCAAGGATTTGAGCTTCTGTGGAGGAGACTTGGAGGATGATGATTTGTTGGATAAAACTTCCTATTTGGATAGGTTTTGGTAGAAGAGCATCCGAGTTTAATCCAATCATGCTTGATTGTAGTTTTAATTATGCTCGGCCAATTGGACGGGTATTTATGGGTAGTATGGGTACCCGTTATCCGTCCAGTACGGGTAATGGGTACCCGTTAACCCGTAAGAGTTTGGGATATGGGATGGAGATTGATCTTCAAATAGGACTGGGTACCCGTTTAAAACGGGACGGGTATCCCGTCCCGTCCCGTTGCTCACCCCTAAAAGGAACTAATGAATCACGTTAGGGGAATACTTGTTTTCTTGTTAGACTTTTTTCAAACCATAAAACATAAAAGAACTAATGGGTACGACACAATCGACGCATAAGGTTGATCTTGGAGATGGGATCGAGCACGAACAAGTGACCGTAGTGATTCGGGAGCGACCGCCGGTGAAAGAGGGCGTCTCTCCCCTTCTCTGACTTGGACCGGTATTTGGCGGCGGCACTCTTCGATGGTGACAGAGGCCCGCAAAGATACAGATTTCTTCGCCTCTGAACAAGTCACCGTGATGATTTTGGAGATGAGATCGGCCACGAACAAGTAACCGGAGAAGGAGATCGAGGAACAGCCTTTTGATTCATGTCGTCCGTCTTCATCCCCTGTTGTTCAGTTTTCTCAATCTTCCGGAAAACAAACTAATTACATTTTACTTACCTAAGTACAAAAAGAAAAACTAATTACATTTTACTTAATAAAAATATAACGACAGTTTGGCAAACAAAAAAAATGAATCGTTTGGGTTGGACCGAGAAGGAGTCTCTGTCAGTGTGAGACGGACGGGCTGGTTAGTACTCAGTGCCTTCATGGGCTTTGGTCTCTGGTTAATTAAAGCCTGTTCATGCCACATAAGTTTCACGTGGTCCAATCAGACGTTGCGGCATCGGTGCCACACATTTTACAACGGTATTGAAGCATTGATCAGATTGCGGATATGAAAATATAGTTGTAAAACGTCTCCTCGCTTTGGTATATAATTAAGGGGTATGAGTTTGAATGTTTAGAAATGAAGATTACCTCTGATCAGCATCCATATATAGTTTGAACTTTGAACCCCCTACCTTCAACTTTTGGTGAATTTAATTAGCTTGACCCAGTGAGGTTAATTTGCGCCGGATATGTGTAATGGCCCTAGGTAAAGAATAAAGATTAGGAGCACTGGACTCACGTGTATACTGAAATGAAAGTTCAGAGAAACAGGAAGGTATGGGGAAAGCGGGCAGCGGTTAGACCCAGCCCCATTCGCCCAAATTTGACAAAAGAATATTATTAATACCCAGAACATGTCAAAACGACTGCACATTAATAGTCAGCATGGATGGGTCATGGCCTCATGGGAGAGAGAGAGAGAGAGAGAGATTGTACGGGCAGAAGGGAAGGAGTCTGGTACTCTGGTCAGAGAAAAAACAATGCAGGTGAAGAAAGAAAGAGTTGGGTCAGGTCAATCCCCGATCCCGGGCAGTCAAATCTATCCAAAATTTCAACGTAATCGGCATCTGACTTCTTCCCACCCTCCCTCCTGTCGTCGTCTTCCTTCCTTTCTTATGAAGTGGTTGAGTTCACTATTTATATATATATATAGCAATTCAGCAAAGCCAAAAGGCAGAATTAATCCAGATCATCTCAAGCAGCAAGCTCCCATCTGAAGCTCATCCATCTTAATTCCTTTCTCAGTTCCCATCAATCACAAATCACTCCAAGAAACTGCATTTTTTTTGCAACCAAAATAATCGTCACAGAAGGCCTGAAATCCCATCATCAATGGCTTGCTATAGCTCCATAAGAACCATTTCATCGACATCGCCCTTTTCCAATCCTCCTCCCCGCGCCGCCGCAATTTCTGTCCCTAAGCTCCCCATTCGAATCTCCCTCCCCAAATTCCCCACTTCCTCCGCCAACCAAACCCGTCATCTCACCTTCCAAGTCCAACCTTTATCGGAAACAATCCGCGTCACGGAACACGTCATCCCTACTACTACACCGGAAGCAGCCGTAACAACTACATCGCCGGTGGCCGCCGAGCTGTACTACGCGGTCCTGGAGTCGATCGCGGACAGGATCGAGATGCACGGCAACGTGGCAGTCCAGCGGGACAACTGGAACTCCCTCCTCCTCTCCTCCATCAACATGTCCATCCTCGCCGCCACCACCATGGCCGCCGTTTCCCCCTCTGTCTCCGCCGATCATTCCCTTCCCTTGGCTCTCGGCTCCACCATTCTCTTCGCCGCGGCGACCGGCCTGCTGGCGATCATGAACACCATCCAGCCCTCTCAGCTCGCGGAGGAGCAGCGCAACGCCGCAAGATTGTTCAGGCAGCTCCACTCCAAACTAAACGGGCCCGGAAAGGCCCAACCCACAAAGGCCCAGGTGGAAGACGCGGTGGAAAAAGTGCTGGCCATTGACCGCGCTTATCCTCTCCCCTTGCTCGGGAAAATGATCCCCAAGTTCCCCACCAAGTTCCAACCCGCCGTTTGGTGGCCCCGCACAGAGTCACCCAAACGGCGCCGTAGCGCCAAAGGTAGAAATAGCAACAACGGATGGAGCGAGGAGCTGGAGGCGGAGATGCGGGAAGTCTCGGGAGCATTGAAGAGTAAAGACAAGGAGGACTACGAGAAGCTTGGAAGCTTGATGCTCAAGATAAACAAGACTCTAGCCGTCTCGGGACCCGTGCTATCCGGCGTGGCGACGGCCGCCTCTGCTATGGGTCTGGTCAACGGTAGTAACAATGGGTGGGCCGCGGCGGTGGCGGTGGCCGCCGGTGCGATGGCCACGGCCGTGAATACGTTGGAGCACGGCGGGCAGATCGGGATGGTGGTGGAGATGTACAGGAACTGCGCCGGGTTTTTCAATCAGCTCGAGGAATCGATCGATTCCACTCTCGGCGAATCGGGATTTGAGGAGAGAGAAAATGGTGAGGTGTTCGCGATGAAGGTCGGGCTGGCGCTCGGAAGGAGTCCGGCGGAGGTCAGGGAGCTGGCTGGCAAATGTGCTTACAGTAGGGAGGAAGGCACGCCGTTGGAGGAGTTTACTAGCAAGTTGTTCTGATGATCGTTCTTTTTGATAGTATACACGTACATTATTAGTTTGTAATTAGGGTTTATATTAGTACTAAGCTAGCTAGGGATCGGGGATTGAACATAATCCATAATCCCCAATTAAACATTATTTGATCGGTTCTTTCATATTCATTCTTCTTTAATCAATCTTATTCAAAGTGAGGGAAAAAAACAAGTGTGACTTAGGGATGGCAATGGGTCGGGTCGGGGGCGGATAGTGCATATCTGTTACCCTACCCAAAATAGTTCGGGTTTTACCCATACCCACATAAGAAACGGGTAGAAAATTCAAACCATGCCCATACCCGTTCGGGTTTCGGATATCCACGGTTATCCATGGATAGTAATTTCTCTTTATAACTCCAACCAATATGTTAATATTCACATATATATTCACAATACACAAAGGAAACATACGATGATAAATCACTAGAATGAAGAAAATTAATTAAAACAATAAAATTTTATGAAAAATATTATATTTATATGCTAAATATAAAATATGTTAAAGAAAAATAATGATTATTTGTAGACAAAATACATATATGCATATGTATAATTGGGCGGGTTTGGGTTGGATAATAAGAAAACCATGCCCACCCATTACCCGCAATATTCGGGTTCGGGTTTTACCCGTACCCACTAAAGTTCTTCGTGTTCGGATTTTACCCTACCCGATTAGGTCGGATTCGGGTGAATATCCACGGTTACAGATATTTTTGCCATCCACTGTGACTACCGATTTTTAATCTCAGGTGCCGAAATACATACTTGCATTCAACAATCCATTAGTTCTCTCATTTCTGCCACTACAAGAAAAAGTGGTTTTTGCAACCAAAATCTTTACAACCAATGTAAAATTGGTTGCGCAAGGGCTAATATTGACAACCAATTACATTTTGGTAGCAAAAAAATTAAAAAATTGGTTGCCTATTGAAATCAAAGTATCGATAACCAAATAAACATTGAGAAGACCAAATAATTTGGTAGCAAAATGATTTATAATTTTCTTAACCAAATAATTTTGGTAGCAAAATGATTTATACTTTCTCCAACCAAATAATTTTGGTAGCCAAATAATTTTTAGTTTATTCAACCAAATAATTTGGTAACATATTGAATTTTACTTTTTCCAACCAAATATTATTGGTATCAATTTATTTTGTAAATCATTGATAGCTAAATAAACTAAGTTGTTTGGTTGTATTAAGTTGATGATAAATAAATTTTAGGCATGACATATGGCTACCTTCAAAATTTGGCAGCGATAGTGTTAATTATTTTTATGTAAACAAATAACAACTCCACGTTTACTTTTTCATTTTTCTGCTAACCTATTCCGTCTCCAACTCTCCTCTTTTTTTTTCTCATTTCCCTCTTTGCTACTTAGAAACTCTTTGAGATCCGACTACCAAATCGTGAACCATTCTCTATTTCTTTCGTTCAGCAATCAAATCGCTGTCCATTTGCATTTGATTCCCTCAATCAGCTACCAAATCGCGATCCAGGAGAGACTGGTTATGGCGGGGGAGATTGGGGATCTTAGGAATCCAACGAGGATTTTTTTTTGTAAATCCTCGATTTTCAGCATCGATTCGACGTTTCGGTCTCGTTTTGAGGATGCAACGAGCAATTCCTTGAGCGATGAGCGAGTTCTTCTTAGCGGCGATTCCGTTGCCGGTCGATTTCAAGAAACTTTGGAGATTCCATCGAAGCGAGGCGGCTGCGAGCTGCGATTGCTTCTCCTCCCCTCCCGTTGCGGCTGCTCATCGAGCTCAGAAGCTCCTCCAGAACCACCGCACTATTCTCCTAGGATTCCCATGAGAATCGGTCTAACGCGGCGGCGATTGCTCCAAATGGAAACCCAGTTATGCTCGCTTTTGTTCCCCTAGCTGTCGATCATCCTCAAACTCTCCCGGAAGTCACTGCCCCTGGTAGCTCAGTTAGTGAGAAGGATACTATAGATTCTCAGGCACAAGACGAGTTGTGATTGGACATGAAGGAAAAGATACAGAAGCTAATCATTTGCTTGATGATATGATTGGGAGAGCCTCAAAATCAACCACCGGGTGTTAGGAACAATATTGGTCATTTGCTGGATGATATGAATGGGAGAGTTTCAAAAGCTTCTTTATCCCGACGATTCATCGTATAAGTGGTTTTGCGGCATTCTATCCCTTCTCTGCTACTTTTCACACTTTGCGTTAGTTGGTTTAGCTGCAAGGTGTAGACGGCCAGAGGGGAACATAAGGTTTGTATCTGGTTTGACACTCATACTTCAAGCCTTGATTGTTGTTGAGTCTAGAATCGGTAGTCTTTGACTGCAATTGCTGACTTCTGATGCATTAATAATGGCAGTTATCTATTTTGAAATTGCTTCTATTTGGTATTTATTGTTTGGATTATCAGAGCTTGCAGGCTGAAGCAAAGGTTTGCTGTTGATTTAACATACCAATTCACCAAATATCATGGCTAGGTAAACCTTTCCCTTCTCTTTAAGTTATGATGATTGTCCACAAGCTGCGAGTTATTACTCCAATTTGTATTGGTTGAATTGGCAGGCAACTTAATGCCCCCCTCTTTTCTGGAGCGTTGAATGTGTCTATTATGTTTTTAGGCTGAGATGATCTCTTTCTAAGCTCCATGAAGAACTACATAACATGTTCAAGTTTCAGTGTACCTTGCTGAGCTCTCAGATATCAACCATCTTTGAGTTTTATTCTTGTGATTGTATAATTCTGCGTTGGGGTTTACTTTCTCTGTTTATTCATCCATTGGAATGAATTTGTAAATGCAAACAGTAGACACTAATTGTGGTACATCTTCATTAATAATATTGAAAATTTCTCACTTTGCATGTTTCTTTATAAGTACCATGTACCTAAAGTGCTTCAGAATCTGGTGTCCTTTCTTCCACCTGCCACTCTCAACAAATTAACCTTTTCTTTCTTGATTTCTCTATTCTAGCGTGGCCATTATATCAGAGCAAAGAATCATCAGTTAACTTGTAAATTGTTGACTAGTTATGATTGCTCCATATACTAGACTATTTTCATGCAATTAATTTCTCAGTTCATATACTGAGAACTGACTGTTTCCTATATTTGTAGCATTTATCTTTTGGTTGCAGTTCTAGAGAACTTAATATACTCTATTGATGAGATCACCTAGCCATCATTGTATTTGTAATTCATTTTGTTTCTCTTAGCTTCATTTGTATCTTTTTTGGCTTCACCTCTCAGATTTAATCGTTTCTTCTTCAACAGGGGCGGTCGTTATTATTCTTCTTCTAGCTGGTTTCTTACGCTGTGCATATGAAATATGTGTTTTCTATCTTACGGCTGGTAAACATGCTTCCAGGAGCTACTCTCCTTCTGGCTTCTATGCTGGCTTAATCACAATTTCCTAGGCAATCAACATGTTGTTTATTGGCAGAATGAGCAACTCTGTGTTTCTGCCTCTCAGCTCCAGTTACCAGGTTTGCCTCTATTCTATATAATTATTTTTATTTTTCTGCATTATTATTGACAGTATGGTTGGTTGATCATACTCTATTTGGTATTTATGGTTTCTAGTGAGAGTTAATGAAGCTTTTTTTTTTCATTCTCTAGTGGTAGATAATGAATTAAGTTTCAGTTTTAGATGATGTTTGGGATAGATTGGACCTCCAATTCTACTGCTCACCTTCTTTGTTCCCAGTTCGATGCAACATTCTGGTGAAACATGGAGCTTCTGTAGCTTGATGCTCTCTTTGACATATATGGAGAATCTTGAACTCACTTTTGTTGAACTTGTTAACCCTTTTATGTTGGGGAAGGAAGAGTCAGTCTGGGGCTTCTGGTTGCATTAATTTGTCTGTTGTACTTGTCTGTGATAGAGGTATAAATATAAATGGCCTATGTGTAAGGGTATGAGGAGTTTTTCCTTCTTACTTCCTGCTTAATTTTTAAGTTCAACTGCTTCTTTTTGCCATTGTCTGGAAAATTTTACCTTGATGGTGAAGAATTGAATGACGAACTATTGGCAACTATAAGAGAATGGTTATATTTTGCAGAGTTCTTGACTTGTGCTCAATCTGACTGTTCTCAATTATGTGAAAATTTATGTTCTGCAGGTGGATCTGTTTTAGTAGAGTTTAAGAGAGCATTGGATGACTACTAGTCTCTTCTCATTGGTCTAACTTAAAAAGGTGATTGGTTGTTCTTTAAGTTTGCTTCTCTCTTTTATCCTTCTTGTTAATAAGTAGCTGATTGCTTTGAATTTTGTTCTCCAGAACATGGAATTGAGGACTTGGTCAAGTTCAGGCTTACCTGTGGTTCTATATTCTTGAATTGTTGATTCTTGTACCTCTGAAATTAGGTATAAAGCAGTACCTGAGCTCTTTCGGGATTACTTCAAAACCTCTGGCTCTTTTGGCTGATCCGTCTTTGCTACAGGACAAGTTTTCCTAAGGACAGGTTAGGCATATGCTTAAATTCAATCCTTCTTTTTCTTTTCCAAATTGCTGAACAACTGCAACTAGATTGGCAAATTGAACATTCAGGGGAGAGTTTAAACTTTAGAAAGAATTCTCACAGACAGCAAGAGAGCCAGCTTAAGCTTCTGTCTTTCGCATCAAGTTACCAGGTTTAGGCTCTGTTTTTCTGCATTTCATCTATGAGCCGATTATATCTTTAGTCTTGCAAGCTACCTAATTCACCTCCTATATTTGGTTTATGTTTGACTGAGAAAGAATGGTGTTCATGTATGCAGTTTTTCCATACCCTTGATGTGGATACAATCCATTACCTTATGATTTGTAATATTCATCCAAGCTATCCTCGCATGACATATATCCGAAATGGTTGGATGGTTCATTTGCTTATCAAGTTAGTGATACATACTGGTTTAATGGGATTTATCATTGAATAGTTTAGAAGCTCAATGTTGAAGTTAGTTGTTCTTTTCATTTTCTTTTGCACTCTTTTCATATTTCATATCATGTGTTAGGTTGGCGTTCATATTTGGTTGGAAGGCAGCAGAGTGACCCATAATAGATTTTATATGAGAAAGCAGTTTGGATTGCCTAATCGTATTTGCAGAATTTATAGAATAACGAATGCTCTTTAACATTCATATTTGGTAGGAAGGCAGTACAGTGATCCATCCTGCTCTTGAGCGCCTGACAGCGAGCTTGGTGGTCGGATTGGAGGGGCTTGAAAGCTTTATCTCTGTAATTGTGATTTTTGAAATACTGGGTTTATTTTTAGGGATAAAATTGTTTAATTGTGATTTTTGTTACTAAATATTTTTATATATGAGATATGATATGAAGCAAATTTTTATTATATTTAATTTAATTTTTCAATTTCCGTTTTAGTGACCAAAATCTCAACAATAAATTTGGCCATATTAAATTATTTATTTGGTTGGCTTAAGTGTTTTTCGCAACCAAAATTCATGGTTGTGATAAACTTTTATAACCAAAAGAATTAGTTGTCTAAAATGATATAATAGGTCGACGTATGTATTTTCACAACCAAAATTCATGGTTGTAATAAATTTTCATGACCAAAAAAATTGGTAGTCATTATGATATTATTGGTTGATAATAATCACATAAATTGGTTGTCATTTATATTTATGGCGACCAATCATCTACATTTATCAACCAATAAAGTTAACTATAACAACCAATTTAAAATCGTCAGTAAAAATCCGGGTTTTTTACCTTGGCAAAAATTGGTTGCGATAGCTGTCCTATTCGCTACCAATCATTATTTTGTTCGCGGTAGGATTTAGTAACGCGACTATAGCGACCAACTCTGCTACCAAATATTTTTGGTTACAAAAAGTATTAATAACCAATTTTTAACTTTTAGTAACCAGTATATTTGGTTGCAAAAACCCTTTTTTGTTGTATAATCAACTCACGATTCAACCAAATCTTATTAACTAACCTGCCCTGTGATCAATTGATGGTTATGTTTCGGCATCATGAACATATATTAACTAATCAAAGCGAGAGTCATTATTAGCTGATTAGCTTATATTAACAAATTCTTTTTTAATTTCCGTAATGTGACCAATATTCTTATATAATCTCGTATCAAACTATTTCCTCATTAGATGTGAAAAATGTAAAAAGGGAAAAGAGATTTAGGGGTCGTTTGGAGAACCGGATTTAGGGCGTGAATTTATTGAATCCGTAAATTTTCTAAAATGTTATGTTTTCTTGTTACTTTTTGTATTGTGAATTTTACCTTTAGAGATTTAGAGGTGAACCCGGGAGTTGACAACCTTGCTCATTTCACTTGATGACGAAAATATATGCTATTATTTTTTATAGAAATTAGTCAAAATAAAGATACACTCCAGCCGAGTAGGGCTGTAGACACTCGGCTCCCCAATTCTTTCCTTTATCTTTTCTTTCTTGACATTTTGTTCAATATAACAATTTTGATGATGACGTCGAGACGATCGGATGGCCCAAAAAGAAGAGAACTATTAGGAGCAATGTTGATATTCTCCAAATATAATGTTATTGTTTTTTTTTTCAATTATTTATTCATGCCTTATTAGAAAATCTCAAATCACTCCCTCATATATTTTGTCCAACTTTTTTTTTGTCTCTCCTTCTCCAATTATCCTCATAACCATTAAGATTTGGTTGCTTTTCAAAAAAAAAAAAAAAATTTAATATTTGGTTGCCCCACTTCACTTACCTTGATTATGCCTAACACTAACAAAGACTCAATACGTCTTGACACACACTTGCCAAGCGAGGAATATGTGGGTTTAGGAAGGGCAGATTGGTCAAATAACAAATTTATGTGCAAATACAATATCAACAATACCATTATTAATGATAATCCATCCAAACATGATATTTCGTACAAATATAACATAACAAGTTTGACAAATACCAAATCTAAACCGTCCATACAAACAAATTTCTCAAGAATATTGCCTCACCATTATAGGTGGCAAAAAAATATCCAATGCACCAATCCAATCCAGACCATCTACTTAATTTAGTACTATAATTTATAGATTTTACAATTTGATACCTAAAATTACATTTTGGTACCTTAAACTATTTATAAAGCAAAATACACTTTTATAGCCACAACTATTCGGTTTGTGACAAATATAGCCATATATATCGAAATACACGAAATAGCCATTTTCGTACATTTCGTTAACTCCGTCAGTTAAAGGGATGACTGGACTGATGGTGAATGCTTAGTTGACATTTTCTGACCCCACTAACTGACGAGGATTAAAAAATAAAAATAAAACGCACATCAACGACAACTCAGCCTCACTTGTCGTATAGACGCAACGTCATAATTTACTTTTAAAAATATATATTCTTTCATTTTTTCCTTTCTTTAATCGCACCCAAAATCCGCAAATCGGCTTATCGTCCCGCAGCCAAATCGTCGCAGCAAGACGAACTGAATCCACCGCCGCCTTCTCCCCCCAGTCCCAATCCGACTTTCCAAGTCGCCCTCTCCTCCCAACTCCAGGAAGCTCTTCGGACGCCGCTAATCCAAACCCCAAATTCTTTGTCACCATTTTTGCTGTCATCTATCCTTCATGTCCTTGCCCAATTGCCAACAAAAAGTTTTAAAAAAATGGTAGCAAGTAGATGGGAGAAAGAATCGAGTGGTTTAGATGCCTCAAACCCCAATTCCTTTTGTGATCCATGCCCTGAACCCTGCTTTAATCCCTCTTCTGCTCCACCTCCAATTCCGATCCATACCCTAAATCAACAGACGCAACAAACCCAGCTTCGTTGCAACTCAGGAAACTCAGAAGACCATATCTGCGCAAACCCCTTCTTCGATTTGGGGAAGCTGTCGATGGAAGTTGAAGAGGAAGGCGGGAGTGACCTGCGAAGTGACAACGACCACCGTCGAGTAGCAGGAGTCAATCCATGAAGCCCTGTGCAAGAATGACATGCTGCTCTCTTCCATCAATTCGCCAGAGGAAGGAAGAATTTGGCAGCTGCTGCTACTCTCCCATCAATCGGCCGGCGAAATAAGAAGAATCCGCAGACTGCAGCTGCCGAAAAAAAAAGGAGGGGAATCTAGATCTGTTGTCTCTCTTCATCGTTGTTCTGGGTTCGGCGGAGAAAGGAGGGGAGAGTAGCAAAGGACGATGAAGGGAGATGGAGAGTAAGACCGATGGTTTTCTTTTAATATTTTACGTTTTAATATTTGTTTTTATTTTTTATTTTATGTGGCAGGTGAGATGGATCTGATTCAGCATTCCGTCAATGAATTTATCGCCGTCACACATTTTGCGGGTAACCACACCCACAAATATAGAATTATGCTACCCACAACCCGCCCCACAGTGGGTAGTGGTTAACCACTATCCACTGCGAGGTGGTGCGGGTTGGATGTGGATACCCAATAAAATTTTCCTTCCTTCACCCTTTGGACTCGTATATGATAAATCTATCGGTCGAGTGACAAAAAAAACCGCATTGAGTTAAAACTAAGTAAAGAAGCCCAAGACATGGAACGAGCGAGGATTCGGTATTCGAAACCTCCTAAGTCCTAACTAGTCAACCTCCTTCTCTTCGGTTCACTTCACTCGTTTACATGTCACTTCACTTTCTTTAGGAAATGCATATTGATAACGAGCATGGGTTGGAGGGGATCTAATCTAAGTATACATAGCATCTTTATCAGCGACATGACTCATTTGCTTTTTTATTCGAATTTTTTAGGTATAAATGAAATTCTCTCCCGAGTTGTGGAATTAACGTCTTCTTACACAAAAACAAAAACCTACATAAAAGAGAGTTAATAAAGTGCTAAATAAACTATAAATCACATTTATTGACTTTGTTTTGTTATAAAATAAACACATGCCACGCGGACAATGCTTATTTAACAAAAGTATCTCATACGAACACGGTATATTGACTTGTTTTAGTTTTATAAATAAGTATATATTTGATTTTGGAGCCTACTTTAATTTGTAGCATTCTACTTTTCACATACTTTAATATTACAAAGTATTATTGATAAATAAATATACTTAGTGTGGTTATTGTGGGTTTTGTGGTTAACCGTTGTGGATAGTGGTTAACCACTAACCACAAAAATCAATATTATGCTACCCACACCCAATCCACTATCACAAATTGTGGGTATGGTTACCCACAATATATACGCTTTGGTGCGATTTGCGAATTACCCGCAATCCGCAAACCAAACTTCCACCCCTAGGTACGAGATAATGGCTATATGTACTCGTAGTGGCGGAGCCACATGGGATGAGGGAGGTCGTGACTTACAACTGTAGTCGTCATCCAGCGGTTGAAAGAATCGCCGCCGGATTTTGCATTATTCATTCAATGCACCGTTCTAAGGGAAAAAAAAATCCCAAAGTACACTAGTTCTTAAAAAAAATTCTCAAAATACATAAGTTATAAAAAATTTCCAAAACTACACATGTTTGGCATTCACCGTTTTTGTCAAACACAGTGAATATAATCATCGCGTTTGTCAAAGACGGTGAACATTTCACCATTTTAAAATAAAACGATGACGTGTTCACCGTCTTTGTATAAAGCGGTGAAGTGTTCTCCGCGTTTAACAAAAACGGTGAAGACATTACCATTTAAGTTAAAAGCGGTGAAAACGTCACCGCCTTAAGGCAAAGTGGGGAACATCTTCACCGCCTCAGGCTAAGGCGGTGATTATTTCCCACGTTTCCCAATCCTAGTAGATGAAAATTATGTCACAACTACCTAATTAGGTTGATGGAACCTTCCTTACAATGAGATTTTTTTCCCGTTCTAAGTTGCGGTTACGGGAACCACTTGATGGAAAAATCCCCAAATCCACCTATTGTAACCCGACCCAATTAGGACGTGTTCATCAAGTAGTGGAAGCATTTGAAACTGGATTAGTCATTGCAAGGGAGGAAGATGGTGGGGGAAAGGGGGTGAATTCAAGGCTGAATGAATATGGGTCTAATATGCTGGACCATATCATGGAAAATCGGAAACGTGTGCTCGATGAGTTGGAGGGGGAGGTGGGTAACCCTCCTACCCCAAAGAAGCAGTTTGTGGAATCGGTTGATGATTTGGAAAAGGTGGAGGAAGCCAGCCTTGAATGGCCCCAAGCGGATAAATGAGGCTTCTGGCCTGGAATGTGAGAGGAATTGGGCCGTCCCTCACTTTCCAAACTGTTGTAGGGCTTGTTCATTCCAATAAACCGGATCTCGTGTTTTTCTCGGAGACACAATCGAGCCGGCGTGTAGTATCCCGCCGTATGCGGGGTCTAGGTTTTGCTCTTTCCCATTGTTTTTTTTTTGTAGATGCAGTCGATGCATCAGGTGGTTTAGTAGTTTCTTGGTCCCCCGGAGTTGATACTTCGGTGTTTTGTCATTCAAACTTCTATATTTGTTCGCAAATTAATGAAGGAGATTTTTCTTATGTTGCGATATTGCCGTTCGAGCCCCCCATCTTGTTTATATTAGTTGTAATATTTCTGTTCGAGCTACCCAATTGGCTCATTTGCGTAACGTTTGTGCGAATATCAATCACCCTTACGTGATCATAGGGGATTTCAATGCTACTCTTCATGAGAGTGAAAAAGATGGGGGGCGGGCGTGGAATGCTGCCCAAGCCTTTAGTCTCCGTGAATTTGTTCATGATTTGGGTCTCCACGACCCTGGTTACCAAGGGGATCAATTTACTTGGACAAATAAACGCATGGGCGATGCTTGCATTCGTGCTCGTCTGGATAGAGCAATTTGCTCTCAGGCCTGGATTGATACATTCCCGGAGACTCTAGTCAAACACTTCACGGACCAGGGATCAGACCATCGTGCCCTTCTCCTTGCTGATAAATCATATGTTCGTACTAGTCGGCCTCTTTTCCGTTTTGATGCCCGTTGGGCGGATAATCCGGAAGTAAGGGCCATGGTCAAATTATGTCTGGCAGGAGGAGGTCCAAGGCACCCCTATGTTTCGGTTGTGGGAACGCCTAAAGAAACTCCGTCATCTTCTATATGATTGGAGCAGGGCGGGCACAACTAATTCCCTGCGCAATATCAGGACGCTCCAAGCTGAGATTGATAGGGTAAAATTGGTCCACCCGGTGGATTGGGATGAGATCAGGACCCTGGAAACGGAACTCTCCCGCCAGTGGGAAGCGGATGAGATTTTCTGACAACAAAAATCAAGGGTTAAATGGTTAAAAAAGGGGATCAAAATTCTGCCTACTTTCATACGGTCACAAGGGCGCGCCGGAAGAGGAATTTCGTTTCTGGGCTTCGTAATGAGGAAGGTGAATGGGTCACTGAGGAAACCGGGAAGGCTTCTATTGCCACCAATTTTTACCAGACTTTGTTTACCTCGGAAACTCAGGTTCCTAACATGACTAAGAGGGTGACGGCTCTGCCGATTGCCCATAGTGTTACTCCGCAAATGAATGCAAAATTGATGGCGGAGGTTTTTCCTAGTGAGGTCCGGAGTATGGTCTTTTCCACGGGTTCGAAACAGGCCGCGATATCGGATGGTTTCACAGGGAAGTTCTTTAAAGCTTTCTGGGATATTGTGGGCAATTCGGTGGTTGAAGCAGTCATCTCCTTCTTTACCTCGAGTCGGATGCTGAGGAGCTTTAACCCTACCTGGCTCACTTTGATCCCTAAAGTGGACTCGGTGGAAACAATTAGACAATTGCGTCCGATTAGTCTCTGCCAGTTTGTTTACAAAGTGACTAGCAAAATCATGGCTGAACGGCTAGCTAGCATGCTCCCCCAGATCGTTTCAAAGGCCAAAATGGCTTTATCAAAGACCGGCAGATTATTGATAACATCCTTATAGAACATGAACTAATGCATTATCTGAAAATAAAAAAGCAAGGGAAGAAGGGGTACATGGCTCTGAAGGTTGACATGGAAAAGGCCTATGATAGAGTCGAATGGTCCTTCCTTCTTGCAGTTTTGGATAAGATGGGTTTTAATTCAGTCTGGCAAGGATGAATACATGAATGTCTTCGATCCTCCTCTTTCTCGGTTCTGATGAATGGTACACCCTCGGGTTATTTCACTACCTCTAGGGGCCTTCGCCAGGGGGATCCGCTCTCTCCCCTCTTGTTTGTACTGTGAACGGAGGGGTTTGCAGCCCTCCTCCGAAAGGCGATCACAGAGAAAAATTTAGAGGGGGTGAAAGTAGCTCCTCAGGCTCCAAGAGTCTCGCATATGTTCTTCGCGGACGATTCTTACCTTTTTTGCGAGGGTCTCTGCAGGAGTGCGACAATTTAATTGAGGTGTTGAAAGAATATGAGGAACTGAGTGGCCAACGCGTTAACTTGGCGAAGTCGGCGGTGTGCTTTAGCAAGAATATTTCCACGCCAGATCAGGAGTTCTTGGCCACGATTCTAGGGGTTGGTGCGGTAGGGATCCATGATAAATATCTGGGGCTTCCAACGCTGGTTGCTCGGTCCAAAATGGTTAATTTCAGATATTTGGAGGAAAAGCTCCTAGAGCGTCTTCAGGGGTGGAAGCAAAAGACATTGTCGTGGGCTGCGAAGGAAACTTTGATTAAATCCATAGCGTTGGCTCTCCCCCTTTATGTTATGTCCTATTTTCGTCTTCCCCTGGCGCTTTGTCGTCTTTTAGATAGGCATGTGGCCCATTTTTGGTGGGGGTGCTGAGGACGGTAATCCAAAGATTAGATGGGTGTCCTGGCGGAACATGTGCATGAGTAAGCATGAGGGGGGGGATGGGATTTCACCAGTTCGAGCATTTCAACCAAGCTCTTTTGGCTAAGATAGGCTGGCGTATCCTCAATGAACCTCAATCGCTTATTGGCCAGATTTATAAGGGCAAGTATTTCCCTCAGGGATCTTTCCTGACCGCGACTGCTAGGTCTCGTCCCTCTTGGGGGTGGCAAAGTATCCTTCATGGGCGTCAGTTATTGGAGATGGGTTTGAGATGGCAGGTTGGTAATGGCCAATCAGTCTCCCTCCTTCATTCTAACTGGATTCCCAGGTACCAACTAGATCCCCCATGCTATAATCCGCGGATCTTGCCTGAGGGAGGGGGGTGATTCCTTGGTGGTAGAGGTTATTTGTGAGGGGGAGGAATGTGGTCTGATGAGAAGTTCAGTCAATGGTTTGACCTGCCCACCTGTAAGGCTATTAAGGCTATTCCTCTCCCGCGGTAGGATGTGCCTGATAAGCTTATCTGGCATTTTACGGCCGATGGGGTTTTCTCGGTTAAGTCGGCGTACCATTTGGTTGTGAACTTGGACAGTAGGAGGGGGTGGGTGGCGATCCTCGGTTAGCTGGATGGATAAGCCAATGTTGGATTAGAGTTTGGGAGGCGAAGATCCCTCCGAAGTTGAAGGTTTTTGTTTGGCAAATTCTTAATCCGGGCTCTGCCGACTATGGAGGCGCTTATTGAGAAAAAGGTCCAGGTGCTACCTCGGTGTCCAGTTTGTTGGGATGGCCCGAAAACAATGGAACACCTGTTACTTTATTGTCCGGTTGCGGGGGCTCTCTGGGATTATTCTGGGCTGGATTATTTGGGGGAGGTTTTGCCTCGACATACTTTTTCGTTGTTTCTCAAACGTCTGTTGGCTTTGATCCATCAACCGTCTGTGGTTATGGCTGTTGTGGCCATCCTTTGGAGGATCTGGCGATCTCGGAATTGGGTAGTCTTTGAAGGCAAACAATTTGGGATCCCGGCGCTCATGCGACAGTTAAACCAACAGTATGAGGAGTGGGTGGGTCTACCAGCGGACCAGGCGCCTAGGGTACAAATCCCGATGATGCAATCTGCCGCACAAGTGAGTGAATTCCTATTTGGTTTGCATGTGGGACGGGGCTACTAAGGGTGGGTCGCATTCGGCTGGTGGGATGGTTCTTTTTGGCCCAGCGCGGACACTCCTTCTGGATAGAGGAGTCCAGTTTGATCAAATGGATGATCCTGCAGTGGTGGAATTGCTTGTGCTCAGGGAAGCTATTATTTGGTGTATGGAGCAAGGCTTGTCGGAGGTCCGATTTCAGGGTGATGCGAAGGTTGTTATTGATAAATTTAATCAAGCCGACACAAGAGATAGCCGGTTGGGTGCTGTTCTAGAAGAGATTGGTCATTATTTTCGTACTCAGCCTGGCTTTAGTGTGCGTTTTGTAGGTCGGGAGAACAATAGGGTAGCTCATTTGGTAGCTAGGAAAGCCCTCTCTTTGTATCCGACTATGAGTCGCTTCTTTGATTTCCAGACCGGACTGGTTTCCAGGGTGTAACTATCTATTTTTTTATATCATAAATGATGTAACACCTTAGGTAAATCCCACATCGACAAAGCACGGGAGAGATCCATGGTTCATAAGTAGGAAAACGACCTTAACTGACAAGACGCGTTTTGGAGTGTAATGAAAGAGTTCTTGTGAGAACTCCGAAGTTAAACGTGCTCAGTGTGGAGTATAACAAGGATGAGTGACCTTATGGGAAGTCACCTTGAATTGCACCCCAAGTCGAAATCCGTGCGGGGGTAGAAGTCCAAAGCGGACAGTATCTTGTCGGGAAAAGGTTCGGGATGTTACAAGTGGTATCAGAGCCTCTCCGCGTCCCTCTTGAACGATGGTGGGGCAAACCTCAACGAGGGCGTTGAGTCCCAAGGGGGGGGGGGGGGTATGTAAAAACTTAGCCAAATCCCACATCGACAAAGCACGGGAGAGATCCATGGTTCATAAGTAGGAAACCGACCTTAACTGACAAGACGTGTTTTGGGGTGTAATGGAAGAGTTCTTGTGAAAACTCCGAAGTTAAACGTGCTCAGTGTAGAGTACAACAAGGATGAGTGACCTTATGCGAAATCACCTTGAATTGCACCCCAAATTGAAATCCGTGCGGGTGTAAAGGCCCGTCCAATTTTATGATTGAAAATTGGTACCACCCCTCCACACAAAACTTCCCCCGATTCCCATCTCTGTCTTTCCAATAATCAATTTATTTTCTCCCCACTCCAGCAAGTCAAAACCCTTATGCCACCGCACACGAGACCCTCAATCTTCGACAAAATCCATGATCTTCACCCCTCCTTCTCTGATCTTTGTGGCTTGAAGCTTAGACCTTTGCTAGCTCACTTCTTCGGCCGATGTCCCTGTTTACCCTGCTACTCAGTCGGACTCACCATCACCGGCCAGATCTCTCGTCCCTACCTAGAGCTCTAAGCTTCGTGGAATCCTGGTCCGACCACCATTTCCCTTTCTCAGTGGTTCCGCATATGTCTATTCTTGTATGATGGGAAGAACTTATGCATTTAATTTAGTTCTCTCGTTATTTGATTTAGCTTATGGTGAACTCTCTATCTCTTGGTGGTACAGTCGGCTTTTGGCATGAAGGAGCTAGAGTCAGCAAGAACTTGAACCTTCATTCCTTACGAGGATGGGATGAACTTTGTGCTTGTGGTGTGCGCTGAGGAGAAGTAGGATTTGGAGCAAGCTCACTCGAGGTAAGGCCTTGTAAGAGGTAATTAGGGTTTGGTATTTGTGATGTTTGAATTATTGAATTCGTATCAATTAGAACTACATAACTGAAATTAGAATTGGGCATAAATCTCTTGCTTGAATTAGGAAGAGCTGAATGTACGTTCTTATTGAGCTAAACAACTCTGGGTCTTGGGTTTGAGATTTTGATGAGAATGATGTGAGTCTGCATGTATTACTCATTTAATCAAAATTTCAATCAAATGTTCTTAATTAACTTCAGCTAGATATGAGTTTTTTGTTAATCGTTTTATCTCACTATGCTACTTGGATTTTTTGTTTTCAGGGTTATGTAAGACAAGAAAATACACTGCTGGGGACTCTTACTGTGAGAGAAACCATAAAATACTCTGCTCATTGGGACTCTCAAGCACAATGATGAAAGAAGAGATTTAACCTACCACTGAAATCCTTACTAAGTGGTGGGGAGAAGAACAGACTTCGACCAAATCAAACTTCCTTTGATGGGATCTAGTGAGGTTCTTAAGACTAATAGGGTAGGATTCAATCCTCGCAATGTTTTTCTTCCACATTTTTAGATAGACTATCATTCAATACAACCAAAGCAGTTTGAAATCCAACTCTACAGACTGTTTTTAGTTTGAGCTACTGCTTGTGACATCTTTCTCATATTCACAGACTTCTAGTTTCAAGCATTGGTAAACCACTGGAATCTTCAACATACTTGCCAACATGAGAGATCAAGTCAATGCTAATCAAGTAATATAGGCTATCGAATTATGCAGCAATGGAGAAGGAAAGAATGAAGGAAAAATATTTTGTTTTATTTGATGGTTAAGTTCCATTTTATTGGATTGCTTATTTGACTGCATCAAGAACGAGACCATATGCTAGCCGAAATTGAAAATATGCAGGTGTGGCTTAGAACTTTCTGATTTATTATGTATATTTTGTATTACTAGCTTCCTCTTATGATTCGTCATTCTCTGTGGTCTGATAACTTATGCAAGTGTGAACTATAGAATGTGAAAGCATTATTGAATTGCATGAGTTCAAAGTAAGAATTGAGTATGTGAAAGCATTATTGAAATCAAGCTCTGAATTCTAGTGGAATGTCCTTAACTTTAGTGGATACGAATTTCTTTGAATGTTTCATCTCACTCTAACTTCATTGAACTTGAAGCTAGTTGCAAACACAGTTGAGGGACAATATCATGGAGAACCAGACAAATTGGTCAGGTGGCTTTGAGCTGTTACAATCTCTTATTTCCAGAATGTTTCCACCCATTGAGAAGGTTAGTCGTCCCAAAACTTATAAGGGGAAACAGAAGGAAAATTTTGAACAAGTAGCTACTGTCAGTTTGGGCTCAATTTGTTCACTTTACCACATGTGTTGTCATCGGTAGCCTTCAATCCTAGTCATTCTCTTCTTGCTTTCTTAGGGTGTTCGTGCTCTGATGGAGGTTAACTATCAAAGAAGGAAGGTTCACTGACACCTAGATTGACATTTTCTAAACCTCTAAGCCATAGGTGCATAATCTTTTTCCACTACTTTCCATTGTTAATAATTGATGAAACTAAGTAATATTCCTTCCCATTTTCTCTTTCAAGTCTATTGCATAGTAAAGGAAGACGTAAGGAAGGTGGTGTTGAAGGACAAGGTTTGTTGGTGTGCTTCGTCTTTCTTCCCAGTATGCAGAACCTTTGCGATTAGTAAAATGCTTATTTTGACTTTTGTGGGTACTGAATATGGTTGGTGTGAATATTTGGTTTTGTAGTACACTTGTCTCGGTTGGTGGGTGTTTCTTTATTAAGTTTGTTTAAATACAAGGCTGCATTCTTTAGTTTTGGCATTAAACTATATTTTGTTTTATGATAGTGAATGAGCTATTAAAAGTTGCATAGCTAGCAGGTATTTTTTGGTTATTTACAATTTAGAAGGTGTGATCCTTTTACACTGAATCATTATAGTTTGGAACTTTTTTACCGTAATCTCTCTTTGATCCTTCAAATAGACTTTGATGTTTGCTAGAAATTGTACCATTTATCGTTCAGGATCCAGAGCCTAAAGAATATGCTGCTTTATGAAGTTATCTAATGTCTAGGCCAACAGGGGTAAGTACTTTTATTCCTTGTTTAATATATTGCATGATTTTGGTTGTGGCCTGGAAGTATATCTGCTTAATGGAAATATTTATGTTCATATTTCTTCATTTGTGTTAAGGCTATTTTATGACTTCAACTAATTTGCTTCTTACGTTGACCGGTAGCTCTCTAAGTAGCATATAGTATCAATAGGAGAGGAGACAATTTGAGGTAAACCATATTAGGAGGACATGTAACTCTTGTAGTTAGTGTAAACCATCTTATAGTAGGTAGTTTGAAGTATGTAACCAGCTAGCATGATGAATGAACAAAGTTTTTTGGTACAGGGGACTCCTTTGTTCCCTTTTTTATTGTGATCTTTGGGTGAGAAGATGTGATTTGTGAGAGAATCTTGTTCTTGGAATTCAGTTTCTTGTTCGGGAAATTGTTCTTTCTGTAGTTTGGCAATCTTGTTTTAAGTGATTTTCACATATCCGTCTCTATTTATTTCTCTTGTTTTGTGCTTCCAGGGGTTCTTTTTCGTTTGCTTATTTTGGTTTGCTTCTTGACAGGTTAAGATGGCATGCTCTACATCATGTGGATGATTTAGAAGAGACCTTGTAGATCTTGTTGGAACTTAAACCTTTATCCAGCTAGAGATTATCCCTTTCATTGCAAATTGTTGATTCGAGTTTCAAATAGGTAGGATTTGGTCAATTTCCTTGTGAGTAACTTATAATATCACTTTTGAAGGGTTACGTGAAAATAGAAATTCAGTATAGGTGAAAACAATGCATAAATCCACTTTTTAATTTTAGTGACGATCTCAAGAGGCATTTTAGTGTGCTTTATAGTATTGTTGCTATAAAACGTTTACAGCCATTAGATCATGTTCAAACTATATCAACCATTAGATTTTATTTAAATTATTAATATATTATTTTATTTGTGTATGGACAACCGGTACAACCAGGAATTCTCTTATCCTTCTCCTCTCCACGCAGATCCGAAACCTTCTTCTCACCGCCGATCTCGTCGCCGCCATTCTTCCTTCGATCCTCTTCCTTCGATCTCGTCGCCGTCATTACCTCTCCCTATTCGAATGCGGCGAGCCAGATTCTGACGACGACAGTGAAAGCGGCAAGCACGGGGTGACGAAGAAAAGAAGAAGCTCGTTGATTGCAGCATCTCTTTGACTGCGGCGAGCCGGATTCCGACGACGACAGTGAAGGCGGCGAGCAGGGGACGACAAGGCGAGCATCTCTTCGTCGATTGTGTTTCGCGGAAAAGGGGATTGCAGCACCTTGTCTCCTCCATTACCTCTCCCTTCCCCTGCACAGAACCCCCTCTTCGCATCGATAGCAAATGAAGACCGCTGACCTACCTCCTCCATCGCAACATTTTCCGGTTAGTATGCCTATCAGTTCTACAATTTTATTCAATTTTCCGGTTAGTATGGCTATCAGTTTAGGGATTATGTTGGGATGTTCTAGATTTACAAATTTCGGTAGGGGGATTGAAATTCCATGCTCGTTTTAGGTTTATGAGTTTAATTGGTCATGTCCTTTTACCAGGTTGATGTCCTTGTACTATCTTCTTTGTGTTTATCTTGACGAATCACTGATCCATTCCAATTCAAAAATGACGAATCAGTCATCCATTCCATGTAAGTGGCAGAACTTCTGATCCCCTTGATAAACATTTGATTTCTGACATGGGTTATAGTTAGATTGTGTAAATAACTTGTTGTTGTTCATGATCTGTGTTAGCTTTATCCACTCTCTCAATTCCATGCTTTTATTTCCAATTCCACGAAATGGATCAATAGATTGCTTTGTGGGAAACGATTGTTCCCTGTAGTTTACTAGTACAAGTTGCTTGCTTAGGGGTTGATAGGCCTGTTTATACCATCTGAATAGCTAAAACGATTGGATCTGATGAGGGCTTTTTGTTCCTTCTTGAGAGCCTCGTCCAATTGCCAATGTTTGTTGGTTTTGATCTCGTGGTCACCTAGTAGACATTACGAATTGGGAGTGTCCGTTCTCATAGTGGGTTGGAATTGGGAGTTAGCCATAATTGGATAAATGTGTTTCTTTTTTGGTTTGAAGATATGTGCATTTGCGTACTGGGGATACACTATTCTATGAAACTTCACACTCCAATGGACTGCTGTGATTGTTCATTATGTGCCTGTAGACTGCCTCATGTTCCAATTACTAAGGGGTCGTTTGCTTCAAGGATTTGCATCATGGATTTGGTACCAAAAACCAACCATCATGGATTTACACATAATCCGTTGTTTGCTTTGTCAAAAAATGTTTAGATAAATCTGTGGGCCCCACGGATTTGAGTTTTTTTTAGTTTCAAATCCATGGGCCCCACGGTTTTATAAATCCCACCTCATACCCTGGGATTTGGAGACAAGTTGAAAAACCATGCCCACCTCATCAAATCCATGATAAAAATAGCTCAACAAACAAAAGATTTCCTCAAATCCATAATGCCCAAAATCCCTAATTAATCCCAAGGTTTTTAATTAACAAATCCATGACAAAACTCTCGTTATAAAATCCTTGAAGCAAACGACCCCTAAATGATTTGGATTTTACAGTTTTGAGATTAAATCAATCAGTAGTCCTAGTCACAAGCAGGATTGGATTGCATTGAGTGCCTATTAAAAGCAAATCGGAGTTCCATAATCCCGATTCTTGTTCAAACGCTCTAAAAGCGTTCTACTTTTTTTTATTTATTGTCTCAATAGTTAGAGACTCAAAGTCTGTCCTCCTCATAGGGTGTAAGTTTAGAATTGGTTTACTGAGTTGATTATTGTGTGATCATATGATTAGTGTATTGGCAATATGCTATGGTCTTTTTATCATGTGCATCTTCTCTTACATATGGCAATGGATTTAGTTCTTCTAGTCGTTGGAACTTGATACTGAGGCAAGCGTGCTTGTAAGCTGTGGTATATTATTGCATTTTCAATATTGATAGAAGCAATATAGTGAAAACCAGGATTGAACTCACTGCCTGGAGAATGTGTTTTGCAAATGCTTTGTTCGATGGGAGTTCAATTTTCATTTCAACTTTAATCCTCTGAAGCTATTAGCAATATTTTGAATTTAGTGGCAGTTGTTTTGACTACCAGAAGATCTTGGTCACTTAGATAGTAATGTTCAAGTGTGGCAGGGTTTGTAATTTCACTTTCTTTGTGGGGGCACTAAAGAGAAGGAGAGTAGTGATTCTGTTACGTGACTCTCTCTCTCTCTCTCTCTCTCTCTCTCTCTCTCTCTCTCTCTCTCTCTCTTCTTTTGTTCTCTCAGTTTACTATGTTCCCCCATTTTTGCTTGAATCAGAAAGGAGTAGTAGCAAATAGCCCGTAGGCTGATTTGCTACTTAAATCGAACGGTTTTCATTGTTTGTGTTCATCCAATTGGCTGTAGTTGAGATTGTTGTATGAGATTGGTAGGAGAGCGTCTGCATTATCAATATAATAATTTGTTTCATCATTCATGTGGAGTTTCGAGAGCTATTGAAGAGTTTCCTAACTGACCTTACAGTTTGAATATCGAAGAATAGTGTTTTAGCTGCACTTCACGGTGGTGATACATTTCCTTATATTGTTGGATGAGTCATCACACCAGCATGCAAGTTTTGTGCTTCAATTTTGAAGAAATCAAACTCTACTAACACTCAGACTTGAACTTAAACTCCTCTAGCCAAAGATCCGAAAGAGAACAAACATCTTATTCAATTTTCCGGTTAGTATGCCTATCAGTATGCATATCAGTTTAGGGATTATGTGGGGATGTTCTAGATTTACAAATTTAGGTTGGGGGATTGAAATTCCATGGTCGTTTTAGGTTTATCAACATGTTTCTATGGAGCCCAGGCTTTGGGACTGAAATTCCATGCTTTTTTAGGTTTATACTTTTCCTCAGTGCTGCTGGGACTGAAGTTCACACTTGTTCTGTGCTACTCGGATTTCTAGGGTTCTTGTGGTAAAAGAGACAGTTGTAAGTGTATGGGAAGCCCACAAACCAGGGTGTGACTCAGCTCAAGTTCAAGCATAGCAAGCGATCGGTTGTAGAGGAACGTGCTAGGAGAAAGTTTGGTGGACTCAAGGTTCTCAATTTTGACTTAATCATCGAGGTATGTACTATTGGACACTACGTTTAACTTCATTGTAACTTATATTAAACGGAACAATGTAGGCTTGAATCGTTAGTGTTGATAGATAGACTGAACGAGATTCCCTGTTAGTGTAGCTTATTTTGATGACCAGATTAAACCTTATTTAGCTTATTTTGGTGGCTCCTAAGTTCTTTTCCATATCTCCCCCTTCTTATTCTTGTTGGTGTTATGTTTCCCAAGTTAGTAGGGATATCAGATGATTTTTTCAATGTCAAAGCTTGTTGAGATTGAATGAGATCAGAGCTGGGAAAAGGAAGTATTCTGTTTTGCTTATCTCATGAAAAGATGTCATGACTGTGAAATTTTCAGAATTAGCCGTGAGAATGCTTAGTGAAATCTGGGTGTTTTTAGTTTCACGACTTAGTTTAACGGCTGTGATTTATGAAGCCAAAGCCGTGAGATTGCCTGGGGATATGAAAACTGCTCTTTACTTCTCACGAGGCATGTCACGGGCGTGAGAATTTGAGAATGAACCGTGAGAACTGTTTAATGAAAGCTGGGTGTTTTGGGTGAAATTTATATATGCCAATGGCGGATTTCATGGTTAATTAGTGTACTCAGGTATTGAGGTAAGGGGTTTTCAATTCTTACGGTAGTTGGAACTTGATACCGAGGCAAGTGTGCTTGTGAGCTCTGGTATAGTCTTGCATTTTTTCAATATTGATAAAAGCCATATATTGAAAACCAGGATTGAACTCATTACTTGGAGAATGTGTTTACCAAATGATTAAATGATCCTTTTCTAGAATGAAACTTTGTCATAACCACGTTTTCTAGAATGTGTTTAACTGTGAAAGTTGCTTCTTTAGATAAGTGGAGGACGACTCTGGCTTTGTGTATTTTGTTTGTAGTCTTCGGCATGCTTATAATTCGTGTTTCAAGGCATGCTTATAATTTTGTTGTTTTAATTTTGCAGTTTGTTAAAATTGTTCTATAATGAGGACGAAGAGGCATGACCTTTTTAGCACGCGATGTTCTCCGAGGAAAGTATTCTCCATAGTCTTAAATTTAGAGGCTTATCAATAAGAGGCCATTAATAGATCTGGCTTTGGTCGGATTCTTGAAGTCAAAGGAAGAATGTTACAACGTGAGTTGTTGGAGAAACTTTTAAAGAGCTTTAATTTGGAAGAAAGCACAATTAAGGCGTATGGGCTGAAAGTGCATATTTCGGCCAAAGATTTCCAGCGAATTATGGGTGTCCCCGAGGGAGGGACGAATATCGTCTTGGATGGTGAAGAAGTGGTTGGAAGATCCGAGGAACTGAAAGAATTTAGAGTGTATTCGACTCGTGACTGTGATCGACAGACGATTTCCACGAGCTTAATGCGAAAGACGTTGAAAATAAAAGAGAGCAGCGACCTATTTGTTAAATTTTTTATATTGTATGAAATGGGGGTGCTATTAGTACCTAATAGAAGAGATGACATTTCGTTATCTTCGGTATACGCTGTCACCGATGTTGCGGACATTCCGAAGAAGAATTGGGCATCCTATTGCTTCAATGAATTGGTGAAGTGCATCTACAACCATAATGCTGATGGGAAAAAGTATATGCCTGATTGTTTGCTGTTTTTGGAGGTAAATAATTGATAATCCCTACTTTTTACATATTCGTAATGATTAATCGTCATGTTGATTATAGTTTTTTTTGTAGTTAATATTCTTGGAGGATGCAAATGGTATTTTCCACACTATTGATGAAAGTTTGGTTTTGATGAGTTAAGGGAGCGAAGATGTAGAGTTATTGTTAACGAAAGTGGTAAGACTGATAGTGTAAAATGATATATTTGATTCTTAGACGAGTTGGGGCATGCTAATGGTACATTTGGTTCCCTATTTAATTAATTTATAGGTTTCCAGCAGTTCGGCGAAAAGATCATCTGAGGATTCAGGTTTGAAATCACCTTCAAGGAAACTGTAAAAAAGATACGGGAAACGACACAAAACCGACGGGGATGAGCTGCTTCTTTGTGAGCGTATTGATGCTCGGTTTAGTCCCATGGAGGCTAGATTTGACAACTTCAGTCAAGAATTTAAAGTCGCAATGGGTGATGCTGCTTCTAGAGATAAGGAGCTAATGGGTCGGGTTATGAAAATGGAGAATGAATTTCGGGCATTTAGAGACGAAATTTGTACTGCATTGAAGTCAATTATAGCGGCACAAAACTGTCGGCTTCTTCCTCTGGCTTTATAATTGACTTCACTGCAATACCAATTTCGTCTCTAAATGCCCGAAATTCATTCTCAATTTTCATAACCCGACCCATTAGCTCCTCATCTCTAGAAGCAGCATCACCCATTGCGACTTTAAATTCTTGACTGAAGTTGTCCAATCTAGCCTCCATGGGACTAAACCGAGCATCAATACGCTCACAAAGAAGCAGCTCATCCCCGTCGGTTTTGTGCCGTTTCCCGTATCTTTTTTCCCGTTTCCTTGGAGGTGATTTCAAACCTGAATACTCAGATGATCTTTTCCCCGAACTGCTGAAAACCTATAAATTAATTAAAACGGGAACCAAATGTACCATTAGCATGCTCCAACTCGTCAAAAGAATCAAATATACCATTTTGCACTATCAGTCTTACCACTTTCGTTAACAATAACTCTGCGTCTCCGCTCCCCCAACTTATCAAATCCAAACTTCCATCAATGGTGTGGAAAAAACCATTTGCATGCTCCAAGAATATTAACTACAAAAAAGCTATAATCAACATGATGATTAATCATTACGAATATGTAGGGATTATCAATTATTTACCTCCAAAAACAGCAAGCAACCAGGTATATACTTTTGCCCATCAACATTATGGTTGTAGATGCATTTCACCAATTCATTGAAGCAATAGGATGCCCAATTATTCTTCGGAATGTCCGCAACATCGGTGACAGTGTATACCGAAGATAACGAAATGTCATTTGTTCTAGTAGGTACTAATAGCACCCCCATTACGTACAATATAAAAGTTTTAACAAATAGGTCGCTGCTCTCTTTTATCTTCAACAACATCTTTCGCATTAAGCTTGTGGAAATCGCCTGTTGATCACAGTCACGAGTCGAATACACTCTAAATTCTTTCAGTTCCTCGGATCTTCCAACCACTTTTTCACCATCCAAGACGATATCCGTCCCTCCCTCGGGGGCACCCATAATTCACTGGAAATCTTTGGCCGAAATATGCACTTTCAGCCCATACGCCTTAATTTGTGCTTTCTTTCAGATTAAAGCTCCTAAAAGTTTCTCCAACAACTCACGTCGTAACATTCTTCCTTTGACTTCAAGAATCCGACCAAAGCCACATCCCTTAATGGCCTCTGATGGACAAGTCTCTAAATTTGAGAGTTGAGACTAGGGAGAATACTTTTCTCGGAGAACATCGCGTGCTAAAAAGGTCATGCCTCTTCGTCTTCATTATAGAACAATTTTAACACACTGCAAAATTAAAACAACGACAAAATTATAAACATGCCTTGAAACACGAATTATAAGCATGCCGAAGACTACAAACAAAATACACAAAGCCAGAGTCGTCCTCCACTTATCTAAAGAAGCAACTTTCACAGTTAAACACATTCTAGAAAACGTGGTTATGACAAAGTTTCATTCTAGAAAAGGATCATTTAATCATTTGGTAAACACATTCTCCATGTAATGAGTTCAATCCTGGTTTTCAATATATGGCTTTCATCAGTATTGAAAAAATGCAAGACTATACCAGAGCTCACAAGCACACTTGCCTCGGTATCAAGTTCCAACTACCATAAGAATTGAAAACCCCTACCTCAATACCTGACTACACTAATTAACCATGAAATTCGCCATTGGCATATATAAATTTCACCTAAAACACCCAGCTTTCATTAAACAGTTCTCATGGTTCATTCTCAAATTCTCACACCCGTGACATGCCTCGTGAGAAGTAAAGAGCAGTTTTCATATCCCCAGGCAATCTCACGACTTTGGCTTCATAAATCACGGTCGTTAAACTAAGTCGTGAAACTAAAAACACACAGATTTCACTAAGCATTCTCAAGGCTAATTCTGGAAATTTCACAGCCGTGACATCTTTTCATGAGATAAGCAAAACAGAATACTTCCTTTTCCCAACTCTGATCTCATTCAATCTCAACAAGCTTTGACATTGAAAAAATCATCTGATATCCCCACTAACTTGGGCAACATAACACCAACAAGAATAAGAGGGGGGAGATATGGAAAAGAACTTAGCAGCCACCAAAATAAGCTAAATAGGGTTTAATCTGGTCATCAAAATAAGCTACACTAACAGGGAGTCTCGTTCAGTCTATCTATCAACACTAACGATTCAAGTCTACATTGTTCTGTTGAATATAAGTTACAATGAAATTAAACGTAGTGTCCAATAGTACATACCTCGATGATTCAGTCAGAATTGAGAACCTTGAGTCCACCAAAATTCCTCCCAGCACGTTCCTCTACAACCGATCGCTTGTTATGCTTGAAATCGATCTTATGCAAAGTGAACAAAAAAAAGTGACTACCGATTTTTAATCTCATGTGCCGAAATACATACTTGCATTCAACAATCCATTTGTTTTCTAATCTCCTAGTCAAAGTTGTAGTTCTTAAAAAGTTATGCGCAATCAAAAAAAATTTACGACGTTCGGATTGAGGAGCTAAAAGTTATGTCCTTCCAAAGTATGGAAAAATCGAAAAATTGCTCGTTTGGGGTAACAAACGACATTTTTTTGAGGTGAAGTCTTGTTGCAGATTGAAAGATCTTGAAAAGTTATATGGTATACATTTTTTTTTGCTATTATCGAATAACCGAGCGCAAAGTTACGTTTGTTTGAAGTTTCAGTGTTAAGTCGGGCATTCACCATGGCCGTCAATCGCGGTGATGCATTCACCGCTTTGGTCTGCCGCGGTGAATGCAATCACTGCGGTTGACAACAGTGGTGATGCCCAAACATGTGTATTTTGGGAATTTTTTCTATAACGTGTGTATTTTGAGAATTTTTTTTAAAAACATGTGTATTTTTGGAATTCGTCCTTTATTTTGTAGTATATAATAGGGCTAATATTTTTGTATGGCATGAACTTTGACCAAAATAAACATTCTGGCCAATCTTTTCGATTTATAACATACTGGCCCAAACTATACACTAAAATAAACAATTTGGCCAAACCCGATGTTTGACCGTTAACTTGGACGGTCAAACGCGTTGACTAACGGTCAACGCGCCACGTCACTGCCAAGTCAGAAGATCTTATAAATATTTAATTTTTACGTTTTTTTTCGTTGAATCGTTTTTTATTTTTGGTTTAACTTAGGTATTAGATGATTTTTTTAATTTATAATAATTTAAAATTAGGGAATGTGTGGAAATTGTGAATTATTTTAAATATTTTATGCTGACTTGGCAGTGACATGGCGCGTTGACTAACAGTCAACGCGTTTGACCGTCCAAGTTAACAGTCAAAAGTCGGATCTGGCCAAATTGTTTATTTTGGTGTATAGTTCGGGCCAGGATGTTATAGATCGAAAAGATTGGCCAGAATGTTTATTTTGGTCAAAGTTCACGCCATACGAAAATATTAACCCTATATACTATTATCTTTTTTAGAAATTAGTCAAAATAAAGGTACGCTCCAGCCGAGTATGGCTGTAAAGTGTAGACACTCTGCTCTCCCCAATTCTTTATCTTTTCTTTCTTGACATTTTGTTCAGTACAACAATTTTGATGATGACGTCGAGAGGGTCAGATGGCCCAAAAAGAAGAGAACTATTATTTGGTCATATTCAAATAAGTGGTTTGTATGGATAAATTGATGTAATATTTTATAATTGTTATTCCCCAAATAGCACAAATATGTTATTTGACAAATATTAGGGGCAATTAAGAGGTTGCCGCTTCAAAAAAGCAATACAGTTGTTACCGTTAATCATATTTTGGCACTTGTGGATTGAAAGAAACTCCAGAATTTTCAGGGACACAAAGACACAAGTAAAGAGCATTACCAACACGGTCAGCCGAACTATCTACAGCTATGCTATGTTCCACAAACTCATCCCTATAGATCAAAGTGATGCCCTTCACTGTTTGCTTTCTGATAATCGTTCTCCTCTTTCCTTTCAACCACCTTAAGCTAGTTTCATTTTACTAGCTTTATCTCTACCCTCTTAACGTTCTTTCATTCAAATTTCTTTTGCCATCTTGCTGTATTATGAAGTTAGTCTAGTACCTGTAGACCCTCCTTTTTTCATGAATACAAGCACTCAATCATTCATAAAAAAAAAAATTAGGGGCAATGTTGGTATTCTCCAAATAAAATGTTATTGTTTTTTTTAATTATGTATTCATTTCTTATTTGTAAATCTCAAATCACCCTCTCATTTATTTTGTCCCACATTTTTTGTCTCTCCTTCTCCAATTATTTGTGAGAGGTTAGAGTGCTAACTACTCTAATCACCATCCATTTTTTAAGTTAAATCTGACGGTAGTTAGTAATGAAGGGTTTATTCGGTATTTCACAAAATTATAAATAATAAATATATTAAAATAAATGTTCTCTCTCCTCTAATTATTTGTCATTTTTTCGATAAATATAAATTTGGGGTTGATAGTAGTGTTTTTGTGAATTTAATTGTTATCCGTTGTGATATAGTACTATAATTTGTCAAGAATATGGCTTCACCATTATAGGTTGCAATTTTATATACAATGTACCAATCCAATCTAGTCCATCCGCTTAATTTAGTACTATAATTTATATATTTTATAATCTGGTACCTAAAATTGTATTGATGAAAAATATCATTGAAAATTACATTTTGGTACCTAAAATTATTTATTACGATATTTTTGTACATAAAATTTTAAAAATTTACATATTAATATAATGTTTAGATGTCATTTGGATTCATGATCTGATCCAGAAATCCATGTGACCCATAGACCCCCATACCATGAATACAATCCATGGATTCAGTCTTTTAGTCAAATAATCATTTTTGCTTCCTTCAATCAATTGATTGCCACTAGGGGTGGGCATCGATCCGGTCCGGACCGAATCAGACCAAATTCAAAGAATCGCAGTCCAATTGTGAAACATAGCTTAGACCGGACAAATAGTGCATTCGGTCCGTTTGGTCCGCTTTGGTCTGGTCCAAATGTAAATTCGGTCCATTTTTTTCAGTATTTATAAAATTAATGGGACCAAGGATCAGACCATATTATATTCGATTCGGTGTGGTCCGATTCAAATATCGATTCGATCCGGTGTGGTCCAGTTTGGACCAACCCATTGCCCACCCCTAATTGCCACCTCATTTCCTCTAATGACTATAGGTACTCGCAGTGGCGGACATATGGGGATGAGGGAGGTCCTATGCACTACCTCAAAATTCAAATATGAAGCACACTCATAAAATATCAAGTATGTTAATATCGTAGTGGAGATTGTATCGGAAAAGTTATTGAAAGGATATTTTATACTAAAACTGTGGTTTAATCATATAGTTCAACTGTTTCACACCACTAAAATCACCAATCATGTTGGGTTCCAATAGGCATTTCTTTCGATTGGACTGTTAGTACGATTATGAAAACAATAAAATGTATATATCAAAGATTCGTTGAAAGTAAAAGCCGAACAAAGGATCCCCTATTTGAACCATAATCTTTATCACTTACTTATCCATGACTGTAACACCCTACCCTATACGTTTTGCCTAATCATATTGTTCATACAATTGCAGCGGAATTAATCTCGGGTGTTACATTAATTATCAAAATTTACCCAAATAAAATTGCGACATGAATTACTCGCGTAATGGGCTAACAGTTCTTGCAACTTATCCTGCAAAATAAATCATCACAAACATATATACTCACAACCATAAGCATTGGCTTTCATAGTCATAGTCACAGTTTCATACTACACAACTGCATACTATACTGATACAAGCCACAATCGTCACAACTTAAATAATTACAAAAATATACACATATCATCAACTTTCCACACCTGTGGATATCTCACACTACATCAGAAGCTAGTATGCACATGAAAAACGTTCTCAAAACATTTTTACAAAAAGGTGTGGATCACTGGCCAAAATCCCGAGTAGTAGTCCAAGCACAGAATAGTTGAAGACCATACCTCATCTTGCCTTCAACTCTTGCTCAGCTCCCACCTATACACCTATCTACTGCTGCTGATGATCTGCTTACACATGGCATAAGCAGAGAAGAAGAATAAAAGAGGGTCAGCTCATAGCTGAGTGAGATAATCATAGCATCGTGAGTTCATAACATAGCATACCACTACCATACATCTAGCAAACAAGCCAAAGCACTAGGATCAGATCTCAGCTCTCTGACATCCCAATAGGCAAAAGACTCAACCACCTTGACTTATGCATATGCATCTTATCATGTTTTACTTATAGGTGCCTGGCTACTCCCATGCTAATAACTCTCCCGGGAAACATACCCCACATCCCGTCGGATGTAGTCATACATACCCCAACATCCCGTCGGATGTGGTCATACATACCCCACACCACTATGGGTGTAGTCATACCCCGACACCGCTCTGGGTGTGGTCATATCTCATAAGAATTCTTCAGTCACCACCACATGAGAGGTGTGACTATCATACATATCATAATAGAGTAATAGCATAGGGAGCCCTAATTACTATGTAGTTGACCGTGAGACCACAACACTCATATTTGGTATCCTTGTACATGATTCATATCTCATCTTGCTTAATCACAATTCGTTACTTGCACATGTACTTGACCTGCCCATAATTGGCTCAACATAGGTAAACCAGGAGTCGTATAGTTGCACTTCCTCGGGATAAACCCTCGTGCAAGTCATCCTCCTTAAAAATCATAATATCAACCTGGGAAGTTTATTTCCCCCACTTGTGAATCCAAATAGAACCACAATATCACATCATGTCAAAACACCTGATCGAACAACCATGAAGTCATATAAACAGTTAAGCCACAAATGGCAACATGTATGCAATCATCAGCATAAACAAGGTCCATATCGATTAGGACAAGTCAATAATATCATACAGCAGTCCAGGGTTCAACATATAGCACAAAAGTTCATACACCCCTAATCATGCCATTCTAGTTCACCTAGGTCAATTCTAAGCATCAATATAATTATCGTGATACGACAAACCCGGTATGCCGTGCTAATCCCTCACCAGTTCTGGTCGTTCAAACACCGGTTTAACCTTCCCGTACTAAAACGTCAATTTCACGAACGAACCCCGAATTAAAATCCGAGACTGTCCTAATATCCCCTGCAGTATCCCCGTCAATATTAGTTCTAGGCTCCGTGTCAAATTCTCGATAAAAACACATCAAACCCTGGCCGGAGCTAAATTCAGCGGTTTGGACCCCGGCCTAAATAATAGCCGAAATTCAGGGATTAGAACTAGAGGATTGATTACCTCGCTGCAGGAAGCTCGTATATGAAATTTGGGCTCAATCCGGCTTCCGGATACTCCGAAACCCTAATTTGGCTTATCGGGAATTCAAGAAATTTCTGAACCAAAAACTTGTTTTAAAGCTCTAAATCGATAAATTACGATGAATAGATGAATTAGGCATTACTTACGGGATTTTTGGATCACTTATGCTCAAGAATCGAGCTACCGAACTTTTTCCCCGGAGCTCTGCCTGATGCTCTGCTTCTCCGTTTACTCTCGGTGGGGAAATGGAAAATGATGATGAGAATTGGAAAGAAAGTGACGGGAATTATATGTCGACCGCATTTATATATATATATATATATATTTTTTTTTTATTATATAATATATATAATTAATACGTATACTTATCCGATCGATCGATAATCCGATTTTCGTCGAAATAGTGTCGAAATGCTCGATTTTAAATCGCGAACTTTCTAGCGATCGAAATACGATTTTAGCTGAAACAGGATGTTACAATTCTCCTCTCCTTAAAAGATTTCGTCCCCGAAATCTAACCTTGAGTCGTACTCTAACTCCTCTTACTTACCCTTAACCTGATCTATCATACATAAAGTCATTACCTAACTCTTAGGTTAGGCAATTCATAACATAGAAAGTAACACATAACACCTCAAGTTCCCATGTTTAGGTTTCAAAACCTATACTGGGCTATCACAACAAAAGCACATCAGCAAGTTCAAAACATAACTTATTAAGCAAGATTGTTAACCTGCAAAGTATGTTGCTACCAACTCAGGGTACTTCTCTCGCATACTTGCCTCAGTCTCCCAGGTAGCACTCTCACTTTCTTGATTTCTCCACACAACCTTCAACATTGGAATTTCTTTCCTGCGAAGAGTCTTAATCTGGTAATCAACAATCTCAACTGGAACCTCTTCAAATGTCAAATCTGAACCCAACTCGATCTCTTCTGGTTGTATAACATGGGAAGGATCCACTTTGTACCTCTTCAGCATACTAACATGAAATACATTGTGGATTTGAGATAGTTCTGGAGGCAATGCCAACTTATAAGCCACTGGTCCAATCTTCTCTGTGATTTCATAGGGACCAATATACCGAGGTGCAAGTTTCCCTTTTTTACCAAATCTCATCACCCCTTTCCATGGTGACACTTTGAGAAATACTTTCTCACCCACTTCGAAATGAACTTCACGCCTATTCATGTCAACATAAACTTTCTGTCGATCTTGAGCCACCCTCATACGCTCCCTGATTTCCTTGACCTTATCAACTGTGATCTGAACTATCTCTGGCCCTGAGATTTGCCTTGCTCCTTCTACATCCCAACATAATGGTGTTCTACATTTCCTCCCATAAAGTGCTTCATATGGTGGAACACCCAAACTACTATGGTATTGATTGTTGTAAGCAAACTCAATCAAGGGCAAATGGGCAATCCATGATTCCTCCCATTGCATTACACATGATCGAAGTAATTCCTCCAAAGTTAGGATGGTTCGTTCACTCTGCCCATCTGTTTGAGGATGATAAGCTGAAGTAAAATGCAGTTTAGTTCCCAAGGATTCATGTAAACTTTGCCAAAACCGAGATGTGAAGCTCGGGTCTCGATCAGAGACAATAGAAATTGGCACACCATGCAATCTGACGATCTCCTTAATATATAGTTGAGACAAAGTCTCCAGTGATGGTTTCCACCTAATGGGTAAAAAGTGAGCCGATTTGGTTAGTCGGTCCACAATAACCCATACTGCATCCTTTCCCCTTGATGGTGGGAGACCATATACAAAATCCATTGTGATTCTTTCCCACTTCCATTCTGGAATTGGAAGTGGCTGCAGTTTTCCCACAGGAGCTTGATGTTGTGCCTTAACTTTCTGACATACCAGACATGTGAAAACATGTTCAGCCGCTTCCTTTTTCATCCCACGCCACCAAAAATATGGTTTGATCGTGTGATACATTTTAGTTGCTCCTGGGTGCATAGCATAAGCAGAAGAATGAGCTTCATCTAGGATCTCTTTCCTCAAGTTATCAACATTAGGAACACATGCTCTTCCATTAATCTTCAACATGCCATCTACCATTTCAAATGGGCTTTCTTTTCCTTCCTCAATGTCTTGAATGATTTTTGCCAACTCTGGGTCTTCCTTCTGCTTCTCACGAATTTTGTCGTGCAACAAAGGTCGAATGTTCAACCGAGCTAGTAACCCTGTCACACCATCCACTTCCAAATCCACATTCATTGCCCTCAAATCAACCAGATCATTTATATTCTTCTTCCCCTTTCTGCTTAGGGCATCCGCAACTACATTAGCTTTACCTGGATGGTAATCAATGGTACAATCATAATCTTTCAACAACTCTATCCATCTCCTCTGGCGACTATTTAAATCCTTCTGATCCATAATATACTTCAAGCTTTTGTGATCAGTTAGGATTTTAAAAGTCTCACCATACAAATAATGTCGCCAAATCTTGAGAGCAAATACCACCGCTGCCAATTCTAAGTCATGAGTGGGATAATTTACTTCATGAGGACGCAATTTCCTAGAGGCATATGCGATAACTCTTCCATCTTGCATTAACACACAACCCAATCCTTGATACGAGGCATCACTATACACCACGAACTCTCCATGGTTTGAAGGTAAAGCCAGTACTGGTGCTGTGGTCAATTTCTTCTTCAGTTCATCAAAACTCTTTTGACATGATTCATCCCAAACATACTTGGTATTCTTCCTCAACAATTTAGTCAATGGTGCAGCAATTTTAGAAAATCCTTCGACAAACCGCCGATAGTAACCCGCCATGCCAAGAAAACTTCTCAACTCAGACACATCTTTTGGTGGAGCCCAACTCACCACTGCTTCCACCTTTTTCGGATCCACCTCGACACCTCTTCCAGAAATTACATGTCCCAGAAATATTACCTCATTCAGCCAAAACTCACATTTTGAGAATTTTGCATATAATTGTTTCTCCCTTAGAATTTGCAACACAATTCTAAGGTGAGTTTTGTGCTCCTCCTCGCTTTTAGAATAGATGAGAATATCATCTATGAACACAATCACAAACTTATCAAGATATTCATGGAAAACTCTGTTCATTAGAGCCATAAATACCGCTGGTGCATTAGTGAGTCCAAAAGGCATTACCAGGAACTCATAATGCCCATATCTTGTTCTAAAAGCTGTCTTTGAGGTTGCTCCATCTGCCACTTTCAATTGATGGTATCCAGATCTCAAATCAATCTTAGAAAAGACTGATGCACCCTGCAATTGATCAAACAAATCATCTATTCTTGGAAGGGGATAACGGTTTTTCACTGTTGCTTTATTCAACCTCCGGTAGTCAATGCACATTCTCATGGAGCCATCTTTCTTCTTGACAAACAAAACCGGTGCACCCCAAGGTGAGATGCTAGGTCGAATAAACCCCTTGTCTAGCAATTCTTGCAATTGTTCTTTAAGCTCCTTCAGCTCAATTGGTGCCATTCTATATGGTGCCATTGAAATTGGTGTTGTGCCAGGTACCAATTCAATATCAAACTCTACTTCCCTTTCTGGTGGAAGGCCGGGAAGTTCTTCGGGGAATACATCAGGAAACTCCCTTACCACCTCTACATCCTCAACCTTCTTATCATTTACTACAGTAACTTGAGCAAGAAAGGCTTCACAACCTTCCTTCACTAATCGAAAAGCTTCCAAGGCAGAAAGAAAACCAAGAGTCTCCTTTTTCTTAATGCCTCGAAATACAACAGGACCTTTATCTGGTGTGTTGAATAACACTTCTTTCTTTTGACAATCCACAGCAGCTCCATGTGTTGCTAGAAAGTCCATTCCAAGGATGACATCAAATTCATCAAAAGGTAGCAGAATTAAATCTGCTGCCAGGAAAGCTCCTTCCACACAAATGAAGGAACTTCTAATAACTGAGTCTACCTTCAAGGTATCTCCCACAGGTGTTTTAACACATAAGGTATAACCTAGCTTATCTGGAACTAAGCGTAGCATATGTGCAAACGTATATGACATGAATGAGTGAGAGGAACCAGTATCTATCAAAGCATATAATTGCTTGCCAAGGATAGAAAGCATACCAGTCACAACTTCTGGTGCCACTTCTGCCTCACCTCGAGTCATTGCATAAACCCTCGGTGCTCCCTGTGCTCTGGTACCCTGTGTACCACTTCCTGATGGCCGATTTCGACCACCACCTCTACCACCCTGTGAACCACCACGACCACTCTGAAATCCACTACGGCCTCCCTGGTAACCACCCCTGAATGGGGCTCTACTCATTTGCACTGAAGGCTCGGACTGTGTAGCTCTTACTTCTCTCGCATGCGGGCAATCCCTCATGATGTGCCCAGGTTGGCCACAGTGAAAGCATACACCAGAAAATCTCCTACACTCTCCAAGATGCCTCTTCTGAAAAACTTGACAAAATGGAAATTGTGTAGCTGAGGAAATTGGTGCCCTGTATGATGTTCCTGACATAGATTGACTCGGTGTTCTCCCAAAACTGCTAGGACCTCTCCTGGGTGGGTAACGAGGTCCAGCATAATTTACTCCAAACTTCCTCTTCTTCTCCTCTTCTTTGGCCTTGTGTTCCTCTCGGCTCTCAACTTCATAGGCTTCATACTTAAGTGCTGCCTCCTTGATTGTGGCCATGCTCTCTTCATCAACCCTGTGGATCTTTTCTTTCAATCCTATGCGCAGACCATGCAAGTATCTCATTTTCTTCTTATGCTCAGTATCCGCCAACCCATCCTCAAAGTAAAGCAGTTGAACAAACTTGATGGTGTACTCGGTAACTGTCATATTCTCCTGCTTAAGGTTGGCAAATTCATTGTTCTTTGCCCTGATAAAAGCTTCGGGAAGAAACTCTGTCTTAAAGGCCTTCAGGAACTCCTCCCAGGTGAACTGAACTCGTTCACCATTAACTCTAGAGACTGAGGACCACCAGCTCCTCGCGTACCCCTTTAAGAGAAAAACAACATATTGCACTTTTTCCTCTGGGGTTGCATAAAGATATTCAAACACATCTTCCATCTCCCTCAACCACTCTACCACAGCATCCGGACTCACATCTCCTTTAAAGTCCCTACCACCCAAACTCTTCATCTTTGCATAATCTAATACTGGCGATCTTGCATCAACCGCCCCCACTCCTCTCGACTGGTCAGTAGGAACATTATGACAACTTCCGTGTGAGCTACAAGGAAATATTGGCCTTAGATTGATCCACACAAAATTCATTCTTCACCAAATCTCTCACTTGGTTAAAACGAAATTTTTCCAAAATAATTACTTGAAAACATAGAAGTTCAAAGCTCAATTTTGAAAACCATGATGCAGATAATTTCATCCAACATACCAATACACATAATCATGTCAAACTCAATTCCCAGTTTAAGTCATTATGGGGTACTCCCCTCCTTAGGAGTGTTTAACCTCCCATAGGGTATAGTACGCCATAACAGCAAAAAGAGGGAACCGGGCTCTGATACCAAACTATAACACCCTACCCTATACGTTTTGCCTAATCATATTGTTCATACAATTGCAGCGGAATTAATCTCGGGTGTTACATTAATTATCAAAATTTACCCAAATAAAATTGCGACATGAATTACTCGCGTAATGTGCTAACAGTTCTTGCAACTTATCCTGCAAAATAAATCATCACAAACATATATACTCACAACCATAAGCATTGGCTTTCATAGTCATAGTCACAGTTTCATACTACACAACTGCATACTATACTGATACAAGCCACAATCGTCACAACTTACATAATTACAAAAATATACACATATCATCAACTTTCAACACCTGTGGATATCTCACACTACATCAGAAGCTAGTATGCACATGAAAAACGTTCTCAAAACATTTTTACAAAAAGGTGTGGATCACTGGCCAAAATCCCGAGTAGTAGTCCAAGCACAGAATAGTTGAAGACCATACCTCATCTTGCCTTCAACTCTTGCTCAGCTCCCACCTATACACCTATCTACTGCTGCTGATGATCTGCTTACACATGGCATAAGCAGAGAAGAAGAATAAAAGAGGGTCAGCTCATAGCTGAGTGAGATAATCATAGCATCATGAGTTCATAACATAGCATACCACTACCATACATCTAGCAAACAAGCCAAAGCACTAGGATCAGATCTCAGCTCTCTGACATCCCAATAGGCAAAAGACTCAACCACCTTGACTTATGCATATGCATCTTATCATGTTTTACTTATAGGTGCCTGGCTACTCCCATGCTAATAACTCTCCCGGGAAACATACCCCACATCCCGTCGGATGTAGTCATACATACCCCAACATCCCGTCGGATGTGGTCATACATACCCCACACCACTATGGGTGTAGTCATACCCCAACACCGCTCTGGGTGTGGTCATATCTCATAAGAATTCTTCAGTCACCACCACATGAGAGGTGTGACTATCATACATATCATAATAGAGTAATAGCATAGGGAGCCCTAATTACTATGTAGTTGACCGTGAGACCACAACACTCATATTTGGTATCCTTGTACATGATTCATATCTCATCTTGCTTAATCACAATTCGTTACTTGCACATGTACTTGACCTGCCCATAATTGGCTCAACATAGGTAAACCAGGAGTCGTATAATTGCACTTCCTCGGGATAAACCCTCGTGCAAGTCATCCTCCTTAAAAATCATAATATCAACCTGGGAAGTTTATTTCCCCCACTTGTGAATCCAAATAGAACCACAATATCACATCATGTCAAAACACCTGATCGAACAACCATGAAGTCATATAAACAGTTAAGCCACAAATGGCAACATGTATGCAATCATCAGCATAAACAAGGTCCATATCGATTAGGACAAGTCAATAATATCATACAGCAGTCCAGGGTTCAACATATAGCACAAAAGTTCATACACCCCTAATCATGCCATTCTAGTTCACCTAGGTCAATTCTAAGCATCAATATAATTATCGTGATACGACAAACCCGGTATGCCGTGCTAATCCCTCACCAGTTCTGGTCGTTCAAACACCGGTTTAACCTTCCCGTACTAAAACGTCAATTTCACGAACGAACCCCGAATTAAAATCCGAGACCGTCCTAATATCCCCTGCAGTATCCCCGTCAATATTAGTTCTAGGCTCCGTGTCAAATTCTCGATAAAAACACATCAAACCCTGGCCGGAGCTAAATTCAGCGGTTTGGACCCCGGCCTAAATAATAGCCGAAATTCAGGGATTAGAACTAGAGGATTGATTATCTCGCTGCAGGAAGCTCGTAAATGAAATTTGGGCTCAATCCGGCTTCCGGATACTCCGAAACCCTAATTTGGCTTATCGGGAATTCAAGAAATTTCTGAACCAAAAACTTGTTTTAAAGCTCTAAATCGATAAATTACGATGAATAGATGAATTAGGCATTACTTACGGGATTTTTGGATCACTTATGCTCAAGAATCGAGCTACCGAACTTTTTCCCCGGAGCTCTGCCTGATGCTCTGCTTCTCCGTTTACTCTCGGTGGGGAAATGGAAAATGATGATGAGAATTGGAAAGAAAGTGACGGGAATTATATGTCGACCGCATTTATATATATATATATATATATATTTTTTATTATATAATATATATAATTAATACGTATACTTATCCGATCGATCGATAATCCGATTTTCGTCGAAATAGTGTCGAAATGCTCGATTTTAAATCGCGAACTTTCTAGCGATCGAAATACGATTTTAGCTGAAACGGGATGTTACAATGACTTCATGGTTCATATTTGACATCTAACTTATTTTGTGACATAATTTCACGTTTCATAAACGATTTTTAGCTGGGTACATTGAGAGTGAGATCCTTAATAGTTTGGATGACGAATGTATTTTAAATACATTTTCATAATATGAATCATGGTAAATTATTAATAAATAATCGATTCTTTTATTACGTATGTCAGAACTAAATTGCTGGATACTCGCTCTATTTTCATAGTTGGTAATCTTTATTGAATATGATATGAATGTGCACTACAAAAAAGAGGAACTTAGGGGACGACAAAAGTTGTCCCCGGAAATAGGTAAAAAAGTCGTCATAGTTTTTGAGGACGACTAAGTTGCTCCCAATGTCTGGTGCCTTATACTCTTGTCCTCTATTCTTTTGGGGACGAAAAATTCTAGGTCGCCCCCAATACTAGGGACGATAGTCGTCCTTGATACTCACGAGCTATCTCTCATAATTTTTCATGAAAGATAACATGTCGTCCCTATAGCCATGACTTTGGCTACAATAAATCGTCTCCTAAATATTTTTTAGGGATAAAATATTGTCCCTACATTCTTTTTTAGGATCGATATTATGTTCCCATATGTGTCAAATTAAAGACAACTATTCGTTCCCAAAAGTTATGATATTTAGAGACAACAACTAGTTCCTTATACTATAAGTCTATAACTTTAGGGACAACAATTTTGTCACCTATGCCACTTTAAGGGTCAACTAATGGCCTCTTAATTTTTCTTTGAATATGTGGAATTATAAACCTATAGGGACTATCAGTTGTCCCCATACTTGTGGCTTGAGAACAACTTATAATTATCTATAATCTTATATATCAAATGTTATTTTATTCATTGTATTGAAAATGTACACTTATATATAATACAGTACAACATACATATAGTTATATAGACAATGAAAAAGGAAAGCCAATTTGGCTTAAAAAGACGCAAAATCGCAATGACAGCCTCTACTCTTGTTAGATCTCCAGTGGCTAACGGCCATTAATTGTGCATCGTTTCCCCCCTCTATTGTGCGTAATCATCACCATCACCAGTGTCTAATCCAGGAGAATAGCATAAAAGAGTTAGAAACTAAGCAAATGATAGATCCAATAAAACCAAACAACATATCGATCCTCTAGCAAAACAAAACCCATAAGAAAGTGACAGTAACCAGTTTTAGGTCCGGTGAATAAAATACAATCATTTTTACCAAATAAGAAGAAGAAGAAATAATCAAACTAAATAAAATCCAAACAAACGTTATGCAGATTGAAGTCGTACCGACTAACACGAAAGTAGAAGAGAACGCTGATGACGACGCCATATGAGAGAGAACATCCAATTTGGGTTGTGAAGAAGAGAAGGAAACACGAAGCAGTGATAGGTAAATAAGGGAGAGATGGATTGGTCTATCAATGGGAATATTGAAGGGTAATTATCAGAAATGGTCACAAAATTATTCACTTTGTACAAAACGGTCACAAACCTTTAATTTTGCACGTTTCAGTAACAAACATTTGGACTAATAACAAAAAGGTAATTTCATCCATCTCCATCCAAAATTTTGTTAGTTTGATCCCATCAGCATCCACATCATCAAAATAATCAATAAAAAATAAAATAAAAACCAATTAAACCCTAACGAACCCACCACCCCAATCGAACCCAACCCATTCCTCTCTATCTCTTCTCCCTCTCCGCCACCATCTCTGCACCGCCCATCTGGAAAAAAATCCACAAATCCAAATTCATTCGATATTTGGATTGCAAACCATTTTAAAAAAGTAAACAGTTAAGAGAGAAGGATCTCTCTCTCCTCCCCCTTTCTCTAACCACGATCCATCTCCAGAACTTCTGTTGCTGCCGCTTTGCTCCTTCTGAGGTTCGAAGATGATTTTACAGCGTGCCTCTCAGTTCTTCTAGTGCTCGGCCTGGTTGAAAAAACAACAAAGCAAGGTACTAAATTCGGTGAAAAGAAATTGGTTAATTATGATCCAGAACCGCCACTCTTCGATTACATAACTAGTTCGGTAATCATAACTAAGCACCTAGATATCAATGGGGGACAGAGTACAGGAAGAAAAGTGAACCTGCTTTGCTTGATTGTTTCTTAAAAAAAAAGATACCTTACTAGCGTGGCAGGAAGCTTTCTACCGAGGAGAGGAAGGAAGAGGAGAGGAGGCCTCTTGATGAATCTCCTTGCGTCATTTCCCAACAAAGATTCCATTACAGCCATTTTTGTATGAATATAGCTCTAAATATAAAATGGTAAGATAAAATATTAGCAAGAGATATGGTCTGTAGCCTCTGCTATACACAATAGAGTGAAGAAAAGTAATAATAGTGAGGTGGAGAGTGTTTAAATAAAGAGCAGTAGCTCTTGAGTGTGTGGCAAGGCAATTATATTGCCGAGTGTACTATTGTGTGTAAGGCAATTAATTTGCCAAGTGTGAGTGTAAATCAAGTTTGAGTGAAATATATTTCAATCCTCTCAAATTTCTATCCTATACCTGCTACATTTCCGCTAGCATCCAACAAATTTGGTATCAGAGCGATACCATTTTCCTATCCTCTTAAAATATGGCCTCCTCCCAAGCAAACACAATGTTTACGAATACCCCGAGTCAGATTCCAATCTTCGAGGGCGAATCCTACGAGTTTTGGAGCGAGCAAATGGAGACCATCTTCATTGCTCAAGATTTGTGGGATATCATTCAAGAAGGTTATGAGGCTGACAGATGAAGACTCTGGCAAAACTTCAGAATCTAAGCTGAAGCAATACAAGGAGAATGTCCGGAAGAATGCCAACGCCTTGCGGATAATCCAATAGGTAGTTAGCAAAACTATATATCCTCGAATTTTTGGCATTAAAAATGCTAAAAAGGCATGGGAAGTTTTGCGAAATGAATTTCAAGGCAACGAGCGGGCAATCTCCATCAAATGCCAAAATTTATGGGGAGACTTCGACAATTTGTTGATGAAAGAGAGTGAAAGTATTCGAGACTTTCATTCTCACGCAGCAGAGATAATTAACCAGATAAGAGCAACTGGTGAAACTATCGAGGAGAAGAAAATTGTTGAGAGAATTCTCCGCAATTTATCGCAAAAATTCAAACACGTAGTAGCGCTCATCGAAGAAACCAGAGATCTAGCAAAATTAGCAATGACAGAGTTGATGGGATCACTCATTGCTCATGAGCAGAGGATGAGACGATTTACCGATCAACCAGCGGAGCAAGTTTTTCAGTCAAAAGTCAATATGGCTGAAACAAAATTACCAAGCCTGAGATAAATGAAAATTACCGCTCGCAAGTAAAGCTTGGAGATGGAACCATACTGGAAGTGAAAGGAATCGACACGGTGGCCATAAAATCTGAGGCAGGTAACACAACACAAATTCAAGAAGTTCTTTATGTTCTGGATTTGACTCAAAACCTCCTCAGTGTTAGCCAACTGATGTTGAAGAATTTCAAGCTATTATTTGATAACAGCGCTTGTGAGATCATTAATAAGAAAAATGGTCTTACAATTGCTAAAGTACCAATGACTTCGAGTAGAATCTTTCCTTTTACACTATCAAGAAGTGCAGGTATAGCACTAAAAGCCCAAAGGATGGATGATTCCTTCCTCTGGCACCTCAGATATGGCCATTTGAACTTCAAAGGCCTAAAATTGTTAAAGCAGAAAAAGATGGTGACTGGACTACCCAACATCAACGGAGATATCAAGATATGTGAAGGATGTATTTATGGCAAAATGCATCGCTTGCCTTTCCCGAAAACTGCTTGGAGAGCAAGAGCACCTCTGGAGCTAGTTCATGCAAATATTCGAGGGCCACCAGAACGTCATCAATAAGCGGTAAAAGATACTTCTTATTGTTTGTTGATGATTATACAAGGATGATGTGGGTATTTTTCTTAGAGCAGAAATCAGAAGCATTCTCCAAGTTTCTTCAATTTAAAGCAGCAGCTGAAAAAGAATGCAGCACGTAATACTGACGTGTGTTGCTTAACAAGGGTGTAAATGGAGTTACTGCTGCGGAGACATTTCTTTTCGGAGCATTGGCTAAACTAGGAGCTATCTTCTTGTTGTTAAGTCACGTTTTCAAGCTAAACAAGTTACCACCTGAGATAAAATGCATCACTATAAAGGTTTGAAGGATTCTGCATTGCTTGAGTTATATTCTGAAGTTTGCATGAGTCATATTGTTTTAGCAGTTGAAACCCTCTGCAAGCAAAGAACATTCCAACTTGATTGAATCTTTGTTCTAGAGAACTACTTTCACCACCACAACACAACTCTATAGGTCAAACTTCCACTTGTGATCTGAGATCCGGTTGAGACAACTCCTGGTTGGGTTTCCATCAATCGGAACCTTATGGATGCATGAATGCACCTAATGCATCATCAGAGTCTCAAATCCAAATTTGAGATGAAGTACAAGAGGAACTTGATTCAATCAAGCAAACCAGGGCCAGATCCAGACAAGGTGAGTCTCTCTTCAAGATCCAGCTCTGTCTACGTTGCAAGGTTCTCACAAGCAAATCGGAAAGCTCAGTTGGAAATTCACCTTCTCATCCATTGTAAGGAAGTGGTTAAGTACCATACATGGGACTTTATAAGATCTAGCATAACCTTCTCCCAACAACTTGAGTTATTGGGGCCAACTGGTTTATGATATGGTATCAGAGCTGGTTTGTCCTTGAGGTCACATGTTCAAGTCCTCACAACCCCAAATATTAACCGGTTTCTTTCAAGCACATGATATGGCGGGCCTGTGCAAACTTCGTTTCTCCATTTTCTTTTGGGTGTTGGATTTCCGATAGATATGGTAAATGGGTGAGCCAAGCAAGATTTGGATCAGATGATGAAGAGGGTGTAAGTGGAGAGTGTCGGTGGCTCATGCTGCCTCAAACGCCGGCGCATTTGATAGCCTTAATCGGCATCGCTTCCTCTGCTAGAGTCCGGCGGGTTCCCGACTTCCTATTCCTTGACCTCATAAACCAGGCCTTCCTACGGTGATATTAATTGCGAATTGGAAATTGCCAGCTTGATGCGGCATTACAGGCTTTTGCCTCAGAATTAATCTGTGACAGTACAGATCTCCTGATAGCATCGTATTTGCACGTGTTTTCACTCGGGTTTCCTGTCCATTTTGGCTCGAATTGATTGTTCCTTGGCCTATTTTATGCTAGGTTTGTTGTTTTGTCGTATTTCAGGTCCTAGCAAGTAAAGAGGTGCATAGGCGCAAGTTTCAGGTCATTTGGAGGTCAGATGGCGAATCACAGAAGGAATTACGGGCAGCCCCTGCCAAATTACGACCGTAATTGGTCAGGGCATGCCCGTAAAACAATTGCCGAGCCTTTTCCCCAGAATTTCCTCTCGGTGCTAAAATTACGGGCAAGACTCCCAAGAATTACGACCGTAATTCCCAAATTACTGGCGGTAATTGGGAAATTACGGGCGTATCTCCTCCTCCTTCAGCTTAATTGAAACGTGCGTTTTGGGGCGAATTACGGGCAGGACGTGATTACGGCCGTAATTCAGCCCGTAATTCGCCCAGAGTCGGGTTTTTGAAGCCAGAATCGAGCCAAGGAAAGGGAGATCGAATTTCTTGAGCAAAAACAGAGCCCTAGAGAGAGAAAGTGCGAAGAACTGACCCTAGAAGCCATCTTGGAGCTGGGTTTCATCAAATCAAGCTTGGAGATCGTCCTAGGAGTGGAAATCATCATCCCGGAGCAGATTTTCCTCATCATTATGAGTATGACTACTCCGATTACTGTTTTCTTCTCTTTCTCTATGGAGTAGAACCTCACTCTCACTTGGGGATGAAGAACCCTAGTTCTATGTGTTAGGGGATTGATTGTAATGACTTGGGATGATATTACTGTTTGATTTTAATCGAATGATGCATGTTTATTGAGTCAATTGAAATCTGATCAACTTTTCCTGATTCCTGCTGCAATCTGAGATAGATAGAATCTGATTAGGTTACTAGAGTCTCATCATTCGATAGTAGGAGATTGGCTATACGAGAGTTAGCCAGTTTACTGCTTTGTACGGGAATCTAATTCCAGTAGTGGAGTTCTGTTCTTACTGCTTCAGCTTTCTATCCCGGTGAAGACTAGTCGTCTGCCGGATAGTTAGACTGAGAGGGCTTGGTCAGCTTAAGAGATTCCAAGCTACTGTCGGATCTTCCGCAGTCTAATCAACAGTAAATCAACCCAGGGGAAATTGCAATTGAACCTAACTAAGGAGCTAGGGGGACTCATTCCCGAGTGACTCTTTCCTGCTTAAGAAAACCGTATCAATTCCTGCTTTATTTCTGCTTTTAGTTTAAACAACAATCACTTACTTTAGTTGGCTAGATAACAGAGAATCACTGAGTAAGCAGTAGATCTAGACCCCGGGTTGATAATATAACTTGCTACTTTACTGCATTCCCGGTCTGCGATTACACTTGGTCGCAGATTGGTGTTGTGTTTTAGAGCATCATCTCCAATCCATCAATTTGATGACAGTGAAAAGGAATCATGGGAATTTATCTAGCGACGACGCTGGAGATTTATAGACTAAAACTACAGTTTCAATCAGAGTATATCCTCGAATCCGGGTGGATGACTAGTCAGGAGATGCTTGTCCACGCTGGCAAGATGGTGTAGCCAGAAGAAGAGGAAGGGTTTGAGTGCCCCGAGGTTGTGGATTTCTGAAGGAGAAGACCAATCTGAACTAGATCCCTCTTTTTCGTCTTCTTCGTCCAACTTTGCCAACGACTGTGGGTTCTCCGCCACTGGGCCTTTCTTTGCCATATCATTGAAGATGGCTGTTGAGGGAAAGGAGGTCGATGACAGCGAACCTTCGGATAGCTGATTTGGAGCAGAACAGAGCGGCGGCCGATATGCTCGACACAACGGCTTCATCGTGTTGTCCTCGCCTCTTTGGCGGGTTGAAGATGACGACATAGAAGACGTCGATCCAGGCGTAGATGGGTTGGCTAGAGTCGGATCTGAGAACTCTGTCGTCGGAGCAGAGAGCGACGAGAACAGAGAAGTCGCCATGGCCGTGGTCGCCGGAGAGCGAAACTAAGGTCAGATCTACCGTTGTCGAGTGGATTTGTGATTTGGGTGGTGAATGGGTTTGAACATTAGGTTTGAGGGAGATTTGATTTGGGTATTTTGGATGGTTTTTGATTTTCTGGGTGGGAAAAAAATGGGAGACGATGCAGGATTGGTGAAGAATGGGTTTTTTATTTTGAGATTTTGGGGTTTTGATATGGGAAAGGCGAAAGAAGGGGATCTATGTGGCGGAAGGTAGTGGGATTGGTTTTGTAAAGAGAATAATGAAAGGTAAGGGAGATGGGATCAAGATTTGTAAATGTTTTTAGGGTTTATGATCTGAAATTTTCAGATCTTGGACATAGTCCTTATTTTTGTGAGTAGAAGGTTTTTATGGTTCTCTTGGATCTAGAGGCTCTGATACCATAACAACAAAGATGAGTTGGGGGAAATGAAACCCTAAGCCTTGGGTGTTTCTCATTCATACTTGGGTTTAAATAGGCAAAAGCTTTGCACTACAAGACAACATGTGCAAGCTAGCATTTGGAGACTACAAAGATAAAGACATTAATTCAAACTAAAGTCTAAACACACATTGACATTAAACTGAACTTGATGATGATGATTTCCTCTAAACCTTGTCGATCCACTTTGACATTCATGGCCTACCCTCCTCCATTCCATGTTATTTCTCTTCTCAGATCAGCTTCACCTACGTTCCAACTTCTTATTCCATCTTATTCTTCCTTCTTTTCTCCGACCAATCCCCTCATCCCCCCTTAAGAGAGCCGACATCATCTTCTTCTCCCTCCTGACCCCTTCCAATCGCATTGCCATAAGAGAAGATAGCAGCAGGCGCTTGTGCGGGAGAAAATCGACACGACCGAGGTCGGCGATCTTGCGAGGACGTCGGCGATCTTGCGAGAATGTCGGAGATTCGAAGACGCCGGAGTTCATGAGGATACAGGCGACGGGCGAGGGTGCTGAATATTGGCGAGGGCGCCGATGGCTCCGGACGCTGAATACTAATGAGGGCGCCGGTTGTTCATGAGGATGCCCGAAAAATCGATTTCAGATCTGTCTGGTTGTTTATTTTTTTCCCGTGAAAAGAAGAGATCGAAGGAGGGTTCTTGTTCGTCGATTAAAGTTGTAGGGTTATTGGTTCTTGTTCGTCAATTTGTAATCTGGGAGCTGCGAATCAGAAGAGGAATCGAAACCGCCGACCACACTATTCCTCACAAACCTCGTCGATGAACCCAACTCTCTTCCGGGACATGCAACCTCTCCGATCAGTGGTGATTTGGGTCTTGACTGGTGGGTTTTGGGTTTGAGATTTGGTGGCGGTGGCTGAAGATGAGTGAAGGGAACCTCGTATTTTCTGGGTTTGGGTAAGGTTGTATAGCGTCGACGATGAAGGAGGAGCGGAGGAAGATAGGAAGAAGAAGAGCAAAACTGAACTTCAACTTTTAAATTAAAATTCTGGATCCATAACCAAACAGGATATTTCTTGTAAATCCTACAATTAAATAACCTGGTTTTCTAAACGAGAGATTTTAATTGAAATCCCTCGTTATTAAAACCTCAAATCCAAACGACCCCTAAGTTTGTTTCCACCACGTCATTCGACCACCCGTCGACGTCGTCATCACCATCTGCGCGCAGGCTAGTCTTTTTTTTTTTGGTGAGGAACAGGGTGCAAGGGGCACCCTAACCCTTGTTCATTAATAAAACGAGGGGTTTGAACCCCAATGGCATCAAAGTACAGCCAATATCTGAGCGTAGCGCTCGGATTAACGAACCTGTGGACGCCCCTTGGCAACGAGTGGCCCAAAGAGGCTAAATAGTCCGCAACAAAATTACCGTCTCGGAAAACATGCACGACCTGCACCTCCCAATCTTTTCCCAGCCAGCGACGAATCTCTGAGACCAAAGTGCTATGCGGATGTCTCTCTGGAGCCGGCCGGATAAGATCAATGCCTGTCGTTGAATCCGTCTGAACCACAACATGGTGAAATCCTGCTTCGCAAGTGATCCTCAGCCCGTGCATTATTCCTGCGAGCTCGACATGGGTTATCGATCCACCCCCCAAGATTAGCTGCATAAGCCTGTATGAACCTTCCCACGCTATCTCGCACTACTCCACCTGCTGCCGCACTGCCATCTGCCAGTCTTTCAATTCAATTGATAAATTCAAAAACTTTCATCTCATTACGAAGAAACCCTAATTTGAACTGAAATGGGTAGCAATTACCTTGGCATGGGAACATGCATTGAGCTCTAAGCCTGACCTTGAGATGCGGCCGCCGGGATGAAGTGGAGCTCGTTGGGGAGAGTGATTCCCAGTGGCGGGTGTTGTGAGAGAGGTGGGTATTGGGGATTAAAAGAAATTAGGGTTTTTTATTTTAAATAAAAGTGATAATGAGGTGTAAATGAGATAGTAATTTCAAAAAATTTAATTTTATTAATTTTAAATTGTCACATCACACATTTGACGGTCAAATTTTAGAGTTGACCGCCACATAAGCAAAAGTTAACAGAATTTGACGGAGAGTGACCAAACGTGAACGGTTTTACTAAACTGAAGTACCACCAATAGTAAACTACAGGGAGAAATCATTTCCCACAAAGCAATCTATTGATCCATTTCGTGGAATTGGAAATAAAAGCATGGAATTGAGAGAGTGGATAAAGCTAACACAGATCATGAAAAACAACAAGTTATTTACACAATCTAACTTTAACCCATGTCAGAAATCAAATGTCTATCAAGGGGATCAGAAGTTCTGCCACTTACATGGACTGGATGACTGATTCGTCATTTTTGAATTGGAATGGATCAGTGATTAGTCAAGCTAAACACAGAGAAGATAGTACAAGGACATCAACCTGGTAAAAGGACATGACCAATTAAACTCATAAACCTAAAACGAGCATGGAATTTCAATCCCCCTACCGAAATTTGTAAATCTAGAACATCCCAATATAATCCCTAAACTGATAGCCATACTAACTGGAAAATCGAATAAAATTGTAGAACTAATAGGCATACTAACCGGAAAATGTTGCGGTGGAGGAGGTAGGTCAGCGTTCTTCGTTTGCTATCGATGCGAAGAGGGGGTTCTGTGCAGGTGAATAGGGAGAGGTAATGGAGGAGACGAGGTGCTGCAATCCCCTTTTCCATGAAACACAATCGATGTAGAGATGCTCGCCTCGTCGTCCCCTGCTCGCCGCCTTCACTGTCGTCGTTGGAATCCGGCTAGCCGCAGTCAAAGAGATGCTGCAATCAACGAGCTTCTTCTTCTCGTCGTCACCCCCTGCTTGTCGCCTTCACTGTCGTCGTCAGAATCTGGCTAGCAGCATTCGAATAGGGAGAGGTAATGACGGCGACAAGATCGAAGGAAGAGGATCGAAGGAAGAATGGCGACGACGAGATCGGCGGTGAGAAGAAGGTTTCGGATCTGCGTGGAGAGGAGAAGGATAAGAGAATTCCCGGTTGTACCGGTTGTCCATATACAAATAAAATAATATATTAATAATTTAATAAAATCTAATGACTGATATAGTTTGAACATGATCTAATGACTGTAAATATTTTAAAGCACCAATACTATAAAACACACTAAAATGCCTCCCCTAATAATTCTATATATGCATAAGCACTTATCTTCTTCAGTTAAACTGTAAACATATATATATACGTGCGTGCATAAAAGAAAAGGAAAACAAAGGTTAAGATTGAATGTTCACAGAAAGAGGGAAAGCGGGCAGCGGTTAGATCCACCCAGCCCTATTCTCCCAAATTTGACAAATGAATATTATCAGGACTGAGAAAATGTCAAAACGACGAACCATTAGAAAATTATTACTATAGACTGCATGGATGGAAAACGGGCAGAAGGGAACTAGTCCGGTCAGAGAAAATAACAATGCACGGGAAGGAGCTGGTCAGGTCAATCCCGATCACGGGCAGTCAAATCTATCCAAAATTTCAACGTAATCGATATCTGACTACTTCCCTCCATCCCTGTCGTCGTTGTCCTTGCGTTATTATTGTTCCTTTTTTATGAGGTGGTTGAGTTCCCTAATCCCTATTATATATATAGCAATTCAGCGGGCAGCATCCATTCATCTCCAGATCTCAAGCACCAACCTCCCGACTGAAACTCATTTCTCTCTTGTTCCTTTCTCAGTTCTCATCACTCACAAGAAAGAAACTGCACTTTTTTGCGACGAAAAATTCATGGCTTGCTATAGCTCCATACGAACCTTTTCATCGACATCGCCCTTTTCCAATCCTCCTCCCCGCGCCGCAATTTCTATCCCTAAGCTCCCCATTCGAATCTCCCTCCCCAAGATCCCCACTTCTTCCACCAACCAAACCCATCTCGCCTTCCATCCCTCCGATCATGCTCTCCGGCCGGAAATCACCCATCAATACCCGATTGTGATCACAACCACATCGCCGGCCGACGAAGCAGCAGCTGTCTCCAGCACGCCAGTGACCGCCGAGCTGTACTACGCTGTCCTGGAGTCGATCGCCGACAGGATCGAGATGCACGGCAACGTGGCAGTCCAGCGGGACAACTGGAACTCCCTCCTCCTCTCCTCCATCAACATGTCCATCCTCGCCGCCACCACGATGGCCGCCGTTTCCCCATCTGTCTCGGCCGATCATTCCCTTCCCTTGGCTCTCGGCTCCACCATTCTCTTCACCGCGGCGACCGGGCTGCTGGCCATCATGAACACCATCCAGCCCTCTCAGCTTGCGGAGGAGCAGCGCAACGCCGCAAGATTGTTCAGGCAGCTCCACTCCAAACTAAACGGGCCCGGAAAGGCCCAACCCACAAAGGCCCAGGTGGAAGACGCGGTGGAAAAAGTGCTGGCCATTGACCGCGCCTACCCTCTCCCGTTGCTCGGCAAAATGATCCCCAAGTTCCCCAAAAAGTTCCAACCCGCCGTTTGGTGGCCTCGTCAAACCGCAGAGTCATCCAAACGACGCCGTAGCGCCAAGGTAAGAAATAGCAACAACGGATGGAGCGAGGAGCTGGAGGCGGAGATGCGGGAAGTCTCGGGAGCATTGAAGAGTAAAGACAAGGAGGACTACGAGAGGCTTGGAAGCTTGATGCTCAAGATAAACAAGACTCTGGCCGTCTCGGGACCCGCGCTATCCGGCGCGGCGGCGGCTGCTTCTGCTGTTGGGCTGGTCGGTGGTGACAACAACGGGTGGGCTGCGGCGGTGGCGGTGGCCGCCGGCGCGATGGCCACTGCCGTGAATACGTTGGAGCACGGCGGGCAGATCGGGATGGTGGTGGAGATGTACAGGAACTGCGCCGGGTTTTTCAATCAGCTCGAGGAATCGATTGATTCCACTCTCGGCGAATCAGGATTTGAGGAGAGAGAGAATGGTGAGGTGTTCGCGATGAAGGTCGGGCTGGCGCTCGGAAGGAGTCCGGCGGAGGTCCGGGAGCTGGCTGGAAAGTGTGCTTACAGTAGGGATGAAGGCACGCCGTTGGATGAGTTTGCTAGCAAGCTCTTCTGATCGTTCTTTTTGATAGTATACACGTACATTGTTAGTTTGTAATTAGGGTTTATATTAGTACTAAGCTAGCTAGGGATCAGGGATTGAACATAATCCATAATCCCCAATTAAACATTATTTGATTGGTTATTTCATATTCATTCTTCTTTTGATCGATCTTATTCAAAATGAAAAAGGTGTAATTAACGATTTCTAATCTCATCTCATGTATTGAAATACATACGTGCAATAGTTTTCTCATTTCTGCAATTATCAATTCACCAATCAACCAAAATCGGATTAACTAACCTGGCCTGTGGTCATTGATGGTTTTATTTCGCATCATCAACATATATATTAACTCATCAAAGCTGTATACACATATAAACATATAGTAATTGAGTTTACCTGCTTAACTTATATCAACAATAAAGTCCAAACGTTATATTAAAATCCTACGAATAACATCATCCAAATGTTCATATTTAAATCCAACAAATTCTCTTTTTGTTAGGAGTCATGAGGAATTATAACATATCAATTTGGCTAGGTTGACCTGTTTGGCTGCACAAATTTTAGATGAATCAATTATGTCTGTGAAATTTCAAATGGACTCATTTTGAACCAATTACAATTGTCTGGGGTGGGAGCAAACAATTCGAATGGACTCGTTCGCAATAACTCATTTGTTACATGAGACAATTGGTTGAATTGCTCGTGTTTTAATTGATTTATCCAAAAGACCCTTTAATTAATTCAACTAATACGCCGTTATTTTTCTCCGGAATCGAAAATTGATCATTCCAATCAGATCACTCTTTTCTCGCCTTTGATCGTTTTTTTTTTTCTGACTTGACAACGGGTTTATACTACTGATTGTCTCGCTATTTTCGCTTTTTGCAATAATAATTGAACCCAATTATACCGTTGAGGTTTGACAACATGGGTAATAGTCAACAATGTATTCTTTTTTTCTCCTGAATCTACTTTCTGCTAACCGACGAGCTTAGGCGGAAACCTAGTGAACGAAATCAACAAATGGTGGCATGTTTATCTTATATATTTCTTTCTGCATAGCAGCCCGTGCCGAACAAATGGGGAAACAGTAAAACGTATTATTATGTAGGGAGGAGGATAAGGTTGACTGCATGTTGCAGTGTACTATTGGCCTCTACTGGAATACTCGTTCGTTCTAGTTTGTTTTTCTCTGACCTTGACAAATCGGGAACTCAAATTCTACCCGTTTAAATTGAGAAACTAATTTGGGAAATTTGCTCTTTACCAATAAAAATACATTTAGTCAACAAGCCATTGGATAGGCAATTTAATTTGAATCACGTATTTTCATTGTGTTTTTTTTATATTGAAACCTGTAATCTTATTAATCAATAATCACAATATCGCCGGTTTTAACTCATCAATCAAATAATAGACGGACAGCCTATCAAATAATAACACTCTTTTGTCCCTATAGGTCTTTGACTGAGCCATAATGTGTGCTGTCACATTTGCTTCCCTTGAGGTATGTCTCCAAGCTCCATTAGACTAACTTCAACCCATAAAGTCAAATTTGGCTTCCAAATAGTCAAATATAGCTTTTTGGCCTCCCAAATCTCATTTTTACTCCAACCCCACAAAAAGCTAAATTTAGCTTCTCGTCTCCTTTTTTTCAATAAAACATACTTATTTGGTCCCTAATTTTTATATTTCACTTTAACTTTTTTATAGTTTGTTATTACTTTTGAAAACAAAAAATTTGATGTAAATTTTTTAAAATTCCGAAACAAACAAATATTTGGAACATTTGTCATTCATTTGTTATCGTTAACTTTGGGAACACTCTAAATATAACATTTTTTAAGGCCGTTAAAATATGATCGCTACAATGTAACTGTTGTTTCGTCACTACATGAATGATTTCTCATTTAAATTTAAAATACATTCAAATAGAACAACAACCAATCACAAAGGAAAGCGAGAAAAACAAAAAAAAAAAAAATGGTCTGCGCGGGGCCACTTTATACTCTAGCCATATTTGGCTTTCCAACGAAAAGAGGAGCTATATTTGGCTCCCAAAATGACCATACCCATATTTGACAGCCAAAATTTTTGTGGGTTGGAGCCCCAAAAAAAGCTAATTTTGCTTTTTAGCTCTTTTGCTCCATGGGTTGGAGTTAGTCTTACCTCTCTGCAATAGGTCTCTGGGTTCCACAACTTTTGAATCATCATCATACAATTACTCTTCAGTATTGGGTTGGAGGTAGGGCTGGTTATTTGGTCCGGGTTATTTGGTTTTATCCGAAATCGGACTGTATAATCCGGATCGAAACCGGATAGCAAACAATCAAATCCAAATTTCGGGTTTAGATTTGAGATAAAAAAACCGTTTGAGACCGGATCAAAAACCAGATAAGAGAGCTCAACACCCAAAACTTAACCAACTCCTCACCTTTTGAGTCCTCAGGCCACTCAAATCCCCAAAGCTCAATCTAAAACTAAGACCGAATTGGGACCGAACCGGGTCAAGATCGGACTATATCCAATCCAATCTTTGGTTCTTATATTTTCGAAAAGACCAGACTGAGACCGGATCAATTCGGGCCAATTAAACCGGACTGGACCGTATAGCCACCCCTAGTTGGAGGCATGTAAAAAAGCCTCCATTTGCACTCCTACTCAGCTGCCAGTGCCTCCGTCAATTCCACCCTCGACTAGCCTCGAACTCGCTTTGTTGCAGCTAGGAGGAAAACATCCTTTCATCCCCGAGCCACCACTCGACCAGCACCTGATGTGGAAAATGTAGTATTGATGCAATCGGGTAATAATAATCATAGGTATGTCTAGGGTCGTATTCCATGGGGCTTTGGATAGAAACTACTTTGAAACTAGAGGATGTATATGTAAGGCAAAAAAAAAAAAAAGTAAAGACGATGGGTTGAGGTTCCTTATGAGTTTATCAAATTTCTATGCTAAATAAACAGGAAAGAGCATCGAGATATTAAGAGACAAGTAATAAAAGTTATTATCTAGGTAGTGTCATCTAGATGATCGAGCATATATGATCTTCAATGAGATGCTCTTATGCATCGACTATTATGATGCCCTATATATCCCTACCGGTCTACCACTAATGTCATTCTATTCGAGTTTTCACCATATGCATTAGGAGCTATGATTAAATATAGTGTACTTTCGTTTCATGCCACTAGTGTATACCATATGTGTACAATGAAATTACACTCCATAGATTCTTCCTTCCACAACGTTCTTTTTTGCCCTGTGAGTGTGATACCATCTCATCCCACGAGTTTTGTTGACAACAATTGAGACTAATACCACACTCAGCCACCTATTTTGGAAATGAGCATTGAACAAATAAACAAGGGTTGGGCAACGGGATGAGATTGATTACCCTTCCCATTTAAAACGAGTATCCAATCCCATTTAAAAAGAAAACTCCATCCCATATTTCAAACTTGTATGGGTTAACGGTTACCGATTATCCATACGAAACATATAACGAGTACCCGCGAATATCCATTTAAAATCCACACATTTTTTCTATTGTCTTTCCAAATTTCATCTTACTTCTTCCATGAACTCGTCTTTTTGTGAGATTTTGTTTTCCTTCTACTTTATCTCTTTTTTTATTCCACTAAATATCATTACCAATAAATTCTCTATATTTTTTGAGTCACTCTGAATCTTTTAATTAAGGGCAAATATGTCATTTAAGAAAAAAAATAGACGGACTTTTAACAATTGCAGTCAAAAAAATTATATATTTTTTCAACCATTGAAAGAATTAAAATTTATAGATTGTTTACGGTCTAAAATCACTCACATTCTCTTAAACAGCCTTTCATGGTTTCTGGGCAAAACAATTGACTAGTAATGTATAGATTTTTTTTTTCATGGATCAAACAGTAAAAGCCCATTGAGCCAGCATTCCCCTGGCCCAGGAAACGCTCTTCCGGTCTTCCCTCGACTCCATTCGCAATAACAATGCCGAAGTAGCTATGTTGGGCTTAAGCATGGCCCATACATTACTCTCTTCGCCTTTGGCTGAACAAAACCAATCAATTGTCACCATTTCCCAGTTAAAACTTAAAAGTACACCTAGATCGCGATTCCTCTGGCTAACTATCATGAACAAGGAAACACTCCCAGATCCTAGTCAATTCCTGAAAGCAAAATCAGTTATTAGAGAGCTTCCCGCGCGCTTTTTTTCTGCTCAGTCGAAGCAATGTCATTTTTATGCAGAAGAGTCCATCATGAATTCTGATGGTTACAAAGAAAAAGGAAGGGAAGCAACAAATGCAGTAATTCACAATGGTAAAAGTAAGCAAAACAGTAGGCGAATCAAAACAAACGGTCGCGGAAAAGAGTTTAAACGAAGGAGCTATGACTTTATGACGGCTTGTAGTATTTGGTGGGCACGAACGGCATCTTCGTGACAACACCATCATAAGCCTTCCCTCTTACCACCAACTTCACATTGGTACCGGCCTTGTGCAACCCAGATTTCACGTACCCCATGGATATGTTCTTCTTCAGGCAAGGACTGAACCCTCCGCTCGTCACTTCCCCTATGTTCGCGCCACTCGCATCCTGAATCTCACTGTGAGATCGCGGCGGAGGGCCCGAGGAAGTGAACCCAACTCGCCTGATCGTTGGGCCATCAGCGAGCTGCTTCAGAATCACCTCCGCGCCCAGGAAGCCACCCTCGGCTCTCCTGCGCTTCCCTATGGCCCAAGTGAGGCCTGCCTCGACGGGAGTTATGTGCTGCTCCATGTCGTTGCCATAGAGGCAGAGGCCAGCTTCGAGGCGCAGGCTGTCACGAGCGCCGAGACCTGTCAGCCTTATCTTGCCTTCGGATTTCTCCAGGAGGGCTTTGGCAAGGTCCAGTGCGTTCTCTGAAGGGACCGAGATCTCGAACCCGTCTTCGCCTGTGTACCTGGACAATGCATGCGAGGAGTATGTTAGTAGTCACGAACTCCCAGTGAATCCATCAACAAACGAAGTTACTTTACTAGCAAGGAATCTAAGTAGCATGGAAGTCCAGAGAACTAACTAGTTAAGTGAACCGAGACAAGAACACACAACATTGAATGAGCACTATGATTTGCAGTGAATGACAATTTATATATGAGAGGCACATTGCTGATTTCAAGAAGCTGAATAGATGATGAAAGAAAGAAGAAAAATGTATGTACCCTGTTCGAGTGAGGAAGCAGGTAGCTCCATTGATTTCCAGAATACGGAACTCGCCAAAGTAAAACTTGCTCAAATCGTCCTTTGTCAAGTGTTGAAGGACTGGAGCAGCAAGAGGGCCCTGCAAATCATACAATCAAGACTTACTATCAATTACAGAATCAGGAATCAGGGTGAAAAATTGGCTCTTAATCACCAAATGTAACTGACGAAACATGATCTTCAAACACAAAAGGTTCCTCCTTGCGCAATTATTATACAACTAAACGCCACTTCGCATCGTCCACAATGAAAGATAACAGTAATATCCAGAGAGATGAATATACTGCAACGGTTCTACTGTTCTTTCTCACATCGGGGTAATCTCAAGACACTCAAAATTGCTCAATTTCGCCAAACCAATAGTAACAAAATCTAAGGGAGCTGAAATTTCAGAAAGGAAAGGAAATGGACCTGGAGAGCAAGCAGGGATCTCTCATCATGGATATGCCAAGCGACATCTCCACCTTTCGCCTTGAAAGCCTTCATATGCTCCTCAATGTGAGCCAAATCCTTATCCCTACATCCAGCATTGACCACCAAGTAAATGTGATCCTCAGTGACCTTAGTGATGACTGAATCATCAATTGCTCCGCCCTTCTCATTGGTGAACACAGTGAGGCTGCCCGTCCCGGGGGCAAGGCTGGCCACATCCGCAATCACAAGCTTCTCCAGGAAAGCAATGGCGTCCTTCCCCTTGAGGCTGAGCCCGCACATGTGGGACACGTCGAAGAGGCTGCCGTTCTCCCTGCAGTTGACGGTGGAGTCCATGATTGAGTCCTTGTACTGGATTGGCATGCTCCAGCCGGCGAAAGGCACCATCTTGCCGCCGTGCTCGACGTGGAAGTCGTAGAGGACTGTCTTCTTGAGGTCCCCGCCGCCGGATGCGAAGTAACGGCGGGCGGCGGCGGCGCTGGCTGCCGATGGTGACTTCTTGTGGTCAGGGCGGGCGAGTTGGCGGGCGATTGATTGGCCCAGCTGCCACAGTCCTCCCCCTCTCATTGCGGCTGGCAAAAGAAAATCAACATTGGAGCAAGTCAGTCAGTTATAGTTTTATTGAAAACCAACCTATGGAATTGAACCCAACAGGAAAAGGAAAGCGCGGGAGGGTTGCGGAAGGGAAAACGGGGATGGCGGCGCTTACGTCGGAGTTGAAGGCGGCGGTTGAGAGTTGTGAGAAAGAGGGAGAGAGGGTGAACGGAGACGGAGAAGCGTCAGAGGAGCATTGCGGTGGAGAGTGGAGAAAGGGAGGAAGATTGGGATTGAGATTTGGTTGGGAGTGGGATGGATTTTTTGGCAGTATGTAGCGGGTGGAGGAGGCCTCTCTTTGCCCAATCGTGACTGAGTGGCTTTTATTTGTTTTCTATACTTTCCAAATTTTTTTTTAGGACGGACCAACCCCAAACTCCAACAACCAACCTCATCGCCGGCCGGCGGTGCTGGGGTTGGTGACTACGTGGTGCGCCGCTTAGCCGGCGGTAACCGACGTCATGAGTTAGTGGTGCACTGAATCAGAATTCACTTCTTCTTTCCCCTTTCCGTCGAAATTATACAGGTGCATTGTTGGGCCCATCGATCCAATGTATTGGTTGGGGCTCGAGCCCTGTCATATTACATTTGGGCTACGAAAGCCCATAAGGGTAGAACAAAAGCAACTCACAGAAAGAAAGGTGATATATAGGGGCCCATCCCCAGGCGAAGAGTAGCCCGGCGCCAAAAAAGGAAGGAGATTTCATAAAACTCAAAAAAAAAAAAAAAAACCGAAGAGAAAATGAGAAACTGCCGTACAGTGGCGTTGCGACTTGCGAGCGAGCGGGGAAGCAAAGAAGGAAGGATGGGTAAAGGACACTGTCACACTGCGGCTAGCAGATGGTGAATTCGTGAGAGAAAAAAGCATGGGGAAGAAATGAGTCAGACGGAGTTAATTCTCAATCCTTCTCGTCACTTTTCCTCTCCGGTTTTCAATTTGGGTCAGAATTAGATAGATGAATAAGAAAGGATTGGCCATCCTCATTCATGCGAGCCAGAATGAGGGCAGCAGCTGCAGACGGTTCTTCTCCGGCGAGCACCAACACTAAGATCGCCCTGGCTGCCGCGCCTCTCCCTGTGGCGGTGAGTAACCTAATCCCCTCTCCTCCCAATTTCCGGAGCTCGACTTTACTTCTGCTTCTGGTAACTGTAATTTTTGTAATCAGAGGGAGAGCGAAGCAATTCAATCCCACGGGGATGGCGATCATCTGTACAAGCAACAGGGAAACGCTGCCGCTCCTTCACTTCCTCCTCAGAGGTCTCAGAAATCTCGACGTTGTTCGAGACGCAATGCACTCCGCCATATCATCGAGCAAAACTGAACTTCTCGATGCCGTCCTTCACGATTTCTCTCAGGTTCCCTCCCGCTGAATTCAATTTGAATTTTTCCACAGTTTTGCTTTACTTCGTACTGCCTGTAATGAAATCATTTCTCTGCACCTCTGCAGGGTTACTTTGGCCTCTCTCGTGATCACCCGTAAGCAGGCTCGTGAACTGATGGATCAGCATCTGGGTCTCCAGCTTCCTTGTCTTTTTCACTTTCTCAGCTTCCACCTTCTTCGATTATTTTTATTCCCGTGGCTGCTTCTAATCCTCTCATGCTTCCACTTCCTTCAGCTGGTGATGGAGTTGAATCTGATTCCCCACGCGATGAAGCTATGCTTTCTGCTTTCTATCGCATTGAAAGAAACCTCAGACAAGCTCTCAAGCCTGCCTATGAGGTCCTTTTTGAGAGACTCAACAACCACCCTGGTGGATTGAGATTCCTCTCCACCCTTCGTGCTGATATCTTGGTCATTTTTGCAGTAAGTTACCCAGTCAGTTAGTTTGACGATTGTTGCTTGCTTCTGTATCCCTGGCTATGCTTAACATGCCTACACCTCGGCTTGAAACTGTAGAGACGAAAATGTTGCATCTTTGCGGGCTTTAGACACCAGTTTGAAGGAGAAACTTACAACTTGGCTCAGTCCTGTGGCATTGGAGCTTCACCAAATTACTTGGGACGATCCTGCTTCTTTGCTTGAGAAAATTGTGGCATATGAGGTAACTTCCTGTTTATCCACCTGTTTATGTATTCTCTGCTTTCTGCTTCCCCCCTCAATCATCATGGTTCAGTTGTTTGCAGGCTGTACATCCTATCAGCTATCTCTTAGACCTGAAAAGAAGATTAGGTGTCGGTCGTCGTTGTTTTGGATATTTACACCCTGCAATACCTGGTTAGTGACAGTTCCATTTTTATTCTTCTGTCCATTATGCATAAGTGATCCTCATTCAGTATGCTGAGTTATGAACAAAGCACCTCAAAATCTATACCGTGATCTGTTCCTTTCTCCTTATCTTTTATAACATTTTAAGGTTCTTCTCAACAAAAGACTTGTAAATATGCTGGATGAACCTTTGAAACTAGAGACAATTTGCAAACAAACGTGCTACTAATAATTTTGCCTGTCAGGCGACGGCGTTTAGTCCATGCAACTTTCTAGATGTAAGGACTGGGTAGATAACTTACTTAAATTTTACTTGTGGCAGCATCTGTAGCCACACTTGTACTCCTTGAATAGTGTGTATTATTCCTTCTAGGTAACATGAACTGAAGGATGTGTCTTTCTCTCACCCTTTTGCTTTTAAATACTGGTTGTCTAACCTTTGACGTTCTTTCAGGCGAGCCCCTTATTTTCATTGAAGTTGCACTGTTGAAGAATGTGGCTCAAACAATTCAGGCTAGTTAAAGACACCCCATGCTATTTATTTCAATTGATTGTTTTTTAGATAGCTGATTTCGGAGGATTCTAACCCAGGGTGTGGTCAGTGGTGGATAGTATCATTTACATATTATCACTAGGTCACCCCTTAGGTTATTTCCAATTTATCATTGACGTTTAGTTGTTGAATAATGACAGGAAGTTTTGTGGGATGATCCTCCTATTCCAGAATCTGAGGCCTCGTGTGCATTATTTTATTCCATATCATCAACTCAGGTAAAAAAAGGTTATTGGTTATTGTTATCTGTACCATCACCTGCTTTCTGCAGTGGACTGTGTGTTTACAGTTACATGCTTGTATTGTTGATGTCGATTGAAGCTGCTCCTCATATCTGTAGTACTGGAGACGATTCCTTCTAGTATCTGATGCCTCATATCAGTTGTCTCTGCTCTCTTGCCTACAAGTTTAGTGTTATTTTCGGGTGTTGTCTTATGTACTATCTTATGCACTTTGTTGGTAGAGAATGTAACGACTAATCTACTGGTCTTCAGAACTTCTGTACGAGGTTGGACTTCCGAATTTTAATGGAAATTGCCGGCTTAGTATTTCAAACACATAGTATGAATTGATATGTCCATTTCAAATGAAACCTTGTTGATGAATGGGTTTCATATGCTATCTGTCAGTTGACTTAGATCCTCCTGTCGAATGTTAGAAATCAGAAGTTGAAGTTGTGAACAAAATCCTTCAAACTTTTTTTGCATGTATTATGAATTCCCTCACATTAGTGAATCACACATCCTTTTTATGTAATGTGAATATTTCCAGATAATGTATCTCTTTCAGATTCCTTTAGACTCTCTTTTACGTTTGTAGAGTTCCTTCATGGTGTACAATTGACATTAGGTTGAGATATCCCGACAAAATGGTGGATTGCCAATTCTATCTTTTTGCTTGCTTTACCTGGAATTGTACTTAGAGAATTTTGACAGTCTGGCTTGGCAGGAATAAACTTAGGGAAGTTTCTTATAAAACGGGTGATCACATTGGTGAAACAGGATATGCCTCACATTTCTGTAAGTATTTTCTACTCCCTTTCCTTTTCTGTTACAGAACCAAAGAATTATTTACAGAGCATATCTCACAATGCTACAGTTGTTAATTCTTCCGTTCCCACCAACTTATCAATCTGTAGCGCCATCCTGATTTTGGTTAAATCTATTACATAAGTTCTATTCTTATCTTTTTAACAACCAGAGAGAAATAGAGGGAGGGACTGTTGAACCTCACAACACTATTGTTCTGGCAGACATTTGCTACTCTCAGCCCTATCCCTGGGTACATGCAATGGCTGCTGTGTAAGTTGGCATCTCAGGCGCAGGCACCATCAGGTGCATCTGATTCCCCTTTTATGGAGAGGTTACTTGAACCAAATGAAGAAAGCGTCCTCATAAACTCCTCTAGGTGAGTTTCATAATGCCGGAGGTTCCTTGTACAGCAGTTTCTACCTTGTAAGTTACTTGACTACGTTGTTTGTTGAGCACATTATGACATTTCCGCTTCTAGGGAGACTTATGCAGGAAAAAGTGGCACTGAAGTGATGTTGAACATGCTGACATCAACCAACTATGATTGGGCCTCCAATGCTGAAATGCTTTCAGCATTGAAGCCTCCACTCATGAGGCTCTGTGCCAGGTACTTGCATAGAAAAATCTGGAAGTCTTTGCATGCCATATATAATAAGCCCATGTTTGCGGTATTGCTTGAAATGGGACATACTGCAGTCTGCATAGGCATTGATTAATCTAGCAGCCTGCTTTCTACATAAATTGCCCTATTTGCTTCATGGAAAGTTGTAAAAACAAGTTGATGATGTAGTAAAATTGGCACTTTTCTCTCATTTTCTGGTGCAGAATGTATGCCTGATTTTAGCGTTCTCTGAAACAGGATGTAGATATTATGGCTTTATGGATGTAGGTACCTTTTGCAAGAGAAGAAGAGAGGCAAAGCCCTAGACTCTGTTGCAAACTTTCACTTGCAAAATGGAGCGGTATATTGTACATCTTTAATATGTGGTATACCATACCTATAAGGACATAATAATAGACAAAGCCCTGCTCTTATACCATTCATGTTCTAATATGGATCAGATGATTGAAAGAATAAATTGGATGGCTGACAGATCTGAGAAAGGTCTTCGTCAAAGTGGAGGTATTATGGTGAACCATGTGTACAGGCAATCTAATCTGCAAAACCCTTTACCTGTAATTTAGACTGCTGCATGTCTGTTTCTGCACTGAATGCTGCACTGGTTATTTTAAAGTGCTAACAATAAATAAAGATTTGAGTCCCAGATTTGGCCCAAATTTCGTAAACTAATGACATGACGTTGAAATAGCAGGGTGGAGGACATCGAAGAGAATGCTCAAGCATATTTCCGAGCAGGCCACATACAGGCTTCTGAGAATGTCTGTTGCTACGTCAAGGTAAAAGTGATGCATGGCAGGCTGTACTTATTCAGGAAAAGCAATGCAACTTGAAAGTGCTATTATCTTCCTCATCCTTAGTTCCTCTGATATTCAACCGTTATCTTCCTTTGGCTGTTGAAGGAACAGGAGGTGGAGGCTTGAAGGAGAATGATGGGGAAAAGCCACTGTAACTCTGATCATCGGGAGACCAAGTATTTGAAAACATTGCTAATCTAATATGTACAGTCAATAGGTGGCTCACAGGCTCAGGTATAATAAAAGTGGCTTCAACGAGCTAACGCTATCTTGTGAAAAAGGATAGCATGGTTGATTGCTGGTCTAAGATTATTTGGGAAGGAAATTCTCAGTATCCTTGGTACATGAGCTATTTGCAGCCTTCATAACCCATATGGATAGGCGAAAATTTAAGTCATTGGTGCTTCATTTCTGAAAGGCAACTATTTATAAAAGTTTATGTTATATACATCTTAGGCATCTAGATGCTATACGAATCTTTGCACAGGTGCAGGTACAGCCGGTGACTGCAACAGCGATGGTGATCTTCTTCCTGGCCAGTCAAGTCTCGTGGCTGGTTTCCGACACGTAATCTCGCATGAGGCGCGTATTGGAGTCGCTAACCTTCTGCATCAAGTATGAACAAGAATAATGAATGGGGTGAGGGGATTTGGTTTCTGGCACTGAAACCTGAAGAGAAACTAAGGAGGGAACTGCGAACTAGGAACCTTGAGGGCTAGTCGATGAAGGTTGTCCCACTCGAAGTCCATCTTACAGTAAGCTGATCGCACCTGCAAATTCATCAACACCAATATAACTATTAAAGGACTCATGATTTCCAGGCAATGCCAGTATAACAGGATGACATTCATCGAAAGAGTATTATGCACGAACCTCTATGATTCGCAGAGCTGGCGTTGAAGAAGACAGCATTGGGAGACAAAACAGAGTGGGTTAGATAGATGCAGACCAGGGGGCTGAAATTGCGTAGAACAGAGTTGGATTTCATTCTCACTCACTCACCCAAACCCTTGTGCCTGGAGGATTGACGCATGAGGGCAGCACAGAACTCGTCTCCGTCCTTGAGGGGATGGCTGTCAAGGAATTCCATCAACTCTGCGTGTGCTTCCCGGTTATAGGCCTGCCGCCATCATCATCATCGAGCGTTCGTTCATTATTCTCTCGAGAAGGGCGATAACTAAGGAAACTGAATTGGGATATAAAAACAGGACGAGAAGAAGAACGAACCCTCAGCTGGGCGGATACAATCTCGAGCGCAACATAGGTGAAGAAACTGACGAGGTACTTAGCTGCCTTGGACTCCGGCGACTCTCCAAATCCTGAGAGGTAAAAGAAATGTTCATAATTTGGCTTCTGTATGGAGAAAATGAGGGTGAGGGACTGCAGGGACAGACACCCACCAGGAACATACATCTTGTGGCAATACAGTCGACTGCCACGGCGGCTGATCGAGCGAAAAGCAGTAGACAATTGGTGGCGGCTTGTGGTGGTGGAGGGAGCTGGGATTGGTAATCTGTTGGGGATGAGTTTGGATTGTAGAGAGGAGAGCCATGATGTTGGAACTACTGTGGTTGCTGATGTTGCTTCCATTCCCGCGCTACTTCTGCTTCTGCTTCTCCTTCTTATCTGATTGGAGAATAGATGATTGACTCAGGTTACCCAGAACGAGGCACTCATTCGTAGCCTGATTGCCTGAAAACTACAATGCCAAAATATCTTTGAATAGGTCCTCGTGGTCTCGTTTAAAACGAATCACAACAAAAAGGAACAAAGCCAGAAACCACGCAGCTACTTGGAATGTTACATGGGCTTCAAATTCACATTGGTGGCCCAAGCACTAGCAGGCCGAACTCGATTCATCATGAGACGCAGGTGGGAAGAAGTGGATTTGCTGGGGAAGGCAGAAACGCAGTTGCTGGGGATCGAACATACGACCTGATAAAGGGAACTGTGTCACTCCATCTGTTAAGCTGGCCCTCGTTCGCCACAATTGAGACTTTCAATAAATAACAACAATAATGTATTTTCACTTTTTTCCAAAAGGTAACATAGGAAAAAGTTATATACGAAAAGTACAAGAACGTTGCAGTTCAGGTCACAAATAAGGGGAAAAAACGTTGGGCGAGTAATAAATAATCCGACGATGAAAGTTTTTTTTGTTTGTCATGATATGAACTGCCCTAATATACATAAGAGGTTCGAAATGGAGGAAGCAAACTGAGAAAAGTATGCAACACTTGTAAGTCTTCACATGCAAGCTCTCATCACGTTGACCATCTGAATGACCACCTACGGATCAACATAAAACAAAACATTAGAAAAATGAACGAGCCAAACACAAATGTTGAGAAGCGTAATCGACGATAGGGCGAATGCACATTGCCGGTAAACCTAATCATAATCGCACGACAATCATATTAAAAATTCATAGATTGCAGACAACTTATTTTGATTCCAATTTCTCAGTTCAATCATCCTCCTCTGATTGCTTAAGTAGCTTGGTGATAGTTAAATTGATGCTTTGTGAACAATATATGTATAATATTACACATGTAATTAAAAGTAAATTGGTGCATTGTTAGTTTACATTGTTTGGTTTTGGGATAATTATTGTGTATTTAAGAAAGTTATATTATTATTTTAGAGAAATGACACTTTTTAACCTTTGCATTTAATGAAAAATGCATATCAAAGGTAGGGGTATAGTTGGTGTTTCAGCCAAGAAACAGGGGAGCTCCGAATCTGTGAAAGGGCGGGGACGACCCTCGTTATCTACACTCCGACGATCAACATTAGTATAGTGATAGAGAAATAGGGAGAGTTTAGATAGAGAGAGATATTGTAGAGAGATGAGTGATATATCAAAAATGTGTCGAGTGGAAGGAGACCCCCTTACTTGAAGTGCATAGTGGTCTATTTATAGGCAAAGGCTTACCTTCTCCATGTGAGCTATAGTTGGATCATGAAGGTATTTTGTGGGCTTGGGTCCAAATGTAGTTGGTAGATTGCAGTTGCTCTTTGGGGTGAGCTAAAACATATTTACGGGCCCAACAATTGTCCCCCAGTTAGGTATCCAGTAGGGTACTGGATGCCTAACTAGATGTCTTTGCCTTGAAAACTTTCTTACAAGCTTAGTGTTGAACACTTGATGTTTGAGTGACATCTTGTCCCCCCAGTTTAGCTAACTCATGTCCCCCACACCATGTTTGTTGAACAATCTCGAAGCAAGAACTATGACGTCTTAAAAGGTTACGTCATTCTAGGCGCCTAATTGAAGACTTGATTGCCTTGCACAACAACTTATTTCACTCATGACGTCTAACAAGGTTATGGCACCTTATGCACATAATTGGAGATTTGTTTGATCCAGAAAAAATTTTGAAGATGCATGCATGTTTTCCCTCTAATTGTTTCCAAGATCATAATAGCTTAAGAACTCGGAGCAAAAACTATGTAGATAATGATCAATGTAATATAACGTGACTCGTAACATGGTTAGCCATATAACTCAAGCGATGACAAAAAAATATACTTATTTCACTTTCGATGTATAACAAGGCTATGGCCTTTTAGACGCAAAATTGGAGAGTTGATTGCCTTAGAAAAATCCAGAATGTGCATGTTATCCAATTGTCCCCCAGTTAGGCGTCTAGTGGTACACTTGACGGCTAACTAAAAGTCCCCCGACTTGTCAAAATTTATCTAAGATGCTATGACATTTTGTCCCCCAATTCGTACTCCCCAATACCATCTTAATTAAATAACATAAAGGATCACAAAGATACTAAGCAGTATACTAAACTTTGATTCTTGAATTGGTTAGGAAAATAACTCGAGTAGGGACAGAAAATACTTAGCTCAACCTCGAAGTGCTTCCTCGGTACACTCCTTACGTATGAGAAGACCTCCCTTTAGCATGGTGGTATACGCTATATTCCATAACCATAACTTCTTAGTGATTTTGGTGTTGTGGGCGCTTCACGCTTCAATTTGAGTTTTCTCGGACACTATGAGGGCCTTGCTGGTATCCCGGGCGCTTTAAGTCTCTGTCTCGCGATTTTTTGACTGTCCGGGCGCTTCAGGTATCACATCACACGCATGCTTTTCCGTTAGCCGGGTGGTCTAGGCGCTAGACTTCTCTTAGGTAAGCGCCTAAATTTAAGATTGGTGAATGGTGGACTTTGGCTTTAAGGGAATATCCAAATGGGTTTAAAATGGCCTAGCATCAATGAATTTTGGAGAAAAAGAACCATAATTCTCCCACTGGCACAGAACACGAGTTACATGGAGATTTCAAGTGACAACTGCTTTTGGACATTGGTAGGGGCAAGAGCTTGAGCTAGGCGCATGGTTCTCTTCTTTCATTCTCCAATTACTTTCACATTGCTGTCAAATTTCAGGCTCACATCATCCTTCTTTCATTTTCAGTGGCTAGGAGACTATAGTCACAAATGTAGATGTGTCCAAAATAATTTCTTCACACTATATGATGCAAGCGCCCGATGATTATTTGGGTGTTAGATTTAGGCATGGATGTGACTCAAATTGAACTATCTAGCTATGACTAGATGTCATGGGGTCCACGAGCACTCTATTTGGGCAATTATTTTCATTCAAGGGTGCTATGCGTGGGCGCTGAGAGTATTTCCAACCATAGGCGCTAGATTCGGGCGCTTCGAGTATTTCAACCAAGGGCGCAAGATTTGGGCGCTTAGAGTATTCCAACCAAGGTGTATTAATTCCAAGGGCACGAAGGGTATTTCCAATTAAGGCGCATTGGTTCCCAGGGCGCGGAGAATATTCCCAGTCAAGGCTATTTAGTTGTGAGGGCGCAAAAAATATTTCTAACCAAGGGTGCTTTAACTTCAAGGACACCAAAAAGTGTTTCAAATCAACGGCGATATTTGGAGGAGCTGAAATTAAATTTCACAAACGAAATTACTTAGCTGGATAAATAGGATTTCATGCACATTTACAACGACGCTCCTTTTGTTTTTTGTTTTTTTAAACCCATTTCTATCCGCCTCCATCGTTGCTTCCTCTAATAAATATCCACGCTCCATGATTTTGCTTCCTTTCTTTGGCCCCCATCGCCAATTCTTTCCTTCTTTCCACTTTAGCTAAATATGCGATGTGATTTCTCTTGACCTTCTGCTTTACTCCATGTCCCTTCCACTTTTCTGTCATTTCCCTACATCCGACTGCAAGCTCCCTTCACTTTTAAGGTTATGATTCTTATTCGCTAAAGCCCAGGATTAGGAGCCTGCTTTGTTGGCGAGTTTGAAGTTTAGCGACACAAATATTATGAACTCCATTATAGATCCAACTTCGCGTTGGCCTCCAACCGGTTACGTCGCCAAAACCTTGCATGAGCATCGGTACGAACCCTACTACAGGCCCTTTGTATTGGCTGGAAGGCGTTGGGCTTCAATGGTAGTCTTAAAAACATGAATCCCAATCATTATGAGGTCTATTTTTTTTCTCTAACCTTGGACCCAATGCTCTTTCCTCCGGTCCTTTTTTTTATATGACAAACTATGTGCTTATTTCTCTTCCCAACGTTATTATGCTTTGTTGTTTAATAGGCGCCTGGACCTACTCAATTGGGCGCTCCTCAATTTGGAAGAGCCAAGAAAGGGAAGCAAAATTTAAGAGGTGTGGACACTTCCCCGCTTCAGTTATATCTTCTGAAAAGTTGGAGAACTTGGTGTTGATGCTCCACAAAAAGAGTGAAGTACTTAGCTTGATTTTGAGCATGGTGAAGCCAATGTGGATTCTTTCTATCGATAATAGGCACCTGCAAAACCTGACGCCCCTCGCACATTTTACCGACGTTCGCTCTTTGTGAGGCTTTATACTAGCATGTGATAAAGTTGCTTGAATCGCCAAGTAAGTCACAATTGGTACAAAAAAAGCGCCTGCATGTGACTCTCAATGTTCCCATATGTGATGTGGCATTGCTTGCTTGCATCCTTTGCGTACTTGGTAGAGTTTGATGTTTGAAATTGATATCTTGGTCGTGCATATGCTTGGGCTTCCATGGTCCGAGGTGGACGAGTGGCCTTAGTGAATGCCCACTCTCTCTCGCACTTTGGGAATACAGTACCCCGCACTCCATATATAATACTAGCTTATAACCCGACCCGTTGGTCGGAGGAGCTGAGCCGAATATTGAATTATTGGGATAACCCGTAGATTCAACCATTAAGCTAAATTGGTCTAATGGTGAGTACCGCCTAGCATATCCCTAATAATCATACCAAAGTGAATATATTGGAACATAAACAGTACATCAAAAGTTAGTACAACCATGAAGTTAGACCATTAAAAACATACCAATGAAATTGAATAGCATCGAAAAACTTCAACTTCATTATATAATTACATGAGATCAGAAAGAGAACACCATTAATTTGATTTATAAAACTTTCATCTTGTCGTCATTGTGCTTTCTGGTTTTTGTCAGGCCATGATAAAATCTAAGGAAATCAAGAACGAACAACACGATTTGGGATAGGAACCGCTGTTGTCGTATTCCTAGAGAATGGTGGTAAACACGGACTCACCTGCCAAACTGGTTTGGATTGAGATTTTTATCGGGTATCAGGGAACCATGTGATTATAAATTAGACTTGATCAAAACGGGCCAAAACTTAAAATTCAGCCTGTTTGACCGACCCATGCAAAATTCTAATTATTCGTTACTTTTAAACTTTCTATTTGAAAATAAAAAATAGTGAAAGAAAATAGATGACTGCAATTCGCCATTTGCACATCACTTATTCGGGAATAAAACCATAGAAATTCAAAAGAAACTGAAAATGTTTAGGATTGTTTTAATGTTTAAAATAACCAAATAGATCTTTCTGTTTAGTTTTTTACTAACAAATACCAAACGATTCCCTATAAAATACACTATAATTTTATCATTATGATATCAAATAATTATATAATATATATTTGAAATGATAAAAATTGGACTAATTGGGTTGGTCGAGATTGAACCATTGAATAACTTTAAACTACATTATATTTTAGCCACTAAAATATAAAATAATATAATAATATATATTATGCTAGAGAAAATAGCTTGTTTTAGAATGTCAAACCAATGATGTTCATTTGTTTTACTTGATGGCCAAATCCGGTGTAGGTCAGGCCCATTCAACTCTTTTATTTTATGGTTAGCGGTTAGCCCTTTAGATACCATGCATTAGTTTATTGTTAATTTTTTTTTTTTTTTTTAGCATAAAAAGAAGTATTGTTTTTGCCTTTTCATATATATTTTATCAGCACGGAGAAATACAAGGGGTTAAAGAAAAAAATTGACACTCCTGAACCCGTTTAAATCCGCATGTGTACGGTAAGTTGGCCCGTTCCATAGAGGAAAGAGAAAAAAATTAACACTACCTATTCTACCCTTCCTACAAACGCTCATGGAGCAGGGAATTTGAAATGGGGGAAGGGGTTTTTCCTCCCTGCTATTATAAGTTTTTGATTTAAAAGGATGCAACAAATGTACTTAGTGTGATTGGTTATGTTCCTTGCTTTTCTTTAAAATGGACATGGTTCGAATCCCAGTACGTGTCTTTTTAATGGATAAAAAAAGTAATTGTGAAGACCAAAATGTCCTTCCTACTTTCACTCTCGTTGCGGGAAATTTGAAATGGGGCTCCCGTTTTTCCCTTCGGTGTATTATATTATGTGTAGATAACCAACGCCGCCAAGTAATCTTTTTTCCTTCTCAGCGGCAGCGCAAGTGCTTTGTTGTCTTTCGCTCTTTGCCGGTCTAAGCGTCCTTCCATTACCCTCGTGTCATAACTTCCAAATGGCTTTAGGCGTTTCCTTGTCAAGGAGCGCCTGCAACGTACAATCTCAAGATTAAAGACTATCGATGCGCCACTCTTCCTCCTCTTTAAATCGCTCCTTCATTGGCCGCAATGTCGAGTTTGCAGGCGCACGATCATGGTCGAATTAGCTTCTTCTTATATCCTTTGTTGCCTTATGTCTTCCTCTTCTTCCGATACACCTAATTCCCTGCGTCTAGTCCTATTCTCTCTCCGACCTCCCTCCCCCCCCCCCCCCCCTTTCAGGCAGGGATTTGACAAAGTGCTCTCCTGTGCGGCGAAACTCCCACCTTTCATATTCGATCATTGCCCCGGGAAGTGTCATGCTAAAGGCGCCTCTTCCCTCCTTTTAGTCATTTGGCGCCTCATAGTTTTATCAGTACTCTGCCAAAGTCTCGGTGCCGCAACAAGCCAGCAACATGGCATAACCCATTTTGGCCCAAGATGAAATAATCGGCGGTTAGAGCTAGATCTAAAATGCCCACTCAAAATCTTCTAACTTCAATCGTTCCTATTGCGGCGCCTATCACTTGCCCCCCACACGCATAGTTAACGAAGCCAACTCCATCCGCGCTTCGTCTTTCATAACGGGCGCTTCACCCTCTTGTACTTCTCTTTTCAAAAAACTCAAAGAGCCTGTGTACTCCCATTGCCCTCAAATCAGGGCGCCCCTACTCCCTTCTTTAAATGAGGCGCCTTGAACCTCATTTACAACTCAGACATTCTAATCGCTTCCTGAAGGCGCCCGCATCGCACGCCTCTTTCTCATCTAAAGCACTCCACTTCCCGGGCGTCTCGTCATCACCCTTCATGCTTTCTTCTTCTTCTTCAATAATTAAACCCAAACTCATCGTTACCCAAGGCGCCTCAGATGCTCCTACGGTGGTTCTCTCCCGGTTCGTTGAAAAAAGGTGCCTCTTATCACGCTTGTTAAGAAGACGTGCCCCTTCCTGACGCGCCCATTGTTTTAGCCAAGAAACATGGGAGCTCTGAATCTGTGAAAGGGCGGGGACGACCCCCATTATCTACACTTCGTCAATCAACATTAGTATAGTGATAGAGAAATAGGTAGAGTTTAGGTAGAGAGAGATATTGTAGAGAGATGAGTGATATATCAAAAATTAGTCGAGTGGAAGGAGACCCCCTTACTTGAAGTGCATAGTGGTCTATTTATAGGCAAAGGCTTACCTTCTCCATGTGGACTATAGTTGGATCATGAAGGTATTTTGTGGACTTGGGTCCAAATGTAGTTGGTGGATTGCAGTTGCTCTTTGAGGTGAGCTAAAACATATTTACGGGCCCATCAGTTGGGATAAAAAAAGAATCCAACAATCTCTTCTAAACAATCTAAACAAAATCTCAAATTTTAGTAGAGATATTACTATTAGGATTTGTGTGGATTGATGATTTGGGTGTGTTAGTGGGGGACAAATAACACAAAATTTGTTATTTGATCCCAAATAACATGTTTGGGTAGAGAGAAAATGATGTAGTATATGACACTTATTATTTGAGAAATTCCACGATGGACGGCTGGTATTCTCCAAATAATAAGTTATTGTCTTTGTTGTTTCAATTATGTCTTCATTTCATTTTTATAAATATCAAACTAGTCTCTCCTTTTTAGGAGAAGGCCTCGTGTGCTAACACTTTTTTTTATAGCATAGTGCTAACTGATAAGATCTCAATTGGACCTCCCTACAAGCTTCAATGGCTTGAGACTGAAGCAACCTCAATCATTGACAGAAACTGCCAGAATTTGGCTAAGGCAGAATCCATGTTTATGAAGCCTACTTTGGAGCTCGATTCCGGAGGGATGGCTGTGATTCGAGTCCAACGGGTTGTTCCGCATCAAACTACAGATTTCACAATACAAAAACAAAGAGTTGGTTGAATCGCTTGGTTCCTGGAAGAGTTCGAATGAAGAGTCCAAGATCGAGTCGAGCTGTGTTTTCTGGCTTTGGAAGAAAGACAATCCGAATCCTTGTAGGATTAGGATTCCTAGACTGTTTTGTGTTTTGAGTTCTTTACTTGTTTGTTTGGGGTTCTTTTCGAGTCGTATTAGGTTTAGGAAGTCTTACCTAGTTTGATAACCTAGTTAGGATCTATTTAAGCTTTAGTTTGCGTTGTAATTCCATTCAAGTTTTAATCGAAGAACACTTGTTCATTGAGCATTTGTCTCATGAATTTTTCCTTGGATTGATTGGATCGAATCCATCAATCAAGCGAGCTCTGCATCAATTGAGTAGCCACCTCAATTGTGAACGGGTTGCTACCTCCAATTGTTCGAGCCTCTTCCCATATCCTTGCAAGAAGTTGCACATTCGAAAACCATCATTCTTTCTATGTTTTTGTTATCGAAGTAAATCAATTCCTGCTTCGTGGGAATTGAGGCCAATCCAAACACCATAGCTCGAGGTTTGGGTGTTATCAAGTGGCATCAGAGCCTGAGGTTCAAACACACTGGCGCGACCCACAGCTCGAGGACCAGATGCCTCAAGGACAAGATTAAAGGGTCCGGTCAATCATTGAAATCCAGAAGAAGAGTTCGACTCCGACGAGACAAACAAGGAGGGCGAAACATCAATATCAGGCAAATTCAACACGATGAAGCTCTTGCAGACCATCACGGAACATATTGGAACAATGTTTTAGGCTCAATTTGATAAACTCGAAAGCCAGATGGAACAGCAAGGACGAAGACTTGAAACTCTGTCTCAGCGCTACCTCAAACAGGACGTGCAATAGAGGCTCCTCGCGGCAGGGATACAGAGGCCGATCGGGAGCGAGGGAATTAAGAACTGTTGGCTCGAATTGAAGAGTTAGAGCAACAGTAAGTAGTCGACAATCCTTAGCCCGAACGACGTAATCACGAATTTAAGGGAAGACCGCAGGAGCCAGAGGTCGTAATTCCTCAGGGAATCAAATTGACGATCCCAGCTTTTCACGGTACGCTGAATGCCTCTAAATACCTAGATTGGGAGAGGAAAACAATTCTTTTCTTTCAATGTGGCAATTACACCGAATCCCAGAAGGTTTCGCTTGCCACTTATGAATTTACAGACTACGTAGCTTTGTGGTGTGAAAAGGTTCAACTTCGACGCCGTCGAAACCTTCAGCCTGCTGTAACAACGTGGGACAAACTGAGGAGTATAATGAGGGACCGCTTTGTGCCTGAATATTACCAGAGGGACCTCTTCGATTCCTTACAGGGAATTCGACAGGGTTCGCGCTCTCTTGACGAATATTATAAGGAATGTGAGATGCTCTTGATGAGAGCCGATGTCAGAGAAGACAGAGAAGCCACAGTCGCCAGGTTCTTACACGGATTGAACAAGGAAATTCGATATGAGGTGGAACTTCGACCATTTGTCGAGTTGGAGGAAGCTGTCCACCTTGTCATGAAGGTGGAAAGGCACATGAAGCTCCCTGCCAATTGAAGATTCCCTCTGGCGACTAAAACCAACCCTGATCCTGTTCAAGGAACCTAAATGACGTCGGCTCGACCCAAGGAAAACAAAGCAGCCATCAAGACTCTGCCTGCCAAAAACGAGGGATCCAGTGCTCAAATTCAGTGTTTCAAGTGTTTTGGACGCGGGCACAAGACAAATCAATGCCCGAATCGGAAGGCCCTCGTGCTCAGGGACGAGGAGTACTACTCCGAGGGCGACGAGGAAATTCCGATGGATCCTGGACTTGATTCCGACGGAGACAAGATTCATGAGGACATGCACGCCGAAATTCCTCCACCACCAGCAGGCAAGTTTTTTGCAGTCAGCTGGAGAGCTCTCACAACGACGCGTCAACCCGAAATAGACCAAAAGGAAAATATTTTCCAATCAAGGTGTTTGGTCGAGGGACAATTACTGTTTGTAATCGTTGATGGCTGCAGTTGTGCTAACGTCGTTATCCAAGACGTGGTTAAACGATTGGGACTAAGTACGAGTCGACACGCAACACCATATAATTTGGATTGGCTTAACGACTACGGTGCGATCAAGGTTCAATGGCAAGCTATTGTGAGGTTTGAGATTGGAGAGTATAACGACGAGATGATGTTTGACGTTGCCCCGATGCAAGCCACTCATCTTCTTCTCGGACGCCCTTGGCAATTTGACGGGAGAGTTTGCCATTATGGTGGTTCCAATTGTTACAAGGTCCGCCATGGAGGAAGGAAGATATTGCTGCAGCCATTAACGATGACGGAGGTTCGTGAATATCAGAGACAACTCGAAGATGGCCGATGACGAGTGAAAAGCAAATCTAGCCCGACGAGTTTTGAGAATCAACATGGTGGCACCCTTCTCAACCAGAGATTTATGCTTACTGGATACAAGAGGGATAAGGCACCCCGTCGTCGTCTCCCCTGTCTTTTGTCGCCGGGGTAGAGAAGGAAAGAGAGATATTTGGGTGGAGCACCCCATGGCAATTCGAGCTCCGTCAAAGACACCGGCACGTTCCATGAGGCTTTGGGAAGCTTCTCCACAAAGGGAATTTGTGTGGATACACCCAAAATGCAAGATCCAATTCAAGCCCGATCACCTCTACCAAAGCTCAAACACGAGCAAAATTCGAGCAAATAGGTTGGAGCAGCTGAGGGTGAATCGACGCCAACCGACATTGTAGAGCTATTGGGAAAAGCGGTCTGAAGCTGTGGAAAATATAAATTGAACCCAAAGATCCCGGAGGAAGAATTACCCAAATCGAATTCGGAATTTCTAGATGGTGCACTTTCGGAAATCGGCGTTGGCGGGAAACGAAGGCCTGGCGATTTGATGAATATTACGACGCGTCGAGAGCTCCGACCATTGCAAAAACACAATTCGAAGTGTGGCAAAGGTCGTGGACGCAGTGAATTATAATGGGGCTACTTTGATTAGAAAGCCCCAATTTCTAACCTGAAGAACACAGTTGACCTAATCTGGCAGACAAAAGGGTTCAAGCAACCCACTTTCGATCCAATTTGGGGTCAATTCTGTGAGCGATTCGACAAGAGGAAGGCTAAAGTGTTGAGGGCAACACTTTTTCAAGAGAGGGGGTCTGATAAGATCACAATTGAACCTCCGTACAAGCTTCAATGGCTTGAGACTGAAGCAACCTCAATCATTGACAGAAGCTGCCAGAATTTGGTTAAGACAGAATCCATGTTCATGAAGCCTACTTTGGAGCTCGATTTAGAAGGGATGACTGTGATTCGAGTCCAACGAGTTGTTCCACATCAAAGTACAGGTTTCACAATACAAAGATAAGGGATTGGTTGAATGGTTTGGTTCCTAGAAGAGCTCTAACAAAGAGTCCAAGATCGAGTCGAGTTGTGTTTTCTGGCTTTGGAAGAAAGACAATCCAAATCCTTGTAGGATTAGGATTCCTAGACTGTTTTGTGTTTTGAGTTCTTTCCTTGTTTGTTTGGGGTTCTTTTCGAGTTGTATTAGGTTTGGGACGTCTTACATTGTTTGATAACCTAACTGGGATCTATTTAAGCTTTAGTTTTTGTTGTAATTCCATTCAAGTTTTAATCGAAGAACCCTTGTTCATTGAGAGTTTGTCTCGTGAAGTTGTCCTTGGATTGATTGGATCGAATCCATCAATCTAGAGAACTCTGCATCAATTGAGTAGCCACCTCAATTATGGATGGGTTGCTACCTCCAATTGTTCGAGCCTCTTCCCAAATCCTTGCGAGATGTTGCACATTCGAAAACCATCCTTCTTTCTCTGTTTTTGTTATCGAAGAACATCAATTCCTACTTCGTGGGAGTTGAGGCTAATCCAAAAACCCTAGCTCGAGGTTCGGGTGTTATCACTAACACTAGCTCCGACCAATATGAACATTTCGTTTGGATGACTTTTTAATTTAAACGAATTGACCCTAATTAATAAAAGAGAAGTGATGGAAGAGCACGCTTGGTATTATGAAAAATTGGGAAGAGAGTAGGAGACCAACGTATATGTCCTCCTCTTATACCCTTTCTTCGACCAAAGAAAGAACTGCCGCTGATGCAGAAGAACAATGTGTCCAACCTAGAACCCTGCTTCTTCCCCTTCATTCTTCTCCTGGCAAAGGCAAGCCGCAGCAAGCCACTAATGTAAACAGACTTGCACCTGGACCCTCTCCCTCACTCATATCTTCTTCCTCTCGATATCTTCCTCCTAAGACCTGAAACTGGACAGTGTCATCACTCGTCAGTTAAGTTCAACGTGCTCTGTGGTCTGGGGGCCGCCGACAACTTGGCGATGGACAGGGATCTTATGGTTCACAGATGAGGGTGGGAGGAATCGGAAGGATTTTGCGGCGGATGTGGAGAGGAGAGAAGAAGTAGCGGAAGAGATGAGGATGGCATCTGCAACCCAAATCACAAAACAAGAACCCATGATCCTACCACCCAAATCGACAAAACAGAGTGGAGGAGATGTTGGATTCGTCGGAGGAAGATAAGCGAGAGAGATGGACGAGTCGAAAAGGGAAGGGATAGTTACGGAAAAGAATTAAAAATAAAGAGGGATTGTGAAATAGCTGATGGTCATCAGCTATTTCAAAAACCTACATTTGAGAGATTTTAAAATTTCTAATCATGAAAACCCTCATCTATCCAAACAAGGGATTGTTTTTAAAATCCTGCATAATGAGAGATTGTTTTAAAATTCCTCTCAAATCCCTCATTACATTCCCTAATCCAAACGACCCCATAAAGCAATCCACAAGTTTGTTAAAGCACACAACACTTTTCTGAAGGTTGGCCACAAGTATATTGAAGCACTCTACAAGTTTCTTGAGCTGGACCACAAGTCTCGTAAAACAAACCACAAATTTGTTAAAGCAAATCACAAATTACACAAAACTAGCCACAAACACTATAAAGCAAATCACAAATCCTCTTAAACACACTAAAAAATTTATAAAACAAATCACAACTTTTTTTTTACGGGTAACCTGTAAATCAATTAATTCGGGGACAAAATTACATTATCCAGCCGAAGCTGATCGACAAGAAACAAAGGTGGATTATCAAGCCACACTTCTCTGCTATGCCAGCTAGTCCCATTATGAGCCATAATATGCGCGCAAAAATTCGCCGAACGCCGTACATGGTTTATGCTTCCCGTTGATGGGGTCTGCTCCTGTAGAAGTCAAGCGATCCGTCTGCAAATGATACCAGTCTCGGTCTGCATCTCCTCCGCCTGCCTAACTTTTTCAACCAACGTCAGACTGTCAACTTCAAGCAGGAAACGACGGAAGCACAGCTGATGCGCTAATTGGCCCCCGAACTCTGCCGCCAGCGCTTCTGCCAATTCCACTCCAAAGGAACTACGAATCCTTTTCGTTGCGGCAGCAAGGAAACACCCCTGATGATCTCGATAAAGTACTCCCAGGCCTATCCCATCATTCTCCAACAGGCCAGCATCTGTATTAATTTTGATCCACCCTTCCGCCGGTCTCTCCCATCGATCCACCTGCGCGTCTCCCATCACTGCTTCCTCATGACCTTGGTTCTTCCTATAGTCATCAAGAATTGAGATTGCACGCTGCAGAATCTCATCCTCAGGCCACTTGGATCCGTTAAACAACTGTGCATTTCGTTCCTTCCATATCGCCAACAGCACCATAGCCCACGATTCCGCCACGTCCGGGTTCTCATGCTTCAACACTTCCGCTACCCATTCCATGCAGTCCGCCGACCCATGCACAGTAAACACACTTTCCCACGTCGATCCTCTCCATAATCGGCTGCTCCAACTGCACTCGAGGAAAAGATGGTGTTGGGTTTCCTTTTGGTCACAGAAAGGACATCCATCATACCGTTGTGGATTCTTTGTTACCACTTTCACCCCTGTTGGCAGAATATCTCTAGAGAACTTCCATAAGAAATGAAGAACTTTAGGGGGGACTTTCAAGGTCCATATAGCCTTCCAGAACTTCTCATCACCATGCGGAATAATCCCCTCCTCCTGCATAAAACTCGTTAGCCATTGTTTGTATCCGCTTTTCACAGAGTAGCGACCATCAGCACTATGATGCCAAACAAGGCGATCTGGCTCCTCACTCTCCCTGAGAGGGATGGCCATTATGGTGTGCACGGTCGGGGCGGGAAAACATTTGTGAAGCAGGCCAAGCTCCCAGGTTTTCGTTTCGGGGTCGATAAGTTCCCGGACTGTAGTGTCCACCGGGAGATGTCGCGGAGCTGAAGGGATGAAAGCAGGTTCCGCGGGGAGCCACTGGTCCCCCCAAATTCGCACTCTGTCACCATTTCCCACACGCCAGCGAAGACCGGCACACAGTAAGTCTTGTGCACTAAGCAGGCTTCTCCATATGTAACTTGGTCTACTTCCCAGTCGAGCTTCCAAAATAGAGCAGTTCTTATGGTACTTGGCAGCTATAATCCTGGCAATGAGTGATGTTGGCCGCTGGTGCAGGGACCAAAGCTGTTTCGCGAGCAGTGCTTTGTTGAAACCTCTCAGGTCTCGAAAGCCCATCCTGCCATCCTCTTTCATAGTAACCAGCTCCTCACGGCGAAGCCAATGTGATTGCCTCTCCGCGTTCTTCTGTCCCCACCAGAAGCTGATGATCATATTGTGGATCTCGTCAATAATACCATCCGGTATTTTGAAGACTGTCATGGCGTAGTTGAGCTGTGCTTGGGCAACTGACTTGATGAGAATTTATCGGGCTGCTACAGACATAGATTTTTCCTTCCAACCTTTCAGCTTCTGCCTTATCCGTTCCTTCAAACCCGCAAAGAGGTCTTTTTTGTCTCGTCCCACCTCCGTGACCAGCCCCAGATATTTCTGATGCTTTTCTACTGGCTGCATCTGGAGGGTTCCGCTGGTAATAAGCTTGCTGTGAGGCTTCACATTCGCCGAGAAGGAGACTTCCCACTTGTGGAAGTTAACCATCTGTCCATACTCGAGCTCGTAAGCGTGAAGTATATTTTTTAGCGCCAGACATTCCTCCTGAGTAGCCCTGGCAAAAAAGATACTATCGTCAGCGAAAAAAAGATAGGTAATCACCGGGGCTCCCCGATTCACCTGCAGCCCATGTAGCCGTTTTTCCTCCACCGCCTTGGCTGTATAGGCTGACAATCCCTCCGCACAAAGCAGGATGAGATAGGGTGATAACGGGTCGCCCTGCCGTATCCCTCTGCTCGGAGTGAAGGTTTGGAAACGATGACCATTTACCAGAACAGAGTACGACACGGTTTTAACGCCCATCATCACAAGCTGTATCCACCGTTCGGCAAATTCCATTCTTCGCATCACGCCTTCGAGGAAATGCTATTACACCCTGTCATACGCCTTCGCCATGTCAATCTTAGCGGCAAAATAGCCATGTTTCCACCGTTTGCTCCCTTTCATAGTATGGAAACACTCAAACGCTGCCATGATATTGCTTGTGATGAAACGCCCAGGGATAAAAGCACTCTGCGCCGGTGAAATGATCCTGTCCAGCATCGGTTTAAGACGGTTGGCTAAAATCTTCGACACGATTTTGTAGAGCACATTGCAGAGACTAATCGGTCGAAAGTCTTTCGGAGAAACTGGCTGTTTGGTTTTGGGGATGAGAGTGATCAGTGTATGGTTAAGTCCCTCTGTCATCTCACCCGTCTCCAAGATTTGCAGAACTGCTCTAGTGACCTCGTCACCCACAATAGACCAGTATTTTCTGAAGAAAAAAAAAACAGAGAGCTCGTCTGATCCTGGTGCTTTACGACTACCCATTTTCTTCAAAGCCGCCCACACATCCTCCTTCGTGAACGGCCTCATCAACTCCTCATTGTCTTCGGCCTGTAACTTGCAGGGGATCGAATCCAGAACTGGCCAACTATCGGGCATCGGACCAGCAGTGAATAAGTTCTGGTAATAGTCTACCAGGCATTCGGACACTTCGTTCTGTCCCACAAACTATCTCCCAGCCTCATTCTTAATCCTTCTGATCATATTTCTTTTCCTGCGGCCTGATGCTTTGCGGTGAAAGAAATTAGTATTCTTATCCCCTGATTTCAACCAATCTGCTCGGGATCTTTGTTTCCAGTATCTTTCTTCGCTATCAAGCACATCTGCCATTTCATCTTCGAGTAGCCGAAGCTGAGCCAACACCTCCGTCGTCTTCTCACGTCTCTCAAGTGCTTTTATTGCCTGGCTAATCCTCTTCTTTTGTTTTCTAAATGCAGGGAAGGCCTGTCGACTCCAACAATCCAGTTCTTTCCGGCATTGCTCAAACTTGTCAAGAATACTTAACTGCGGGAACTTCTTCCATGCACGATCGATCACCTCAACGCATTCCTCATGTTTTGTCCACAGTTGGTCAAAACGAAAGGACCAGCCCACCTGATGTCCTTATCCTCTTCCCCTCACGTTTCACAAAGGATGGGTCGGTGGTCAGAATGCGTCCAGTCCCCGTGCTGAACCCGTCCGTTTGGAAAGCTCTCTCTCCATTTCTCATTAGCTACAAATCTATCCAGACGTTCTTCAATGTAACCTCCTCTCGTACGTCTGTTCTCCCAAGTGAACAGGTATCCAACAAAACCAAGATCATGGCATCCTACATCGAAGAGACAGTCACTAAAATGACTCATCTCCACCTCTTGGGCGCCTCGGCCTCCACTTTTTTCTGCTGTCAACAATACTTGGTTGAAGTCTCCCCCACACAGCCACGGTCCATCCCATTGGGTACTCAATGATCTCATAGTGTCCCACGTACGCCACTTGTCACTCCCATCCGGCCATACGTAGATGCCAGTGAACCGCCATTTACCCACCACTTCCTCTTCAATAGCCGTATCAATAAAATGGAGGTCTAAATTCACACCGTGAGGCTAACTTCCTCCTTCCACCAAACACTGATACCACCGGCCCGGCTTCTAGCGGAGATCACCGCAGAGTGGCTTTCACCATTCACATACCCGCAAACTCCACGTAAAGTTGCATTCTCCGCACACGTTTGCTTTGTTTCCATCAAAAACACTGCATCCGGGGATGATCGGCGCAAAAGCGCTTTAAGGGCATTAACTAACCGCGTATTCCCCAGCCCGCGGCAGTTATAGCTCAGAAGCTTCATTTATAACCGGAAGGGGATGGGCTCCCCGCGCCATTTTTCGTGTCTCTGTTGGGCTTTGACGTCCCATTTTGGTGCCCCTTGTCCGAAGCGGTGATCATTTTTTTGGTTGGGTTTAGTTTTTTGGATTTGTCTCCATCGTTCCGCCGTTCTAGCGGCTCTTTGTGTTGGTTCCCTCCTATCTTTAAACTATCCTTTGTGTTCAAAGCCTGGGTTGTTCCGCCTTCCCTAAGTTCATTACTCCTGCCATGAACTATCGGGTTATGATCAGCTCTCGCCGGCGGTTCGGCTGGATTCACAGCAAGGTTAGCACTCCCATTTTGTGTCTCTGGCGGAATAGTGGGAGGCTCTTCAGACCCTATCTCCGCTGCACTCCCTTTATCATGTCTTCCTTCCTCAGGTTCTTGGGTGCCATGGCCCGATTTATTTGGCTCATCTCCGGGATTGCCATCTTCTTCCATGAGTACATCAAACCTCGAGCCCGTATTGTATTTAGGGGTCGCTTGTGTGGTATTCTCTTGCCTCCCCTCGGCGGCCTTGTCTAGGGCCTCCTTCCTATTCCTTGTCCCTCTGCCACGGGGCATGGCCATCAACCATTCACCATAGGTACTGGCCTCGGCAACATCATTCTCCTCTTGCATTGTCGTTGGCGGTGGGTCGGCCTTCTTGAATAGCAGAGGACAAGTGACTTTTGCGTGTCCATATTTGCCTCACTCTGTACAAATGCGATGCAAACCTTCATATTCCACATAATATGTTATCCCTTCAATCTTGAACTTGGACAGGAGCGGCTTTGTCAAGTCTATTTTGATGCTAACTCGAGCATATCTTCCTCGATCCCCTGACTGAGTCGCGCGGTCAACACGGATAGGCTTCCCAATCTTCTCCGCGATGCGTTCTACTGCTTCTTTGTTAATAAACTCCCTGGGAAGACCCGGAAACCGAGCCCAAACCATAATCGACGCCACCTCCGCATGTTTTGTGTTAAAATTACGTCGCCAAGGACGAACCGTGATGTAGAAGTCATTGATCATCCACGGACCGCCCGCAGCAGCTTGCTCATAGTCGATCTGGCTCGTAAACCGTACCACGTAGAAACTGAAGGACAGGCTCGAAACCTGAATAGTGCCGCACTTTGCCCAGAGTGTTTCCAATCTTCGCGCGATAACAGGGAAAGGGAAGGTACGGCCAAGGACCTTGACAATTAGGGCAGACCTCCACTCTCTTCTCCAACGTTGTTTTTCTAACGCCGTGTAGGCGATGGTGGGACACAGTGGGTCATCATCATCTTCGGGAACCTCGTCGTCTAGGTCATCTTCTCTCATGGCAGCTGCCACGTCCTCAGAGTCGGAGTCTGCCACGTACCATTCGTCTCTCTGGTGCAGGTTTGTGAAGAGTTTACTAGAGCCACCGCTCCATGCCGATTCCCTATTCTACTTTGCCTGGTCTGATTCTACGTCCTCCATGGGAACAGGAGCAGGTGCCGTTTGAGCTTCCTCAACAAACAGGGGGTTGGACTTCATTGGCTTCGCTTTCTTTTTTGGCTGTCGGGTCTCCCGATCTCTTTTCGAGTCCGGAGATGATGTGACAGACGGTGGCCGTCGACCACCCGCACTAGGTTCCAGGGGAGTCGTGCCCGGGGGAGCCCCCCGGCGCCGACTCGGACATGGTAGAAGTTGTGCTCAGGGATTCGCAGGGTTGGAGAGGTTCGCCGCTCCGAGAAGTTCGGAGCTAGGGTTTACGTGATTAATCACAACTTTATTAAAAATACAAATACACGAAAAAGTGTTCTAAAAAATTACAATTAACCCACAATGTTACCTAGTGCACCAGCTCATCAACGAAGGGTTTGCAGTAACTTTCTTTTTCTCCCTCGTCGTGGTTGTTGACTTGTTGTGCAGAGAGTCGGAGACTCGTCCACATTTACAGAATCCATAATTAACATTATATTCCTAGTGGTGTTCAAATGGTTACCATGATAATTACCAAATCAAACAAGTCAAAATTCTAACAATGGAATACAATATCATAATCAAACCGCCCAAATTAACACAACAATCAAATTAACCAAACTAAAGTTTAATCGATTTGGGTAATCGGTTAACCAGATTAACCAATATAATATCACATTATAATTAAGTGAATTTTTTTTTTGTTCATACATCTATTCACAATTTATATGATGAATAAAACATTACTATGAACACATAGTTATAGTTAACCCTTACAGAAATACATTTATCTAATACAATAATTATCTTACAGTCAATAGAAGTATTCACCTAACAAAAATATATATCAATAGTATGGAGTTAATTAATTGTTGTGATTGTGTGAATTGAATTAGTCACTTAGCAATTATCATAAGTTAAAAGATACCTTCCTTTCAAGTTTTCATCTAATATATAGTATGACTTTTATCTAAATTGGGCGTTCATATATCATGGTCTAAACTCTAAAAATACAAATATACAGTATATGAACAATATTAAGGTTTATTGTTGATGAGCCTAAAAGGAATGAATGTTTGGCTATTGAGTGGTTATGCTAAATATCAAGTATGTGTATATAAAATATATTAGATTTGTGAATAATTACTTAAGTGCTTAATTTGTTTTTGATTGATTAGGAGTGTCTGAAACCAAATCAAACCACCTAAACCAAACAAGTGTAATTTTTTAACCAAGCCAAACCAATTATCCAAACTAATCAAACCAAATTAGCCAAATACTACCGGTTAAAACAATTAACACGATAACCACACCGTTTGAACACCCCTAAACATTCCTCCCCTGCTTTGTCTTTAGGCTACCAGACTTTGGGCTCCAACATCACTTGACTCCACTCCTCCTCTCTGCCCTCCTTGCTGTCACCAGCATCATCAATCGCGACCTCGACGTCGGTGCTTTTCTCGTCGGCGGCATCCTCGATCTTCTACCTCTTCGACACTGATCCAATTTCAGGGCCGGGTACCGGAGCCGATTTGTCGCTTGAGGGTGCGAGATTTGCATCCAAAGGCACAAGCGGTGGGTGTTGGGCATCTTTCGTCCTGCAGCTTCAAGCTCTCTTGTCTCGTTGTGGTCGAGGCTCGTTTCCATTGGGTTTGCTTCAGATTGTCAGGAGTGGCTATGGTAGGCGAGAAAAGTGGAGAGGCAAGAGGAGAAGCCGAGAGGTTTGGGGAGTTAGGGTTCCTTAGCCTTGGCGACGGTACAATTGTTATGAGAGACAGTTACCTTATTGCCTTCATTAAAGTGTTGGCAGGATGCTAATATAATAGGGTGTTAGCACCCTATTTGCTCCTCATTTTTAGTCTAACTTTTTGTCTTTTCTTTCCTAATTATCTTATCGCCCCTATTACCTTACTTATGTTTAACACTAACAAAACCCGAGGATCGGATGTATTGACACACTATTCCATTAAAAGAGATATAAACTCAATATATATTAGTATGGTGTACATTTTTAAAAATATTTTATAACTAATTTAGATCTTTTAACACACTTTTCTGTTAGATCTTCGTATAGAACTCCATTCCAAGCATGTATACACACTAGCAAGAGATGAGGTTAAGAAGCATAAATTGGTAAATAACAAATTTGAATGAAAATATCACATCAACAATACTACTACATATAATTCATCAAAACGTGCTATTTCATGCAAATATCACATAGCAAATAACATGTATTGTGACATATGTGGTATTGTGTGTGGTAATTGGTCCCAAATAACATATTTGGCAAATACTACAGCAATAAAACAATGGTAATTATATTGTTAAAGTGAAAAATATAAAAATAAACTGTTATGAACAATGCACACATTATAACAATCTCATTTAAACTATGGCTAAATTATAAGTTTGGTCACTCAAATTACATAAAAGTTTCACGTTTGCCACCCGAATCACTTTTCTTTCTGATTCACCCCTAACTTTACGTATCCTTTCACCGTTAGTCACCGACCGTCAGTCTCCGTCAGACTCCGTTAACTCTGTTATTTTTTGGATGGTGTGGCAAACAGAACTGATGACTAGACCATTAACTTAATGACATGGAAATTTAAAAATAAAAATAAAAAAGCCCCCTCTCTGTTCTTCTTTCTTCCTCGGCTTTTTAGCCATGGCCTGTTTCAAATTGAAGAAACTGAATCTCGTTCCAAGTCTCATCTCCAATCTCCCAACTCCACTTCTTCTTCTTCCACCTACAGACCCACCTCTATCTCCCCATTCCATCAACTCTTCTTCACCGCATCGCATAATATCTCCATCTATTTCTCAAAAAATCCATATCCGCCATGGCCACCCCAACCTTCGAACACCCCAGCCTCCCTAGATCCGGGTCGGCATGCCTGGTTCACTAACAGGTGATCAGGGTTGGTCGTCGTCGGACAAGCCATCTTCCAGAACTCAAAAGCACCTTCCCTGAACCCCGATTTCTTCTCCTCATTCCCTATAAGATATTTTCCCCAAAAGTACAGATGGATTAAAATCACCCTAGCAAATCGAATCCCTCCGAATCCTTCCTTGCCGAACCTAATAACCATTTGATCCGCTATATTCGTGTCGTTGATGTCCCATGCGACGAACACCGAGTCGAAATTGGCATGCTTGTTGAGTCAATCCTCAGATCCGTCGCTAGAGGAATGGGAAGCGATCCATTTGAGCGCGACCCATGAATCCTCGTACGCAATGGTGAAAGGGTTTTCAAGGGCTCTCCGGTAGTCGACGGAGCCGGCAATGCCATTGGCCTCAGCGACCAAGGTGTTGAGGTAATTGTGTAGATTGGGGAGAAGGCGGATTCGATGAGGAAGGCGTCACCGTGGTATTAGACCAAGACGGTGAGCTTCTCTCCACGTATGGTTTGCTTCGGGAGGTAGATTCTTGATCGGAGAATCACATCCCCCCGCCCTCGCTAGCGGAGGAAGAGGAGTAAAAAGAGTTGGTATTTCAAAACTGGAAGTAGAGATCAGATGATTTTATTCCTCTGTCGAGATATTTTATTATAACCATACCGAACATCTTTGGAATGGAGGGTGGATTTGGGATCGTAGAGAGAAGGCGGGACGATTTTGATCCCCGTGAGGCGCTGCACGGTGCCATCTTTAGAGATGCGGAGGAAAGGGAGGCACTCCCTGACAGGCTCGAAGTGGTCGTCGGAGGCTGAAGAGGTCACTTTGCGAAGGTTTAACTGGACAAGGGAGACATAGGTGGGTCTGGGGTGGAAAAAGAAGAAGGGGAGTTCAGAGATGGGACTTGGAATTGGAGATGGAAGAGCAAAAGGGTTGGGAGATTGGTGACGGGATTGTGTTTCCCTAATTTGGAGGAGGCCATGACTAAAGTCAAGGAAGAAGAATAATTGAGAGAGCACATATTTAATTTTTTTTAATTTTCATGTCATTAAGTTAACGGTCCAGTCAGCAGTTTCATTTGTCACGTCATAAAAAAATTGACGGAGTTAACAAGGTCTGACGGAGGCTGACGACCGGTTACGTGTGGTGAAAGAATTCGTAAAGTTAGTGGCGAATCAAAAAGAAAAGTAATTTGAGTGACAAATGTGAAACATTTATATAATTTGAGTAACCGTCTAATTTAGCATTTAAACTATAACCAAACCAAATGATTCCAAATTTGAGAGCCAAAAAATCAAAGTAAGCATAGGGAATCCAGACTAACCAAAAAACAATAACTAACTCCAAAACTAAGATTTGTAAGCCACAATAATGGGTTAGGGTGATTACTTCTTTTTTAGTAATCACGATGACAACCTCTTTATATACCATTAGATTTTATATTTTCCCTTCTTTTTTAATCTTACGGTTATGATTCTTTTATGGTAATTTTGGAAATGAAAATGTGACCACACCCGATTATTCTATATAATCTACCCAAACCCTAGTTCTACCCTCTCTCCAGCCAAACCCGTCGCAGCCGCCTCCACCACTCCGTCGCACCAATCCCGCTGGCCGCCTACACCAGCCCCTCCCCTCGGTCACCCTCGACGACCCTCGGCCACTCCCGATCTTCCGGTGAACTCCCGGCGGAACCATTGCTGCTGCCGTTCAGCACGTCGCGGCCCAAAGGAAGAATCAACCTCGCAGGAGCATCAGCTGCTGCGGCGGCGGCAAAAATCGTGGTCTCGTTGTGGAGACACAATAAAAAACTTGCCTGGATTTTCTTCTGGGGAGATTCCAATCCCGTGGACACAATCAAAATGGTATAATTTGTTTTTCATTGGAATTTCAGAGACGCTGTGGTGGGGTGAGATGGTGATGATTTGGTAAATTTTTGGTTTGGTATTGATTCATTGTTTTGTATTATGAAATGGTATAGTTTGTTTTTCACAATGGTATTGATTTGATTTCATAATAGTAGTGGCATTGATTGATTTTGATATTGGTTGATTCTTGTAATGGTATAAAGTGTTTGTATTGGTAGTTTTAGTTTATTGGTATTGATTTATTTATGCAATGGTATTGTTTTGATTTCGCAGTAATATTGGTTGTTTTGGTATTTATTTGACTTTTGTAATGTTATAGATTGTTTATATTGGTAGTTTTCGTATAATGGTATAGATTTTTTTCTGCAATGGTATTGATGTTTTTTAAAATGGTAGTGGTTGTCTAATGGATTGGTAGTGATTTCGTGTTTTTTCTTTTGCAGAAAGATTGAGAAAAATATGGAAAGAAGATCTAGCTGGAGATTACGGAAGTGAGAGAAAGAAATTGAATTGTAATTAATAAATTTTTGTAACTACCTAAAATGTAATTTATTAAAATTAAATAATTAATATAATTTATTTTTTCATACCCAATTTATTAAAGTAGTAATCACCATAACCGCTCCCCACAATAACACACAACTTTTGGATTCACGAACCTCTAAATAAGCAGGCATGGGAATTGGAAAATAAATGCACGAATCCCAGGGCTCGGCCAACGTTCGCTTTCATTGCATGTAAATGTGGGGATCGGGAAAAACGGCCGGCCATATGGGCGATTAGGTGAAGAGAATTAATGAGTGGAGGTAACAGCAACACTCCTTCCACGCGTGCAACTTCTTTCTTTCATTGAAAAATCTGCTTGCTAATCAATAAAAAGGAAGGGAGAAGGAAGAAAAATGTAGCCGTTGTTTGATGCCTCCTTGCTAACAATTATCCTTGTCTGCCGTGCCGACATACATTACAAGTCTCTCATAAACTAATAATCCCTTTGTCAACTGATATATTATAGCAACCATAAAGTCTCTATGATACCGACTTGGACAAAGATGATGTGTAATAAACTAATAATACTCCTAAACCTACTTAATTTAATTTAATTTAATCTATCCATCTCTTTGTTTCATTCTGTATCTCAACTGTTTCTCATCTTTGTCGTTTACGTTTCATCCTGTTTACGTGTAACTGCAAAAGTTCCTTCATGGAGTAGGAGTAGGGCACTCACGTGGATTTTTCATTTTGAGAGAAAGTGGCTATAGCTTGCTTTTGTATACTATAAGCAAATAAAGTTGCATTTATGGAGGGGAGGGGAAGGAACGAGAAATTCAGACATATTCGTTTTACTCGATTTGTTTGATTTATTTTGGGTGGATAACAGTAACATCCATCCTATAGGTATGCTGAAGCGGGTATATGTATTCTTCTCGACTTGATTTGCCCCATTCTTCACCCGTGTTTGTCTAAATTAAATGTAATTTCTAAAATTACTTAAAACTTTACTTTAATAGTTTTATTACCTCATATTGTAAATATGTGAAAATTTAAATTTCTTGAATAATTTAAAAACATTTATCATATTATAGTTTGATTCGTAATTTTTATAATGGAAAATTCCATATTTCATATATTTTTCTTTTACATTACATAATTATATGGATTGACATATCTCAACCCTCACTTCATAATAAATTACACAATCTAAACTAGAACGGAGTATGAATATGGAGATATCCACTAGTACCTACCCATTGCCATTCCTAGAGCCCAAATTCCAGAACCACCACATGCACCTAGGGATGACAATCAAACCCATGGTCGCGGGGAACCCAACCGTCCCCTATCCAGTCAACGCGGGGAATCCCTGCATTCACTGAGTAAGGGGCGGGTATGGGTAAAATTCGCAAAACATTTGATGGGTATGAGGCGGGTATGGTTTAGCCTCCCCCACCTCATACTCATACCCATACTCGCTCCACCAAGAACATATCTTCACATATAAAAAATACATGTATCAAATTGTAACATATCAATGATAGTGAAGGTAACTCCAGAAAATAAATAGTTGAAATGCAATTGAATGACCACCCAAATCAAAACCTAATTTATTTTCCTCAATCCTCCTTTCATTTTTTCATTTTTGCCCATGTGTGTAATAAGATTATGTTAGCTAGTTATTATTTAATAGATGTGTCAAAGTCATAGACTAATGATCTAGATTACATTGTACTCTACCTTATGGATTAATAGATGTTTGAGGATAAGATGTTTTGAACCGTATTAAGAATGATTGTCTCTTTATCGACTTCATGATATAATATGTGTGTTTAATGTTATAATTGTTAATGTATTACATGTAAAATTTTAGGTATTATAATGTTGGTCGTTGAATTTGAATGTACAAGGTGAATATTACCCATGGGTACCCGAAACTCATATATATAAGAATGAGTTTGCAAAACGTTCCTTTCCATGGGTATGAAACGGATATAAATATTTGAAAACCAAAATGATGATGATTTAGACAGACCCGCCTAGCGCCGATATAAGTGTTTGGGTAAAGTCCTATCGGATCGGGGAATAGAACCTATTCCCACTTTTCTCTAAAATAGCTCGCTGTTTGATGCCCTCCCCTCCCTCCCTCCCTCCCTCCTATCTGCCGCTGAACCAGAACAAGGAAGAAGATTAGAAGAAGCAGTAAGTAGACAGCTCTTCCGATTTTTCTTCTTCTGCCTTCTTTCTCTGTAATCTCATTCCTCCGCGTCCGCCATGCGAGCGGATGGACCAATGGCGTGCTCCCCGAAACTATACCTCTACTCTCCCCCAACCGCCAACCGAAGCGTCCTAGCTTTGAGCTTCAGCAGCTAGCTGCCCTTCTACAGAAAGCAGCTGCAGAAGAAGCAAAAGTAGAAGGCGTCGAGCAAGGTTTTCCCTCCTCTTCCTTTTTTCCACTGCTTCAACTCCGGCCAGTTCCCTCGCCGTCGCGGCAAACCGCGGCGGAAGCTATAAGCTAAAGCTATTATCAGCATCGATCGATGGCGACGCTATCGGATATCTCGCTGTCGGCGGCGATCAATCTCCTCAGCGCCTTCATATTCCTCGTAGCATTCGCAATCCTGAGGCTCCAGCCCTTCAACGACCGCGTCTACTTCCCCAAATGGTACCTCAAGGGCCTCCGCGCCAGCCCCACCAACTCCAGCCGCGGCGCCGTCACTCGCGTCGTCAATTTGGACTTCCGCTCCTACCTCCGCTTCCTCAATTGGATGCCGGAGGCTCTCAAGATGCCCGAGCCGGAGCTCATCGACCACGCCGGGCTCGACTCCGCCGTCTACCTCCGCATTTATCTCCTAGGGTAAACATCGCTACGACTCGCCGTTGTTTTCTATTCTAGCTACGATTTCCTTGGATGGCTCACTGGTCCTAATTGCTATTGAGGTCGGATATTGCAGGCTCAAGATTTTCGTCCCTATCGCCTGCTTGGCCTTCGCTGTGCTCGTCCCGGTTAATGTTACCAATCACACCCTTGACAAGGTTGCCAATGTTACCGCCAGCAACATTGACAATCTCTCTATCTCCAATATTCCACTTGAATCTCAACGGTAATTTCTTGGCAGCTCACCTCTCGCTCTTGTTTACTTTGAGCTTAGCTTACTAAATTTAGCACTGGAACTTGCAGGTTCTGGGCGCATATAGTGATGGCTTACGCATTTACCTTTTGGACCTTGTATGTATTGATGAAAGAGTATGAGAAAGTTGCTTCGATGCGATTGGCCTTCCTTGCCTCTGAGAAACGCCGCCCAGATCAATTCACGGTAGCTTTTGATTGGTCAAGCATAATGGGATTTTTACAACTAGCTCGTTTTTTTTGGTGGTTCCTCCTTTTGACAAACGCTGATTGCTACTCTCCCTCTCAGGTCCTTGTTCAGAATGTGCCGCCGGATCCTGATGAATCCGTGAGTGAGCTTGTGGAACACTTCTTCCTGGTCAATCACCCAGACCACTATCTCACTCATCAGGTAGAATTTTGCTCTTGAATCAATGACATACCTCGAAATATTAATGGATGAAGTAGAGTATACTATGAACCATCTATGACCACACTGATGCAGAACTATCCTTTACTCCCTATAATATTCTTGGAACCCATACTTCATGTTAGTGCTTGTGATTTCTATTTCTCAACTGGGTTTGAAGCATTGTGATATTCTATTTCAGGAGGTATACAACGCAAACAAGCTAGCCAGCTTGGTGAAGAAGAAGAAAAGCTTGCGGAATTGGCTGGACTTTTACCAACTCAAGTATTTCAGGAACCAAGCTCAGCGCCCTATGATCAAGGTGGCTGCAACAGAATCTTTATTTACCTATGAGTACTTCCTTCTTGTTTTGAACTTGGTAGTTGCATGAACTCGAATGAGACGGAATGGTTCATTACGCAGACTGGCTTTTTGGGATGTCGGGGAGAAAAAGTCGATGCTATTGATCTGTACACATCCAAGATTGAGAAGATATCCATGGAAGTAAGTTTGTAACTTCACCTATAATCGATGTAGTCAGTTTACATGTGCTGCACGTTCTTCTACCTTCTTGCTTGCACAAACGGCCACATGTGGCCTTTGACCTTGATTATTGTGTTTCCTGGGATTTCAAGTGGGATTATGAGACATTGATGTTTTAGCACTCTATTTCGTGGCTACCTTTTGAGATTGATCTGTTACTCTATGGTTGATGCCTTGAAAAGGACTTGCTTGCTCTGGAAGTACCAATTAGCTATGGCTTTTATTGAGGGGCTGACTTAACTGTTTGAGATTTATATATTCAGATAGCTGAGGAGAGGGCAAGGGTGGCGAAAGATCCAAAGGCAATAATGCCAGTAGCTTTCGTCTCATTCAAAACTAGATGGGCTGCAGCTGTTTGTGCTCAAACTCAGCAATCAAGAAACCCAACTCTATGGTTGACTGAATGGGCTCCAGAACCACGCGATGTATATTGGCAGAATCTGGCCATTCCTTACGTGTCTCTCACTATCAGGCGGCTTATAATTGGAGTTGCATTCTTTTTCCTCACCTTCTTCTTCATGATCCCCATTGCGATGGTGCAATCTCTGGCAAGTATCGAAGGAATTGAGAAGGCAGCACCTTTTCTGGAGCCTATAGTCGAAACGTCAGTTCCATTTTCTCCAGTCCAATCTCGGATTGATGTTTTCATTCATTACTTGACTATTTTTAACTTTGCTTCTTCCCTTTCTTCTGCAGGGACTTTATTAAGTCGTTTATCCAGGGCTTCCTACCTGGTATCATTCTCAAGCTATTCCTGATCTTCCTACCAACTATACTGATGATGATGTCCAAATTTGAAGGCTTTAACTCCCTGTCCTCTCTGGAGAGGAGATCGGCTACCCGGTTTTACATATTCAACATTGTGAATGTATTCCTTGGGAGTATAATTGCTGGAACTGCATTCGAGCAGCTGAATACTTTCCTGAAGCAATCCACTAGCGAGTACGTTATTCCAGGAACTTCGATAAGCTTTTTTTCTTTGCCTTGGATTACTTAGCTTGTTGCACATAATCTTAAACGCCCATCTTGTTTGCGTTGCAGTATCCCGAAGACAATAGGTGTGGCGATCCCCATGAAAGCAACTTTCTTCATAACCTACATAATGGTCGATGGCTGGGCCGGCGTTGCTGGAGAAATCTTAATGTTGAAGCCGTTGATATTTTACCACTTGAAGAACTTCTTCCTGGTGAAGACTGAGAAGGATAGAGAAGAAGCTATGGACCCGGGGAGTCTTGGTTTCGACACAAAAGAGCCCCGGATACAGTTCTATTTCCTCCTAGGGCTTGTCTATTCAACCGTGACTCCTGTCCTCCTCCCCTTCATCATCATCTTCTTTGCCTTTGCTTACGTTGTCTTCCGCCACCAGGTAACTAACTAATCAAGTTCCCTCCTAATAACAATCTTCTATAAGCCAGTTGTGGTTCTGATGGTTGCTCTGTGAAGTTAATTTATGAGCAATGTCCAAACTCTCATCGCTGCAGATCATAAATGTGTACAACCAAGAGTACGAGAGCGCAGCGTCATTCTGGCCAGCCGTCCATGGTCGCGTGCTCATCGCGCTGATCATCGCGCAGCTGCTGATGATGGGGCTGCTGAGCACCAAGGGAGCAGCACTGGCCACTCCATTTCTAATTGCTCTGCCTGTGCTGACATTTTGGTTCTACAGATTCTGCCAGGGAAGATACGAACCAGCATTCGTCAGGTACCCGCTGCAGGAAGCGATGATGAAGGACACTCTGGAGCGGGCCAGGGAACCCAACCTGAACCTGAAGGGATACCTTCAGCAGGCGTATGTTCACCCGGTTTTCAAGAGCGCGGATGAAGACGACGACGACAACGTGGAGGATGATGAGGATGGCGATCTGGCTTACTTGAGCGGGAAGATCGACGGTGACACGGCGCTGGTTCCGACGAAACGGCAGTCGAGGAGGAGCACCCCAGCTCCCAGCAGAGTGAGCGCAGGGTCCTCGCCGTCCATGTCGGAGGAGAGAAGTCATGCTACCAAGGGTGGCCCTCCTGAACCGTAGCAAAGCCGAGTGAAGAAAGTGTAGCCTTGTAAGTAGAAGAACCCCGAGGTTGTTGTACCTTGTAAGTAGCGGTGGAGAGAATGTGTAAAACGACAGCGCTTTCCTTCTTGTATAGCGTTGTGGACTTGCGGTCCACTTGTTGTGGAACTTGTGGGTACATATATTAGAAGCACTAGTGCACTACTAGGCCTGTCAGTTCGGGTTTGGTTTAAATTGAAACCGTTTCATTAAGAACACTTTCGGTTTTGGGTTTGACCGAATGCATGTTAGCAGTTTTGGTTTAACCCGAGACACAGATAAGAACGTGAAACCCATTAACTCAAAGAAACCGGGTTTGGTTCCCCTAAAGATGATTTGGCTTGGTTTCGGTTTACTTTAATTGAACCTAAAATCAAAAAAATCTCTTATTGATTTCAGATTCAGTTTCAAAGTGTAATGAATTTGGATTCCCATGGTTTTCGGTTCGGATACCCGAACCCGAGCGAAACCGACACTCCTAAGCACTACCACCACTACTGTTTGATTGCCTGGCATGTATCTCCTCCACGGATGCATTCTAATTCGCCTATCTTCTTTTGTGTCTAAAAGGAATTCAACAACGTTAGATTTTTGCAAGTATTTTAAAATTGTATCGATAATTGTATTGATAAAGTTAGCGGTACCGTAAAAGTTACATGAAATAGTTATTGGACAATGATTCAACCTGTTTATATTGCTAAAAATTGTCTGGCGATTTAATTAGTTTTGGTTGGAAGTTTTTAAATCCGACCATAAGTACAGCTCGGTTTCACAAACATCGGGTTTTTGTTCTGGGCAGTTGGTGACATCACTGACATGGCAGTTACACTTGGTGCCTCCAAGGTCTGCCACGTGTGAACAGAAGGGTGTCAGCAGTTTAGCTGGCAATTAGCTTCTTGCGAGTGAGTCGTAATTCAATTATGGAGGCTTGCCACGTGTGGACAGAAGTGGTATTAAAACTGTTACCTACTGGGCACTAGATGCCTAATTAGCATTACCTTGGGAGAGGTCAGCATGACAAGACCATCAACATTTCTGACAACAAAGTCTCAAAGTCTGAACTCAACTATATTCTCTATTTTAGTGCTAGACCATCAACAACCACGTTAACTATTTTATTTGTAGCCCCTACCGCCACCTATACATTTTTTACAATTTCATATTTTTATTTCTATTTTTTCTATATTTATGAAATTTACTTTCAATTTTATATGGTGAGCCATATTCACATTTATAATACAACAAATAATTTGTATACTCTTTAACCAATTGAAGTGACCCACTTTGCCTCTTCTATAATGAATTTCATCTAATGAAATCTTTAAAAATTAAATAACAAGCTACAACCATGAAATTAATAATGAAATTGTCATGTCACAATGAAATGGGGAAAATACACCCATTGTGGATGTTCTAAGTCCTAGTGTAACTAGAAGTCGTTGGTTGGGTGGAATTGACTGTGAAATTCCAACATGCGTGCGGTTGATTAAATGCACATATCTTTTTGTTATAGGTTTTTCAAATTGGAACGAAATAATGCAACCCTAACTATTCATTGGGTAAGAACTATTTCTACTATACATATAATACGCCGAAGGGGAAAACAGCTTCCCCATTTCAAATTTCCTGCAACGAGAGTGAAAGTAGGAAGGACATTTTGGTCTTCACAATAACTTTTTTTTTGTTCATTAAAAAGACACATACTGGGATTCGAACCATGACCATTTTATAGGAAAGCAAAGATTATAACCAATCATACTAAGTAGATTTGTTGTATCTTTTTAAATTAAAAACATATAATAGCCGGGAGGAAAAAACTCTTCCCCTATTTCAAATTCCCTGCTCCAGGAGCATTTGTAGGAAGGGTAGAATAGGGAGTGTCAATTTTTTTCTCTTTCCTCTGTGGAACGGGCCAACTTACCGTACACATGCGGATTTAAACGGGTCCAAGAGTGTCAATTTTTTTCTTTAAGCTCTTTTATTTCTCCGTGGTGATAAAATATATATGAAAAGGCAAAAATAATAATCCTTTTTATTGTTAAAAATAAAAAAGACACGTACTGGGATTCGAACCATGACAATTTTATAGAAAAGCAAGGATCATAACCAATCACACTATGTAGATTTGTTGTATCTTTTTAAATTAAAAACATATAATAGCCGAGAGGAAAAAACTCTTCCCCTATTTCAAATTCCCTGCTCCAGTAGCGTTTGTAGGAAGGGATAATAGGGAGTGTCAATTTTTTTCTCTTTCCTCTGTGAAACGGGCCAACTTACCGTACACATGCGGATTTAAACGGGACCAAGAGTGTCAATTTTTTTCTTTAAGCCCTTTTATTTCTCCGTGGTGATAAAATATATATGAAAAGGCAAAAATAATAATCCTTTTTATTGTTAAAAATAAAAAATTTAACAATAAACTAATGAATGGTATCTAATGGCTAACCGCTAACCATAAAATAAAAAGTTGAATGGGTCTGACCTACACGGGATTTGTCCATCAAGTAAAACAAATGAACATCATTGGTTTGTCATTCTAAAACAAGTTATTTTCTCTAACATAATATATATTTTGCTATTATTTTATATCTTAGTGGCTAAAATATAATGTATTTTAAAGTTATTCAATGGTTCAACCTTGACCAACCCAATTAGTCCAATTTTTATCATTTCAAATATATATTATATAATTATTTGATATAATAATGATCAAATTATAGTGTATTTTATAGGGAATCGTTTGATATTTGTTAGTAAAAAACTAAACAGAAAGATCTATTTGGTTATTTTAAACATTAAAACGATCCTAAACATTTTCAGTTCCTTTTGAATTTCTATGGTTTTATTCCCGAATAAGTGATGTGCAAATGGCGAATTGCAGTCATCTCTTTTCTTTCACTATTTTTTATTTTCAAATAGAAAGTTTAAAATTAAAGAATAATTAGGATTTGGCATGGGTCGGTCAAACAGGCTGAATTTCAAGTTTTGGCCCGTTTATTTTATGCATTGCAAATTTATTAGCATGTTGATGGAAATGTCTTGGAAAAAAGACATATAAGTTGTACCTTTGCAGAAATTTCCTCAAATGTTTGAATGCTTTGCGAATCAGGTTCCGTGACTTTTGTGATGGTGTATGTGCTTGACGATTGCTCGATGTTGTAACTACTTAATTTGAGAGTAAATCTTTGATTTTCCCTATGAGTTGTGATACCAGTTCTGGTGGTTGCAGCATGTTGTCGTTGTTGGCCTCTAAAAGTTGTTCCGTCATGATGCTAAATACCTTTCTTTCTTTTTTAACAAATTGTGTAGTAGTGCTATTAAACAGACCACCCATGAACGCTACGCTTATTATGGTCTGTTCTTTCCGGTGGTGAGAAATTGTGAATTGAGAATCATATTCGCCTACCGCACTGTGTCTGGCTGGTGGCTGCTTACTGTGCTCTCTAGAGTTATGAAACAGACTACCCATGAACGTTACCCTTAAGAGTCCATAACTTTGCGAAAACCCAAATTTAGGCAATCAAAGGTGGTGGATGTGTGATGATTTTTTATGGCTTAATTGTTTGTGAATTGGATATCTGATCTTTGTATGATTAGAGGGGATGTTTGCTTAATAGAATAATCCATTTTAATTCATGTTTATTTTTAACATGAACTTTAGTAACTCAAAACCTTCGAGACACATATCACATACTGCATTGTATCATCTTGCCTGGGTGCTTGCTGTGTTGTCAAACTTCTTTGCTGTTGCTGCATTTACACTAACAGGGGAGTTAAGAACCCATGAATGTTTCCGTTTGACACAAATAGGAGGACTTGCTTCTAAACCGTGCACTAAAGATGATTGGAGGAAACATCTCTGTTGCAGTTGATATACTGGAGACCAGAACAAAAGCAACGTATAACATCAAAACCAACCATCTGAACTATTATTAGCATTGTTGCTTTACTCTTTTTTCGTGGTTGAGTCTCCTTCAAAAAATTTAGTTTGATTTTAGAAAATTTTGCTTCTGCAGTCCTGTCTTGCCACCAACGCGTTCAGTAGATGGAGATGGCAGAGGCGAAGGCTATTTTTGTGTTGTTGTTGCTGGTTTAGGGATCGGTTTGTGAAGAAGAGGGAGAAGAGAGGGGGAAAGGGAAATGCATGAGAGGGGGGATAACTCTTTTCTCCGACAAAATTGGAGTGAAGAAAGGAATTGTGATCAGTAAGGATATGGTTATCTTACATAACAGTCTCTATTCTGTTTGAATTGAGCTTGGGAGGCAGTGATAAAGACGAGCTGCAACCAATTCATAGTGAGAAGAGAGCTATGAACTGTGATCATGTCTTATTTCAAGTTAGAAGGTAGTTTCAGTATAAGGATTATTTAATTTGACAAGTTGTTTCGTCCATGATTCTTGGTAGTTTCATTGCCATTCTAGCCATTGTTTAGTCTGTAATTTTTTAGAATTGATGTGCGAGTAATGACTTTCACTTAGCTTCAACTATTATGTGTGTATTTATTGGCATGTGATAGAATTCTCTTTTCCTTTTCTTTGAATTTAGTTTCATAGTCTAATTGTATCATTTGTACATAGGCAAATCATGCTCGAGATGACAACTCGCTTATATGGCTGGTGCAAGGGATGCAGCCATCATTAGAATTCATACCAACAACGGGGAGGGATGCCCAGGACTAATTCAATGATGATTGATGATGGTATAATAAAAACTGCAGTCTGCATCACCACCAATTTCTAGGCCTAAGTAAAGTTATTCAATCCAAAACTCTGCTTAGCGCTAAAAATTGCCCTCACCCAACCTTGATCCTGTCACACTTCTGAAGAGTCAAGATATATGACTAATCCTCTCCGTTCGTATTTTCTTATTGACTCTTTCTGACCCTTTAGGTTTGGGCGGGTCGGGAAGAATCAGATTAGTGGGTCGATCCTAATCAAGTGGAATCCCAATCCCTTCACTCTCACTTGCTTTCTCTCCCATTCCACAAGTGGGTGACATATAGTAATCCGGCCAACGGGCCGGGTAATAAGCTAGTTATTTTAATAGCGGTGAAGTGAAGGAGTGAATGCAAGTCAGCCCAGTCGGACGGATGGCGCAAGATTTTGTCCAATTCCATTATTACATTCATCCACCCTCATTAAACAAACGGGGAAAACGTCACAATCTTCTCCGACTCCAAGGGCCCCTTCGGGTACTAATTCTAACAGAAAGAACCTAAAAACCAGCGGCCGCCACCCTCCGTGTCCCCACCCCGCACCCGACGCCGCCACCGCTCCACCACCGGCGATTATCCCATTTCCTTCTCTCCGAGATCGAATTCCCCCATCCGCTCTCCGGCCGCTGCTTCATCTGGTCTCTTCCCCTTTCCCACAATCTCATGGAATTTAGCTGACCTTTTTCTCTCCCCCAGTCAACCTCGATTCTTTCTCCACCAATCAATTTCAGGGGGTTTACTGTTACATTCCCGTTTTCTAATCGCAGTGAGGAAGAAGAAGAACACAAATGTCAGCTGCAAAGATCGCCAAGCCGCATCGCCTGAATCGAACTCCTCCTCCGCCGCACCACCACCGGCGTCGCAGTAGTAGCATCGGATCCCCCTCCCCGAACAGGCATCGCATTGTTTTCGACGACGACGACGACGACTGGTTGCCGATTTCCGCCGGAGCTAAATCGGCTGCATCGCGCGGGAAGAGGACGAAGGACAATAACAATCAAAATAAGAAGAAAACTGGCGCGTCTCGCTCCCAATCCCCGACGACGATTCCTAAGCGGCGGAGGATCGCTTTAATCCCTGATTCCGACGACGATTCCGTTTCGAATAAATCCGACTTACTCATGGAGCGACTCTCCATCTCCACTATCAGAGATCGCGCCAGAGCCAGGTCGCTATCCTCTTCTTCCGATTCGTCACCATCGTCATCGAAATCGTCTTCGTCTGCCGCTGCAGCTCCAGAAACACCACCGTTAAACGTCACCGCCGCCTCCTCTGCGAGGCTTCTTCAGGTGCTTTCTTGTTAATTCAACGTAAGTTATTGCTCTCTGCTTATGGAATTGCAATGAACTGTAAACAAACGTGTGAATGTGTGCTTCTTCCTGTCTAATTTCCTTAAGCGGTCTAGAGGAGGAGGAGGAGCTGCCGTGGCGCCGGCGATCAACAGATGCCATCAGTGCTTGAAAGCTGAGAGGCAACTCTACGTTCGGTGCTTCAACTGTGCCAAACTCTATTGCTTGAGATGCATCAAGCTATGGTGAACATTTAAACACTGATGAAGTGAATTAAAATCGAAAGAGCAATGGTGGACAGCAAGTGATGGGGGGAAGTTGTGTTCAATTGATGCAGGTATCCTGAGCTGAAGGATGTAGATATAGCACAACAGTGCCCATTCTGTCGGAGAAATTGCAACTGCAATGCGTGTCTTCACTCCGCTACCCTGATCAAGGTAACTCCCCCAGTCTCTCCTCTTTCACCGAATCGCCATTGTGACATTGGAGTTAACAGCAGCATTGTTCACAAACCTTTTAGACCTCCAGAAGGGAGCTCTCCCCCTGTGAAAATATTCGGCATTTGGGTTATCTTATCAACTCACTTTATCCCTTCCTTCAACAAATCTGTGACCAACAAGAACAGGAAAGACTAGCAGATGCTACCTTTTCTGGTAAACCCTTCTCATGCCGTTTTTCTGTGAATCTGGCTTAAGAATGTTCATACTCTTTTCTGCTATACAAAACTGAAGGCCTGTGTGTCAACCCAGCTTCCCCTTCTGAAGTACCCGAGAACTTCTGTAACAATGATGAGCGAGTCTATTGGTAACATACCCTTCCTTCATCCCTGCTTGGAGTAACGTAGGAATGTGTGTTTCACTGTTAGAGAACTTGTATGCTTACCGCTGCTGCATCTTCGTTTGCAGCAACTACTGTGCAACCTCTATTGTTGACTTTCATCGATGCTGCCCCAAATGCAACTTCGAACTGTGCCTCGGTTGTTGTCAAGAGATCCGGGATGGCAGCATCTTGAGTCGTACTGAAATGAAGTTCCAGTATGTAGATCATGGCCTTGACTATATGCATGGTGGAGATCCATTGAATTGTTTTCCTTCTCAATTTCCTGAAGGTATGACCGAACCTTCGATTGCATTGTTGTGGAATGCTAACAAGGATGGGAGCATCCCTTGTCCTCCTGAAGAGATTGGGGGTTGTGGTGATTCGGTATTGCAACTCAAGCGTATCTTCCCGACTGGATGGATTTCTGATTTGACTGAGAAAGCAAGGAAGTTCCTTGGGACTAGCGACACTAGACAGCAGAGCCTGCCTTGCAAATGTGGTGAAACCGGGAGAGAAATGGTAAGGAGAGCAGCTTCGAGAGAAGCGTCCGAGGATGATTACTTGTACTGCCCTGTTTCAGAGGACATTATAGAGGAGGAAGATCTTCTTCACTTTCAGAAGCACTGGGCAAAAGGGGAACCCGTTATTGTTCGTGATGTACTCGATGCAACCACTCATTTAAGCTGGGAGCCAAGGGTGATGATGCGTGCCTTATGCGAGAATGCCAATTCCGATATTAGTTCAAAGATGTCTCAAGTAAAGGCCATCGATTGCCTGGCTGCTTGCGAGGTTAATCAAAAGCATTTGCTGCCAATCACTTGATTTGATCATCAAATAAATTTTTGTTAGCTTGATTAAAGTGTGATTGCTATGGCTTTTGTGCTGACTTTGTCAAAACATGCAGGTGAAAATCAACACCCGTATGTTTTTCAAAGGCTATACTGATGGGAGAAGATATTTCAATCTTTGGCCTGAGATGCTGAAGCTAAAGGATTGGCCCCCTTCTGATAAATTCGAAGATCTTTTGCCTCGTCACTGTGACGAGTTTATCAGTGCACTTCCATTTCAAGAATACAGTGATCCAAAAGCGGGCATTCTAAACCTTGCTGTCAAGTTTCCCCATGTCCTCCTGAAACCCGACATGGGTCCCAAAACTTATATTGCATATGGGATGAAGGAAGAGCTTGGCAGAGGTGACTCTGTGACCAAGCTTCACTGTGATATGTCAGATGCGGTATGCTATTATGACTAATCCTTCTCTTGGTTGTGCCTTTGCTTATTTCGTATTGTCGCTTACATTACACGTACTCTCTTCTTCATTTTCAATCAATATGAAGTAGACCTTTCATTTATTACAGGTGAACATTTTGACTCATGTGGCTGAGGTAGAGGTAAACGAAGAGCAATCATTTGCCATTGAGCATTTGAAGCAGTTGCACAGTGAGCAGGATAGAAAAGAGCAAGTAGCACAAAATATTAGGGACAGTCATAACAGTAGGGGAATTAATAGTGAAGCAAAGAAGAATTCTGCTGACACCGAAAGGAGAGTCGATGATTCGGAAGAGTCTGGATGCATGGGTTTGCAGACAGAACAAACAGAGGACACAATTGGTGCTCTATGGGATATCTTCAGGAGGGAGGACGTCCCCAAATTGGAGGAATATCTTAGAAAGCACTCCACAGAATTCAGGCAAACATACTGTTGTCCTGTGAAGCAGGTTAGCTGATACGGCATGATGCCTCTTGTTAGTTGCAACTGGGGGAGATGATTATTAAATATGCTAAAGTCTACTTTTGAAACACAGGTCATCCATCCAATTCATGACCAATGCTTTTATTTAACATTGGAGCATAAGAAGAGATTGAAGCAGGAATTTGGTGAGTGCTAGAGAGGAAGAAACCACTCGATTATCTTCTCTGTGGTTTCCAACGTCATCTGTTTATGGCTTTATGCTGCTTTTTCCTAAGCTGTCCTTATAAACTATGACTGTAGGAGTGGAGGCTTGGACATTCCAGCAGAAAGTTGGAGAAGCTGTGTTCATTCCTGCAGGATGCCCGCATCAAGTCAGGAATCTAAAGGTAGTTGTTTCTTTGGGTACAATTTCATTTATGATCATGTGTCCACTCTCAAGCTATATCAGCCAGCATAGATGTAGTAGCTGATAAGGCTATCCACAAAGGTTAAAATTAGGGGTTTTAAGGCTAAAATGCAGTGTTATTAAAGCCGAGCCGTTCGGTCCGACCGGTAAAACCGCCACCTGGTCATAAAACCGGCTCGAAACAGTCTAAAAGTCGCTCCGGTTTTATGTAGCGGTTGGCGAGCGGCCGAGGCGGTTAACCGTTCGAGCCGATTGAGCCGCTGGTCCGGTTTTTGCCATTCAGCCACTAAATTTAATTAAAAAAATTGCAGAAAATTGAAAATTGAAATAAATAAAAAACGTAGGGCTCTCAAACTGAATACTTATTTTCATTTCACAATTTCGAAGGAAAGAGATGAGCTCTGATTAATAAATGTCCACTATTTATACTGATAACTTTTATTAGGTACCGGTTCTCTAACGATTTTTAAACGGTTTAATGCCGGTTAGACCACTAAAGTGCGAGCCGTTCGCATTACCGGGTCATGCTCCAGTTCGGTTATGACAACGCTAAAATGACATTTTAGCCTACTCGAAAACACAAACAACTCCAATCCTAAGACTCTAATTTTATGTTTAGTATTTAGTAATCATAACTTATGGATAGTTAAACTTATGTTATTAAGAGTGGAGTGCAGCGTTTTGGTCGTGACACATGTAGAAAGGCCGTGACCGCTGCATTGTTTTTGTTTTGGGACTTAAGTGTCCTGGTTTATTCCTTAACCCTAATCTGTAGGCTTATAAAGCCTACTGCCGTTGTATCTGAGGTAACAAAGACAAATAATAAAAGCCTAAGCCGAGAGCTGTCACTCTCCGTGGACTAGTCCCGTTCACATCGAATGGGCAAATCACGTATTTCGTTATCTTGTGTGATTGGTTGTTTCTTCGATTATTTTGTATTTTACATGGTATCATAGCGGTGAGATCCTATATGTTCTTTTTGTCTAATCTTGACGAAGTCCATCCCGCCGAAGTGGTTGCAGTATAAGCGCCGATCATAAGGGCGTTTCTGGGTTAGGCGACAATGATAAGTCACGTAATTCCTTGACGTTAATTATGTTTATTATCTTCCAACAGGGAATTATGGTGACTGGGTAATAGATATTTTTATTATTATTTCTGAGTGATATCAATAGAGGACAAGAGTTATTCATACAAATCTACCCAGGACCCCTTACAATATATACTAATGAAGCCACCCCAAAAAATTGAAAGATTCTAGCTCTAGACGAGACAAAAGCAGTGCTTTACGCGCCACTCTATGTGCAGCACTGTTGGCAGTTCTAGGTACCGCCCTAAACTCTATACAAATGGACAAAGAGCTAAGGATCTGACGACACTCTCGTAGCACCGGACCACCAATCGAGTCTTCTATGAAGCCTTGCTGGATCTGCTTGACGACCACTTCAGAATCACCTTCGACTATCACGTGAGTCAAAGATCTTCAGGTGATGATGGAAATAGCGTCTCTAATGGCTAGGAGCTTTGCAGGACTTTGTTTTGGCTAAAAACAAATTGTGTTTTGTAGACGGAACGTTGTCACAGCCAAAGGAAGAACGAGAATTGTGGCTTGGTTGCGTTGTGATGCAACAATCAAAGGTTGGCTAAAGTCCTAAATGACAACCGAGGTTAGGCGAAGCATTCAATTCACAAAAAAAAAAAAAAAAAAAAGCAAAATAGATATGGGACAATCTCCGTATGTGCTTTGATCAAGTAAGTGCGCCCGTCGCTATGAGTTGTGTCGCCTAATAGGCAGTTGCCTCAAGAGAAGCTATCTGTGTCTACTTACTATACTGAGCTTTGTTTCTTGTGGGAGGAAGCTTGGCAAATCTCGCCCACACCAACCTGTACATGTGGCCAATGCACTTGAAACTTGAAGAAACGTACTCATAACCGAGATGAGAGTATTCGTTTTTTCGACTTCATAATGGCATTGGAATACGTGTTTGCTACTGTGAAATATCAAATTCTCTCCATGAAGCAAACTCTGGCTATTATGGAGGCGTTTAACATGGTGGTTATCGATGAACAGTAATGAAAAATTGCTCAGAATCGCAAACCGCGTGTTGAGGTTACTACGTCACGGACACTCAATCACAGGGTAAGGCAGTCGGGGGGGGGGGGGGGGGGGGGGGGGGGGGGGGGGTTAGGTCTTGAGAACATTGATACACACCCTCTCCTAAAATTTTCTCATTGTTAGAAGACGAGCCATAATAAGGAAAGATGTTTTGAACTGATCGGTTATCCTCTGGGTGGCACTGATCGCGGTGGTGGCAAGAGAAATGGCGGCAAACGAGCATACTTCCATAGGTATATGCTCTCTTTCACTAAGTCGTGGATTTTAGATTCTGGGTGCAACAAACATATTACTAGTGATACTACTTTGCTGGCTATGGATGGTCGGGATTAGAGTTTGGATCTTAAGGTTCCCACTAAGGATTCAGTTGGGTACAATCTATTGGTTCAGCGAAGCTGCAAAATGGCATGGTTTTGCCGCTAGTTCTCTTGGTTCTGTAAGTGTAATTTGTTGTTAGTGAGTCGACTAACTAAGGATTTCCAATTAGCATTTATATTCTAACATGAATTCTGCGTCATCCAGGACTTACACTCCAGACACATGTTTAGGATGGGGAAACAAAGTAATGGTTCATACTACTTGCGGTTATTCAATGAATTTCGATTCGCTATGGTGCTTGCAGTTCAAAAGAATACCAGTAGTTCTCTTGATTTGTGGCACTTTTGGTTGGGCATCATATGCTTTTGACAAGTTGTCGATGTTGATTTTATTTCCTAGTAGTAGTCGGCTAGCTCAGAGTCATTGCCAAGCTTGTTGAGGGCTAAACAATGTCACACTCCTTTTCCTACGCATTCTATCAAGATTACTCGTATTTTTTAGTTGATTCATGTAGACATTTGGAATGAATATCATACAACTTTCTTGAGCGGGGCATCTTAATTTTGACTATTGTTGATAATTACAGTCGAGGTATCTGGATTTATTTGTTACGCTTCAACTATGAGGCGGGTCATTACTTGAAAATGTTTTATCAACATGTTGTCCAGAAATTTTCAGGTAAGGTGACTCGCATCTAGGCAGACAATGACTTGGAATTCCATACACATGAGTTGGATGATTAATATGACTCTGATGGAATCACACTTCAAACATCTTGTGTCAATATCCACAACAAAATGAGGTCGTTGAGAGAAAGCATCGACATTTGTTAGAGACAACACGAGCTCTTCATGTTCATGCACACCTCCCTATAGATTTTTGGGGCGAGTGTATCTTGACGGCTACCTACCTTCTCAATTTACTTCCCACTACAGTCACTCAAAAACGTACTCCCTATGAACATCTCTTTTGTCACAAACCTACCTACACACATCCGTGTGCTTTTGGTTGCCTTGCCTACGCCAAAGATACTACCTTTCACCTGGATAAGTTTGCTGAAAGGAGGAGAGCATGCGTTTTTATGAGCTATCCAACGACTCAAAAAGGGTATCGTGTCATGGAGCTAGCCATCCGACTGTTGTTCACTTCTCACGACGTGGTCTTTGTGGAAGACCAGATTCCTTTTGCTCCTTCATTTGGGCACCGTGAGCTTTTGTCTCTCGTCCCTCGTCATTAAGCATTTTATGCATAGAAAGATTTGCTCCTTTCTCACACTCCCCCATACAACTCAAAGTTGCCAGTGACTCCTTCCCCACCCCCAGGTGAGCAACACCTCATCTTGACCCTCATGTTGAGCTCCTAATTTGTCGCGGCGATCGTGCAAGTCGTCGTTCGGATTTTTGGTTCAAAATTATGAGGTCGACCTTCTTTCCTCTAACACTTGTCATACCTCTTAGAGTAAATACTCTTTGAGTGTTGTTGTTAGTTATGCACATTTGTCTCTTAATCAACGTGCTTATGTTGCAGCAATTTCCAAAGTGGTCGAGCCCTGTTCCTTCTACGCCTTGCAGGTTGTCGTCGTGTCCCTGGAAGCTAAGGACACGTGGGGTTTGTAGATTCCACCCCCTGGAAAGTGCATTATTGACTCAAAGTGGGTATACAAGATTAAATATAGTCGCGATGGGAATATCGAGCGCTACAAGGCTTGATTGGTAGCAAAGGAGTTTCCACAGGTTGAGGGAGTTGACTTCTATGATACGTTTTCACTTGTGGCTAAACTGGTCAATGGTCATTGTTTTATTACTCTTGCGGCTTAGCGTGGTTTGTTCTTGCATCAACTAACCGTCAATAATGCTTTCTTTCACAAAATTTTGGAAAAAGATGTTTGTATGTGTGTTCCGCGCGTCTTTGCTCGTATGGGACACCACTGAGTCTGTCGTTTGAGAAAGTCTCTATATGGTCTCTAGCAAGCCTCCAGGAATTGGTACGCAAAGTTCATCAATGATATTATTAGTTATGGTTTTAAAGTGTCGTGTGCTGATCACTCTCTTTTTACTTATTCGAAAGGGGATGTTTCCTCGTTGCCCTAATTTATGTTGATGACATAATTTTGAGAGGCAATTCCTTACTAGACATCTAGAAAGTCATGGATTTCCTAAATCAGCAGTTCAACATTAAAGATCTCGGGGAGCTGATGTATTTCTTAGGCATTGAAGTTTCGCGTTCTTCCAATGGTGTCGTTCTTACTTAGCATAAGTATGCTCTAGATATTCAAAGTGATGCATGCGTGACTGGAGCACGCCCTTGCCAATTTCCGGTAGAGCAGAATGCTCGCTTCACACTTCTAAAAGGTGAGGATGCGGCAGATCCCTCCGTGTATCGTCGTCTTGTTGGTCATTTGTTGTACTTTATAGTCACTCGTCCTAATATTATGTAATGTTGTGAATATTCCGAGTTAAGCGGGTATGCGGCAGGTTCATGTTGACGCTGCCAACCGGTGCTTCGCTATCTCAAATGAGCACTAGGACGTGGTTTTTTCCCCCTCGCAGGCACACCTATTTTGTCTGCCTTTTGTGACGCTGATTGGGGTGGATGTCAGCAAACTCGGCATTCGATTTCATCACTTTGAGAGCTATTCCGATTTCTTGGCGAACCAAGAAGCAAACGGTGGTAGCTCGTTCTTCAACTGAAGCAGAGTATCGCGCGATGACCAGCACCATAAGCGAAGTCATCTGGCTTCGTTGGCTGCTGCTAGAGCTTGGAGTTCGGTCGACTATCCCTACTCCTCTTCATTGTGATTTGTGACAATCAGGTTGCATTGCATATCGCAACCAATCCAGTTTTTCATGAACGGACCAAACATGTGAATAGGGATGACTACTTTGTGCCTGAGCACATTGCATTCTTAGACTTTTCCCTGCAGAAGATATCTACATATGAGCAATTGCCAATTAATCCATTAAAGGCTTGGGTGCCGAGCAGTTCATTTATCTTCGTTCCTTGGCATGCTCGACATTCATTCCTCTGGTTTAGAGCGTTCCCTGATTGCAACTTTGGCTAGCTCCATTGCTTCATACAAATATCCTGTTGTAGATCCATCACCATCTACCAAACGAAGAACACGATTCAAAGGCTCCAAAATACTCAAGACTTCTTATCCTTGAATCCAAAACTCAGGATCCTGAATAATACTTGTAACCTTTTTTGCTGCTTCTTTCTTGCTATAATCTAGACCTCTCCATTCCGCAGATGCAACAAATGGACGCAATTCATTCTCCACAGCAAATATAGATTGAAGCATCAAATAGTTGGAAACAAACCTGGTCACACATGGGCGCTTCAACTCCTTGTTGTAGCTTCTCTCATCAGTGTCAACACAATAGTGTGTACTTATACATATAAGTAACTATAGACTTCGCATGATCATAGACATCACAGACCCAATGAACATTTTCATATATATCACTAAGAAGAAGTTGAATTCCATGAGCTGCACAACGCGTCTTATACATACGCGGATACTTTCCAATAAGCATATCACCAGCTGACTCAAAATTGGAAGCATTATCGGTAATGAACTGAACCACATGATCAGCTCCAATGTCATCAATAACAGAAGACATACTATCTTTAAGAAATAAGCCGGTCTTTCGATCTTGAGAGATATCAAAGGAATTTAAGAATACTGCTCCTCCTAGTGAATATGCAATAATATTGATAAAAGACCGCTGCTTCATATCAGACCATATATCAGACATCAATGTACACCCAGATGTCTCCCATGGTTGCTTCACTTTTGTCACGTATTCTTCAACTTTTTTTTTTTTTTTTTTTGCATTCAGGAATCAATTTTGCACGAAGAGTTGAATAGCTTGGCAATTTATAACCAATACCATACTCAGCAACACCCCTCACGAAATCAACAAAGCTAGGAGTTTGAACAACATTAAAAACAACATTGTTCAAAACTATGTGTCTAGCTAGCAAGTTATCAACACCTTTTTTTCCCCTTGAACATGCTTGGAACAGATGATTGTTGCAAACCTATTGATATGGTAGATGCACAAGAATTATCAACCTTCTGGTTAAGGTTGCTTGATCCCCATCATTTTTAGCTTTCTTTTGTGAACGATTGACAGCTAAATAGGCTTTTGCTTGAACATTTTCGGGGACCTTCTTGCAAATTTCTATATCCCGTCCTCTAATTCTAGGGACACCTCCAGCAAAATCAAATTCACAAAACTTGCACTTGAATCTTCCATTTAGCTGATCGCCATAATCCCAAAACTTGTCCTTTTTCCGAACCATAACTTCGACGCCCTGACACAAATGTAACATATCATATTAATGAATTTGCTGTATAAGACTAAAACTCAGAATTTACTCGGTAGAAATATAAAAATGGATGAGACTTGGGAGAAAGAAACAAAGGATTAACGTGGCCTACATGCCTGCTGCCATGCCATCCTTCCAATTATCAAATTAAAAATATTTTAAGTTTTAAAGTAAAAGATGCAGACAATAATCACATGGGAAAATCTCCCAAGTTAAGCCATGTAAACAACTAAACATCTTAATAAAGAATTATGAAAGTTGGAATAATCTTTCTCTTTCAATGAGTATATATATATGTACGGAGAGAGGTTAATTAACGCGTATAATACGGACTGAACAATTAAAAAACGGCAAACGACATAAATTACACTAGAAATGGGCATACGCGTATTATACGCTCCCCCCCCCCCCCCCCCCCCCCCCCCCCCTTTTTACTAACTATGCCTGCAGATGCTAGTCCTGATACACTTGAAATTTCCTGCTAGGCAACCACACACCATCACCCAAATGAACGAGCAGCCCACCAAAACAGGATACTACAAGCACCCGTCAAAACAACCTGCAAAGGGAGCAGGGGCCATTTGGTTGACCAAGCCAAACCAAGCCCCCACACCACCCCGAAATGAGCACTCAACAAACAAACCCCACCTTTCTGAGGCCCAACCTCCTCCACCACATCAGCAAGTCACTAGAAATTGAAGCCCCTCTTCCTTAACCAGCTCGTAACCACATCCTTTTGAACTTCCTAGCCACCAAAGAAGAAACCCGGCTCTTATCTTCGAAAATCCTCTGATTTCTTTCAAGTCACACAAACCACCACACAGCATGAAGTAAGCATGAAACAAGCCACTTCTCCGTGTTGTTCAGATCCACACTAGGGCATTTTTTAATAGTCGTCACAATATCTGCCTCCTCCCCAACCGAGTTCAGCCCCAATCTGAAAATAATCCTCCACACGTTATTCACATAAACACATTCCAAGAACAAGTGAAGAATTGTCTCCTCCTTCTGCTGACACATAGCGCACCTATTCGCCAAGTTCCAACCTCTTTTTTTTCAGATTATCCACGGCGAGGAACTTATTATGATACACTAACCACAGGAAGAAACAAACTTTGCTTGGAATAATTCTTCTCCACACTTGACCTGCAGGAAACTCCTGAAAACCGTCAAGTTCATTCCTGACCAACTGCATGTATAAAGATTGTACCAGTGTTATTAAAGCCGAGCCGAGCCGCTCGGCCCGACTGGTAAAACCGCCACCCGGTCACAAAACAGGCTCGGAACAGTCTAAAAGCCGCTCCGGTTTTATGTAGCGGTTGGCGAGCGGCCGAGGCGGTTAACCGTTCGAGCCGATCGAGCCCCTCGTCCGGTTTTTGCCATTCAGCCACTAAATTTAATTAAAAAAATTGTAGAAATTTGAAAATTGAAATAAACCAAAAACGTCGGGCTCTTAAATTGAATCCTTATTTCCATTTCACAATTTCGAAGGAAAGAGATGAGCTCTGATTAAGAAATGTCCACTATTTATACTGATAACGTTTATTAGATACCGGTTCTCTAACGGTTTTTAAACGGTCTAATGCCGATTGGACCGCTAAAGTGCGAGCCGTTCTCATTACCGGGTCATGCTCCGGTTCGTGCTCCGGTTCGGTTCTGACAACATTGGATTGTACAGAGAAACGCCTATCTGAATCAAGAGTCCAATTCATTCTGCAAGGACTAAAGGAATTCTGAAAGAAGTCAATGGAACACAATAATTGGTTAAGATCAATACTCTCTTTCAGGTCTCAGCCCCACCATTGGTTTAACACTTTTTTGTTAAATCAATCTATATTTGATTTCGTCACTTTATTTTTATATAATGATCATTATTTTATGTAGTTAGTTATAATTACTAAGAACATTTTGATATATATATTTTTTAATTTCAACATAATTTTTTATCACTAATTATGTCAGTTGGGGACAAATACAAATCTAACAAACACTTCTTTACTTTCAACAAATAAAAAAAACATAACAGAAGGATTAACACCCCCCCCCCCCCCCCCCCACCCACCCATCGTTTCCCTTTTCGTCCACACCCTTTCCCCTTCCTTTTTTTTTTTGGATAAACTCCATTCGTTTCCCCTTTTTCCATCTTTCTCATCCATATTGTGGGGAAATTTCCCCTTTTTCTCATTTTATCAACATGCATTGTGGGTGGTCTAAACACTACATAAAAATAACTAAAAAATTAAAAGGATATAATTGAAAAGCAGTCCCCACAGCTTTTGCCCCCATTGTATATAATTGATTGTTTTTTTCTAGCAACCGTCCCCACTAGGAGTGTACAAAATGACAAAATATCTTTTTTTTTCACAAATATGCTTAAATGGGGCATTAATATGTTTTCGAGATGAACACTCGTGCCAATAGATGAAAAACGGGTGGGTTGGATTCTACGTGTTGTGTAACCCAAAATCCACACCAACTCAAAAGTGACGGGTTGTACAAAAGAAAACCCTCATCCAACATTAAACCTTAGTTATAGCGATAAATACAGGTGTGTTGGGTCGGGTTGGACAGATGAGTCGATTTGTGTGTCTTTTTGTTCACTCCTAATTCCCAATACTTTAGCTCTCTTTTAAATCATTAGTTTCTTTTTCTATAGGTGGTCTCCACAAATTTGGCCCCTTTCCAGTCCAACCCAAATTAAACCTAAAATGACCCTTTAAAATCCTATTTAGCCCCCCTTTTAGAGATATTTTGGTGACTAAAAGTGTATTTTAGTCATTAGGTTGTGGAGAGCTTAATAGTGAATGACAACATTGTCATTATTGTTGTTTGTTGTGATCATGTGTCCACTCTCAAGTCGTGCACGAAAGTCGCCGTGGATTTCATTTCCCCGGAGAATGTGAGAGAGTGCCTCCGATTAACAGAGGAGTTCCGACAACTTCCCAAGAACCACAGGGCAAGGGAGGACAAACTTGAGGTAAAACATAAGCATTACTAGTGGGGAAATCAAGTAATTGTGCTATCCAATGTTGATAAACAAAATATTTCTATATGGTTGCTTGCTGATGAACAGATTAAGAAAATGATGGTTTACGCAGTGGAGGAAGCAGTCCGGGACTTGGAAGAGCTGACGATGATGAAGGCTTAGAGAAAGCAGAGTATAACATTGCAAGGAAAAAGATTATTTGCTAGCCTTTTACAAGGAAAAAGATTAAGCCATTTTGGATGATGACATTTGTGACGATATAACATATAAATTATACTTTGTGCATTGTACTATAATTTATGTTAATGGCGGTCCTTATGAGCTAATTGTTCTACACTTTTTACTTGGTGTAACTTGTTACATAGGTCGAGATAGGGAACTTGCAAATAAAAATCGGACGAATTCTTACTCGGAGTAGAGTGCAAATCTAAAAGAATTGAAATGAATTGGATTTGTCATCCCATAAAAAGAGTGTTGAGAACAACCTTGTCAACTAGCTAAATCTCACAAAGAAAAAAGGGTAATGTCTATTTTTATCCAAACCTTTTTCAGATTCTTTTATCTATCCAAACCTATCGAAATACTAAGAATTAGCCAAATGTTAACTTTCTGTTAGTAATTTTGTTAGTAATATTGACTTGGCAACATGATACTGACTTGGAAGAGACACATGAAGATCAACATTCCAAAATTTTAGTTTTTTAACTTAGAAAAGAATTATAAAATTATTAACAATTACGCGAAAATTGATAATATTTTGATGCATTACGAAAGATTTGGCTAATTAATAGTATTTTAATGGTTTGGATAATATAAAAGAATTTGAAAAGGTTTGGATAAAAATAGACATTATCCAAGAAAAATTTACATTGCATTTTAAGTACTATGAATTTGATAAAACATCTAAATAAACAAACAAATAAATAGACTGTAAGTAGACTTACATTAAAGATAAGCTAAGCTCGAAGTGTAAGAAGGCCAATATGGAGCAACTTCATGTTCCTATATACCAGAGTCACAACTTAATAGTTTTACCACTAGTACACCATCTCTTCTAATATTCCCATGCATTCTAGTAAGGGTAAATACTATTTTTTAAGCCAAATCTTATTTCCATTTCAAAATATTAGCCGTACCTATAAAAATACGGAAAACTTAGCCAACTCTTTGATAACATTACATAATAATAGTAATTTCCCGTTAGATTTAACGGCACCTCAGTCCAGCATCACCCCCAATAAATAAATAAGTAAATGCATATGTTTATGTTTTTAATTAATATTTTCGAAAAAATGCTAAACCCTTATCCCTCCTCTTTTCTTCTTCCTTCTACATAACACTGCCGCCACCGTCGCCCTGGAACCTTCTCTTCCTCCTCTGAATTCAAAAAATACATATGATAGTACCCTTTTTTCTTTGTCGATGGCATCTGCGTCGGATAAAATCTCTATCTATCTGACTCCATCTGTTAGCTCGTCTTCGCCAGAGGATGCAGACGACGAATCCCCTGCCGATTGGACAGAGCTTGAACCCGCCCTGCCTTCCCAAATCACGCAAATCCCTGCTCCCTATTGGGTCTGCCAAAAAATCACCACCGCCTCCATTGCGCGCTTCCGCCTTTCTCCATCTCAGAAACCCAAATCCAACATTCAAAACCAAAAAACCCCCCTAATTGCTTCCTACGGTGAGCACCAGTTGACCCACATCAAGGAGCACCTGGCCGCCGCTCGTCAGATTCCATGGATGTGCTTTTCTCATATTAGGCATGACAGGAATCTCACAGATTTACAAGGGAAAGAGAATCCAATTTCGAGATTAATTGCAAGGATAGTCACTGGGTTTACTAAAAACGTTCATGTTTGGTCACTGCAAATATTTAATTTCATTCATGGTCACTAAGATTAGTTCAACAGTTCAAGTTTAGTCAATCTCCGTTAGTTTTTGCTGATATTGACCGTTAAATGAGTGACGTGGCCATTAAAATATATTAAAATAATAAAATTTAAATATTTACAATTTCCTCCTCATTTTACAACTACTAAAAAAACTTAATAAATGGCGTCTACGCCACCACAATTCTGTTCCCTCCTTCGATTTCTCTCCCTCTCCTTCCTATTACTCACCTGCCGGATATTTTGCCTTCTATTTCCTCTCTCACAAACTCTAAGATTCCAGAGGAAGAGATGACAAGACCGGCCCTGGCGCCGCTCACTTTCAGATGGCGACCACTACCACTACCAGCCTCAGCGGCGGCGACGACTCTGTTTCCACAAC